GTGTAGGCCTTTTGGCAGGTCACTGACAGGAAGCCATCTGTTTCTTCTCTGCAAATTGATGAGGTGAGCATGTCTTCTTGGGCTGTAAGCGCCTGTGGTTTGAGCAAGGCTGAAGCAGCCTGACCCTTCCTTAGGGAAGTGGTGCTGCACTGCCTGCAGCCAGGGTGAGGCTGCCATGTACATAGTATCATCATTAATTCAAAACCCACCCTTTTCTAGAAATAGAGCCAGAGGTTGGTGCCTTGAAACTTTTTGCCAGGAAGCCGTGACTTGGGTTTTAGGCTCTGCGTGGTGTTTTGAAAGGAGAAAGTCTTGGTGACTTCCGTGCTGCTTTTCTCTGCCAAGACTTCTTTCTTTCAACAGGAAACTGGAAAGTAAGAGTCAGTTACTTCCTTTTTGCTGCACAGCAATCCTCCAACTGAAACAATCTGGATTGGTTTGGTTTGGAGTCAGATAGTTCAATTCGTTTGGAGGGAATTGGTACAATATTTTCTTTGACGTCTGTGAAAACGTGAGTCATTAAAATAAATTGGTTTGTGCTTTTGCAGACTGCTTAGTGGTTGAGCTCATTCCCTTGGTTGAGAAGAGCTCATAAACATTTGATACCAGTGAAGAAGATGCTGGATACTTTTGCTATAGCTAGATCAGAGAAACCTTGCGTCCCAGCACTTCATAGGAGTTTGTCACTGTTTTAGGCCGTGTAGCTTGCTTAGGGTCTGGTGTTTTTATTTGTTGGTCATTTCTCGTTGAATCATAGTTTGGATTAATCTTTATGTTTTATATTAAGAACTGACCAGGATGTCAGGAGATAGAGTGGCACAGTTATTGTATAACTTTGGAGAAAACACCCATTCTGCTTAAATGCTGGCTTCTCCATGCGATAATACTGAGACGGGTGGGAGTGACTTCTGTGCTCCTGGAGTAGTTCTGGGATGTAGCTTAGAACTGTTTTTAGAGAAAAGGTCTAGCATGGCCATCTGCAGTGCCACCTCCCGTGTCCCTGAGGAACTGTCCCTTCTGGTGCTCCTGATGTGATCCTTTGACTCTACCTTTTCCACTCATTTTTGGATTTTTATGTAACCTTAAAAACCAAAGTGGCACCAACAGGTCTCTCAGTGCAGTCTGGTTATTGCGTGGTAAAGGAAGCAGATTTATTTGGTGGGATTGGACCCTTTACCTCTTCTGCTCCACTGTCTAGAAGAGAACATGGTGTGCTGAACATGGCATCGAGTGTCAGAAGACTGAGTGGTGGCTCCTGCCACGGACTTCACAGGCCATACATTTAACCTCCAGGTACCTTTAGCTTCTCTTTCTTGATAGGTCTGTGCTACCTGCCTCCTGCTGTGAAGCTGTGAGGATCCAGTAATGTAACATATCTGAACTCAGTTTTTGAAATACTGATGGCCTTATGGTAGTTGTTTCTGCCCCATAGTTCTGTGCATCCTAAGGCAATTAAGCAAGGGTTTACTGAGTACTAGTTGTGAGGGACATTGATAAGGAGATCATAACTGTGTTGGGGATTTATGTAAACTTAAAATACTGTAGGGGAGATACAGCTTAAGCCTCTGTGAAATCAGGGAGAGATTATTTCTGCTTGAAATTTTTTAATATCAACACTATTTTTCTTTTTTGAGACAGTATTTAAACTCCCTGTAGGTGAGGATGCCTCTGCCTTTGTTCAGTGTTGGGATTATAGCTGTGTGCCACCATATTAGGTCTGTGCTAGAGATAGAAGAGCACTTCATGCATGCTGAGCAAGCACTCTGTTTATTAATTGCACTACATCCATAGCCCTTTCTGTTTCATAGTTATATTTCCCAGCTGGCCTCGAGCTCCTGGTGTGGCACTGGCTAGCTTAGGTGTCCTGATCCTCCACCTTGTGAGTGAGTGCTGGGCGAACAGGCCTATACCAACAAACTCAGAGCAAGAGTGTTTCCTGTGTTTATTTTGTAGATGGATACATGTATACAAGCCTATTCTGTGTTAGGACAGTTACAGTTGATTAAAAAACAAACAAAACCAAATTGAGTATGTATGTATGTATGTATGTATGTACGTATGTATTCTGTTTGTGTACCTGATACCGTCAGAGGCCAGGAGGCCAGAAGAGGGCATTGGTCCCACTGGGGCTGGAATTATAGGTGACTGTGAGCTGTCCAGAGTGGGTGCTGGAAACTGAACTTGGGTCTTCTGCAAGAGCAGCAAGTGTTCTCAATCACTGAGCCATCTCTCCAGCCCCTTTGCTTTTGACTCATTACATTAAGTTGGTTGTTTCTTCTAATTTAACAACTGTTTCTTTTTTTTTAAAAGATGGTGTTACTAATTTAATGGTCTTGCTTTCATTTCTATCTTTAATTCACTAGCAAAGATTATTTCATGCATTCTGACTGAGGTTTACCATGTTGAGATACCCTTCAGCATTGGCTCTGAAGCTCCCTGTGTAACTTTCCGAGCTTCCTCATGAGCAGCGAGTGAGAGTGAGGTCTCCTTCAAAGCTGGACTCCTCCACTATACTTGTTACTCAGATGCTTCAGTCCTGCCAGTCTGCACCAGAGGTCACTTTACAGAGCTCCGTACCTGCCTCTTTCCACGTGCCTGGCCTTCGTGTTTTCCTTGCTGGCAGAGTGTAGCAGGTCTAACTCCCGTCGTTCATCTTCCTGACCTTGTTTTTTCTCTTTATTTTTAAGAGAAGACACGATTCTTGATTCTTTGATTTTTTTTCCCCCCTGTGGCCTCTGAGTGTCCTTATCTCTGGTGAGCTAGCTAAATAGGAAGGTTACTGTTTCTGGAAGGAAAACTCCATCTTTTTTAGGATACTTTTTCCAGTACTCGGTTCAATATGAAATTGATTTTTAGGTGGATATGTCTCAGTCTTACAGTTGATTTAAATGGAAGTTTCTGCATTCTTAGGCCATGGAATGGGACCGATGCACCTGTTCCTGGTAGGACAGCATGCATTGTCTTGGCGAGTTGGCTGGTGCCTCCCCTAGCCAGGGCACAGGCTACTGGCTGAGGGATGAATGCACTTTCCCCCAGTCCCTGGGCCTCTGCTAATCTGTAAGCTGCTAATTTTCCTCCCTCTCTTTTTACTGGACTAGTGGCCCCTCCCTTAGTGCAAATAGCTACAGAATGATATTGCTATGGCTACTCTTTATGTCATTTGTCCAGGAAGTATGAACAGACCTAGCTATTCTTTGTTAGTTTTATGTGTCTGAAAGTAAAGTAGGTGTTAGATATGGGAAGAATTCATATCCAAATGCTGAGCCAAATTAACTTCAGAATTTACCATTGTTTTATTTTTTATTTCTTTGTTTCCCCTTATTGTGTGTCATGATTTCACTTAAAAGTAATACCTGATAATTTTAAAATCTGGAAAATACTAAAACAGTTAATAAAAAGACATATTTGTCTCATCAGCAGTTATCATCACTCTCAATATTCTGTCAGGTTGTAAAATACACTTCTTTAAACATCTATATCTGTCTCTGTCTCTGTCTCTGTCTCTGTCTCTGTATCTATATGGTTACATTTGTCTGATACACACATGTTACTGTCTTAGTAATTGTGAAAGTGTCATTTTTATTGTGAGTGATCTGAGTACTTCTGGTAACAGTGATCCCACTCTCTGAGAGTCTCTGGGTGGAACAGTCAGAGCTCATAAGAAGGTTTGAGGTCTGTGTTGACCATAGAGCTTGTTCAATTGCTTTGAATGACTGAAAATAAGTGTTCTGTGCAGGTTCCTTCTGTTGACCTGAATAGGGGCTTCAGTTGTAATCTGTGGAAGACACCAGTGTATAGTTAAATGCAGAGCTATCTCTATACTTCTGTAATTTTAGAGATTGTGATTCCTAAGAATGATTCTGTGAGCTAGAGGTTAGGAGCTCTGTGGCTGCTCTTGCAAAAGAGTTCAGTACCCAGCATCCACATGACAGCTGTCTGTAACTCCACTTTTAGGGGATTTGGTGTCCTCTATGGCCTCCATAGACACAGCATGTGGTGCATAGACATACATGCAGACAACTCTGCACACACACACACACACACACAAAGGGGGGGGAGAGAGACACACACACATACAGGGAGGGGGGGGAAGGGAAGGGGGAGGGGCCAAAGGGAGGGGGGAAAGGGAGAGGGAGAGGATTCCTCCAAATACTGAATACATGTCAGTCTTCTAGGATTACCTGATGATTTTATGTTTGATAGTGGTGCTATCCTTTCTATTCTGGCTCCAAAATTTCTCTTTACTCTGATGGCTCCTCTTTGACACTGAAGTTACTACCTTATTTTAGGTAGATATGTATGTATGTGTGTATGATTTTTGGGAGAGGGTATTTCTATATAGACCAGGGTGGCTTGGAATTCACTGTCTAGCCCATCCTGGCCTCAAACTAACGTTTCTCAGACTTAGCCTCCCAAGTGCTGTGGTCACAGGCATCCACTGCCATACCTGGTTTTTCAGATTTTAGGTTCTTTCCAGATGCACTGTAGAGGCTGCCAAACAGTTGTATTCTTTCCTTCTTTCTAAGTACAAAGTCGTATTCTTTTCTTCTCTGTGATATTTTCTTCCCATTCTCTGGGGTTTCTTACCGATTTCTGACTTTCTTGTAACTTACAACAATGTGCTTTAGAAAAAATTGCATATGCACATATACTGTTTGTAGAAGAGGCATTGTGCTGTCATAGCTTATGTTTGGTTTCTGTTTGTTGGTGTTATGCATATACACGTCCATATATAGTTTTTAAAAAGTTATTTTAAAAGTCTGGATGGTGTCTAGCCTTTTAGAAAACATCAGTCTGCAAACATTTTTCCATGTTCCTCTTTTTTTTTTGTTCTGTAATGCAGATATGTTCTGGTCTCTGCTTCCTGCTGGAAGTCCCCACATTCTTCCATCTGTGTTCTTAGCATTGTATCCTTAGTGTTTGATAGATGTAACATGTTACACTAATGGCTGTATTAATGTTATGTTTCTTGTCCCCCCTCCTCTTTTTTTTTTTTACAGGAAATGTGGCTTTAGATAATCTCCAGATAAAAGAAAATGCTCTGGTAAGGGTTATTATTTTTTAATTTATGCTTAATAACTCAGCTAATTTGGCAAGCTCTTAGAAGCGTTTGGTTACTAGACATCTGTACCAGGTACCAGATAAAGTGACTGAGTCATTGCGAGCAGGGTTCTGTATTTAACTGTTTGTCATTGGAAATCATGAGATTAAAGATTTACAGTTTCCCCCTCAGTGATCATTTTTTTTTTCAAAATGGAAATCATCCCTTGACCTAATTTGATTGTAGAGCTTTGCTGTCTCCATTTCTCTTACAGACATATTTTTCTTCAAAATTGTCTGTGTATGTACATTTTCCAGGCAAATTACCACTTGGTGCTAACCAGTGATCTAGGTGGTACAGAGCAGTGCAGTGACATGCAAGCCATAGGGTACTGAGGGAACAGTAAGGTGTAAGGAGGGACTCACACTTCAGCTTTAGTAAGGAATTTGCATCACTTGCCATTGAGCTAGAAGCTAAGCAGCACTACCCTCCCGACCCTGTGAGCTTACATCTTAACCTGGTATGCAAAGCTGACGTCTGTGATGCCACTTAAGAAGGTATATCCATCACACTTTAGACTTCCCGAATGTGCTTATGTGTGTGTGTGGGTGTATATGGATATATGCTTCTTCCCTCCTCCCTTTAGACAGAGTCTCGTGTAGGCCACTTCAGCTTCAGATTCACTATGTAGCAAAGGCTCACCTTGAATTCCTGGTCCTCCTGCCTCCACTTTTCAAATGCCGAAATTACAAGCAAGCGCTAGATTTTCTTATTTCTCAGTTTCAGTTTCTTACTATGCTTGCCCAGTGGTTCAGTAGCAGAGCCCACCTTGGCTTTGTGGTCTGGCCAAGATGGGAAATCTCTTTCCCTGGCATACTGGGAATACTCAGAATACCTACCTATTCTTCCCTGCCTTTATGTGGTATGCTACAACTTTTAACATTTTATTTAAAAAGTTTAGAACTTAATGATTGTGTTGCTAGAGGTTAGAGTTGGGTATGAGAAGATTTTATAAGAAAATAAGTATAACAATGGTGAGGACTGTTTTCATGTTCATCCCTAGAAGACAGATTGACCTGTTAACATAATTTGAGTTCTATTTAAAATTAAGTGTAATGAGTTACCTCATAATTTATAGACTTCATTAGTGAGAACTAGCCCCCTTTCACAGTTTAACCAAATTAGTGAGATTTTATTGATTGGTTGATTGATTGATTGATAGTTCTGTGGATGAGACCTGTGTCTTCTGTGTGCTGGGCTGATGCTGTTACACTGTTCCATGTTCCTAGCCTGAAGTTTTACTTGGAAATGGGAACTTTATTCCTTGTTGAAATTATTCCAAGAGAATAAAAAGTGAGCACAGGACAGCACTTACTAGGTGGCTTATTTTGAATATACTTTCCCTGACCCCACCAATTCATTTGTCAAAGGTATTATGTTCCATTCTTTTGCACCTAGAATGTTTGTAGAGTTGTATGATTGTGAGAATGGATTTTTAGTCAGTTGTAACCTACAGTATGGTAGATCAGTGTTTAAATATTCATAGTATTCCTATATGTTATACAATATCTAACAAAAGTCTACATGTTAAATAATACCTAATAGAAAGTCAGTGCTGACTGATTAAAGTTTAATAATTCTGAAGATTTGAAATTGTTATGAATGAGAGTTATGGTTTAATACCTGGGAGTCCAGATGAGGCAAAATTGATTATTATTTGTTGGTATGTATGATTTATTGAAGAGAAATGCTAGTTTGGTAAATAGTATGTTAGCGGCTTCCTTTTCAGGGGATTTTGTTTATTCATTTGCTAGATATTATCTGAGAGAATTATTCAGTGATTGTTTTCAGCTGACTTATGTGCATGGACTCTGTTCTTTTTTTCTTCTTATATTTCAGGTAAACAGTGTCCATATGTTTCATTTATTAAAATAACCAGTTTATGTAATTACTTTCCTTATGAACCATCTTCTCTTTTTCCTGTTTATAATTTTGTTTCTCTGTAACTTCTTTATGTAAAACCACTGTTTAGTGAAGCCATCATAGCATGAGTTACTCAGCTCTATTACTGATGTGCACGAGGGATTTGAGGGCTGTGTAAAGATGACCTTAACTTTTTGTCTTCCTTCTGAAGAGTGAATTGGACGTTCCTTTCAAAGTCAAGGCTGGCCAGATTGGTGAGTACTTCACTCTACATCGAGTTGCTTAGTTCTCTGTAGAGTTCATTAACTCTCTCTAGAGTTGTTTAACTCGAAGTCTTCTTGGCTTCACCAGAAATGTGGGAAGGTTTTGGCTTATATTAACTTCAGAGTTCTAAGCCTAATGAACATCATATATAATACATATCTACTTAAAAAAAAACCAAGGAGATAGAGAATTATTCTCTAAAGTGGAACGGCATTTGAACAGTAGTCGAGATCTCCAGGCTTTGGTTTTACTACATAAAACACCTCCATTTTCAAGGTGATAATCCAGTTTCCTTTATATTTGTGAAAGCCATACAGTTCTAAAACTGTTAAGTAGACTTAAATGAAGCTCATGTCCCTCCTGTTTGCTCACTCGTCTTCACTTGATGTATTATGCAGCAGTGTGGTATGGACCTTGTGCGTTGGTAAGTACGAAGTCTCTTTCTTTGCAGCCAAACTCTTATCCATTATCCGTAACTCAGTGTACGTGTCTGCTGGAGAAATAATCAATAGGAAATTTTATCTACAAAACTCTCCCAAATAGTTCATGTGACCTGATTTTTCTGTTATATCTATTGGTTATCTGTTGTCTGTCTGTCTGTCTGTCTATCTATCTATCTATCTGTCATCTCTCCACCCATCCATTCATCCATCCATACAGTCAATCATCCGTCTAAAATACAGCTTCAGATTGGTTACTGTTACTTTAGAATTTGACTTAATGACTTAACCACTCCTTCACTATAGCCTACTGCAAGATTACATAATGTCCCTGCTTCATCACTATTCTGCTGATTTTTAGGGCTTTATCCTTTACCGTTTTTGCATCTTTCTCCCCTTTTTATTGAAAATAGATTTTTTCTCACATAGTAGATTCTTACCATTTCCCCTCCTTCGAAATTGCCAGTTCTCCCTGACCTCCCCTTCCATCTGAATTTACTCTCTTTCTGTCTCTCATGAGAAAATGAACAAACTTCTAAAGGATAATATAGTATTATGGTATAATATAGAAAGAACTTAACATGTCTGAGTTGGACAAAACAAACAAGGAAAAGAAACCAAGAGGAAGCACAAGAATCAGAGACCCACTCATTTGCATGGTCAAGAATCCCATGAAAACACTAACTGTAATCTATAATATATATGCAGAGGTCCTGGTGCAGACCCGTACAGGCCCTGCGCATGCTGTCTTGGTCTCTGTGAGTTCATATGAACTTTGATCATGTTGGTTTATAGGTTTTGTTTTCTTGATGCCTTCCATCCCATCTGACTCTTACACTCTTTCTGGCTACCTCTTCTTCAGGGTTACTTGAGCCCTGAGGGAAGGATTTGATGGAGGCATCACATTTAGGGCTGAGCTTTCCAAGGTCTCTCTCTCTCTCTGCATAATGTGCAGCTGTGAGTCTCTGTATTTGTTCCCATCTACTGCAGAAGGAAGCTTTTCTGAGGGCTGAGCAAGGCACTAATCTATAAGTATATCAGAATGACATTAGGACTCATTTTATTGCTATATTTATCGTCGTCATCATCATCCTCATCTTCCTCATCATCATCATTTAGAGCACTAGTATTTGGTTTTCTCCTAGGTCCTTGGGCCATGTAATCTCAAGTGCTCGCTCCCCTAAATGTTGGGTATGGTTTCCATCTTGTGGAGTGTTCCCTAAGTCAAATAAGATATTGGTTGGTTACTCCCACAAGCCTTGTGCCACTATTGCCCTATCATATCTTGCAGACAGAACAGTATTGTAGATAAAAGAGTTTTGTATGGGTTTGTGTTTATGTTTCTCCTTTGGGAGTATGCAGAGTATTTTCCTGTACTAAAGACTCTAAAATATAGGGGTGAAGGCTCTAAGTAGGAGTCAACTCAACTTCTCTATACTTGATGAGTTGTGTAGTGTTGTCTTTAGTAATGGGACTTGCCATCAGTTTGTACAGAAAAACTGGTAGTTTTGGCAATAACCTGGGTTGTTGAAGGATTCCTCTGGGGCTGCTTTGGCCAGCAACTCAATTAGATGTAACCGAATTTTGGTACTGGAAGCTTCATTTGGTAACAAGCGATGGGTGGTTGAGGTTTGCCTTCTCTATTATTTGACAGTTTCATTTAGATAGCCTTCAATATATATATATATACACATACATACATACATATCTAATATATATTTCTTATATATTGCATATATATGGAAGCTGCTACTGTGTTAGGTTTCCATAATGCCTATTTAGTGGTCCTTTATGTTAGCTGTCTCTCCTTGTGTTCCCTCCTTCATTTCCCTCCCCCCATCCCCCTCCTTACTTTATCCTCCCATACCAGTCCTCTGTATCCATCCATAACTATCTATTCTACTTCCCTCTCCTAATGAGATCTCTTTGTCCCCCAGTCCCTTAGTCTATACCTAACCTGTACCTAACATATGTGGTTCTACTGATTGAAGCTTGGTCCACATATAAATGAATGCACATCATATTTGACTTCCTCAGTCTGGGATACTTCACCCAGGATAATTTTTTTTTCTAGTTTCATTGAATTACCTGGGAATTTCATCTCTCTCTCTCTCTCTCTCTCTCTCTCTCTCTCTCTCTCTCTCTCTATTTCTTTCTTGTAGCTGAGTAACACTCTTAGTTTGTAATGTACCACATTTTCCTTATCCATTCTTTTGTTGAAGGATATTTAGGTTGTTTCCAGTTTCTGACTGTTGTGAATAGATCAGCAATAAACATGGTTGAGCAATTGTCCTTGTGGTAGGATGAAGAATCTGTTGGGTATGTGCCCAAGAGTGATATAGCTGGATCTTGAGGTAGATCAAATCCCATCTTCCTGAGAAACAGCCACACTAACTTCCAAAGTGACTGTACAAGTTTGCAGTGCCACCAGCAATGACTGAGCGCCCCCTCTACTCTGCTGAGTGCTCCCCTACTCTACTGAGTGCCCCCTCTACTCTGGTGAGTGCTCCTCCTACTCTGTTGAGTGCTCCCCTACTCTACTGAGTGCTCCCCTACTCTGCTGAGTGCTCCCCTTTAAAGGAATATTGTCTGTGGTTTTGACCCTATACTCCCTAAGAAGGCAATTGCCTTGTTAGGAGGTCGTCAAGTTATTATCTGTTGTAAATATAGGTGGTACTCACTGTAAAACCACAAGAATTAGAAGTGACCCAGAAGTGTACTGATGTTACCAATAGGTTCCTCTGACCTGGAAGCCATATAAAAAACATAACAGCTTTGAAAACTGAAGAGAAGTTAAAATTTAAAAAGTTTTACTAGTTTAAATTATATGTGTGTGCGTCAAGCCAGGGGTGCCACCAAACTCAGATGCCCTTGGGGTTTGGAGTTACAGGTATTTGCCATCCATCTGATAGGGCTGTTGGAAACTGAGCTTGGACCTTTTGAAAGAGTATTAAGTGTGCTTAGCCTAACCACTGATCATCTCTCTGTCCCCTGAGAAATGAAATTTTTTTTATTCTTATTTTATTTATTATTATTATTATTATTATTATTATTTTTCCTAGACAAGGTTTCTCTGTATAGCCCTGGCTGTTCCTGGAACTCACTCTGTAGACCAGGCTGGCCTTGAACTCAGAAATCTGCCTGTCTCTACCTCCCAAGTGCTGGGATTAAAGATGTGTGCCACCACTGCCTGTGTGCCTTTTTTATATTACTATTATTTTTAAATAATAATTTAATAAATAATTTTAATAAATAATTTTTTTGAGACAGGGTTTCTCTGTGTAGTCCTGGCTGTCCTGGAACTCACTCTGTAGACCAGGCTGGCCTCGAACTCAGAAATCCACCTGCCTCTGCCTCCCAAGTGCTGGGATTAAAGGTGTGCGCCACCACCACCCGGCAATAAATAATTTTTAAAAAGCACTGTGTGCTTTTTTTATATTACTATTATTTTATTTTATCTTATTTTTATTTTTTGAGAAATAAAATTTTTAATGTAGAAATAATTTGATATATTATCCCTGGACTACATATTCACATAAAACTGACAAGGTTATATAGCTATCCAGTTGACCAGAATATTCTCCCTTGTAGAACATTATTTTGTTTCCTTTCAGTTTGTTGTACCAAATTATTTGCATGTTGAACATCTTTCTTTAAATATGTCTGTGATACTGACCATGTGACTTGTTCATATCCACGAGGGAGTCAAATCAGATCCTTTTCTAATAAGTCTTGTTAGCAGCACTGACCTAATGTCATTGTTTATCAAAATTATAATGAAGAGGACTAGAGAGAAGGTTCCTCAGTTAAGAGCACCAGCTGCTCTTGCAGAAAAACTGGGTTCAGTGCCCAGCACCCACATGGCAACTCACATCTTAACTCCAGTTACAGGGGATCCAGCACCCTCTTCTAGCTTCCACAGACATGCATACTGCCCAAACAACCACACACAGAAAATATATAAGTAAAAATTATAATGGAGGAGGATATATTTTTGGAACATGAAAAACTTCTGGAGTAGGAAAGGTTAGGACAGAAGTGTAGCCATCAAGACAACTGACTGGGATGTTAACTGTCTGTGGCCTTGGAAATAGGAGCTCTAAGAGACTGGTAAAAGATAGATAAGAAACGGCCCCTAAAAGGGTTTTGACTGTTTCAGAATGTATATTTCCTTTGTCTTCTGCCATGTACAGCCTTCTTATATGACACCAAGTAAGTTACTAATATTAGGCCCATAGTCCTTGAAAGTGGGTGTTTTTACAGGCTTGTTTCTGAGTATCATTAGGCCAGCCTTTAACTTGCTGTGTAGTGAGTCTGGCTTTGAACTCCTGATCCTCCTTCTTCCAACTCCCAACTGCTGGGATTATAGGTGTACACCACCACGCTCAGCTTAATAGCATAGTTCCTAAGAGAGAAAGTATGTTCTGCTTCTAAGTGATTTGTAAGTACAGATTTAGAAAATAGATCTGAGTTTAAAGCATTAGCAACATAAAAGATGATAATACTGATTGTGAAACAGCACGCCTTGCCTTCACATCTGGGCTCTTCCATTGATAGCTGTTTGACCTGTTGCCCACATTCATAAAGAAGACAAGGGACTTATCTCCTGCTTTGGTTCCCATTTGCACAGACAGTATTTACAGTGGCTGTGCTGATTTAGTTGTTAGTGGGGCTGGAAGAGCATGTCTGGTTTTCAGGTGTCTAGCACTAAGCTCTGTCTCCAGCATCCTTACTGATGACCTTGCTGGGCATCAGTGATTAATGACACTGAACTGCCTTTTCCTCTTCCAAATTGCAGTGATTACTGTTTGACTTACCTTAGGGTTTTGAGATACCAAATCAGGTAATTATTATAAAGTTTGGAAAGTATAAAATATACATTTTGAATATTGAATCCTCCTCTCCTCTTTTTTCTGAGTGGCAAACATACTAAATGTCTGGTGAGTTTTGTGCTTTTCATGGGAACTTTATTTGTATCTTCTTTAGCAGTCAAGTAAGAATTTAAGATGGAAATTATGTTTCTTTAGATAAATTAACTTTGAAGATTCCCTGGAAAAACCTTTATGGAGAAGCAGTTGTTGCCACCCTAGAAGGATTATATCTGCTTGTGGTTCCTGGAGCAAGTATGTTGCTTTACATTGTAATCATTCACTGACATTGCAGTGAACTGAAATTGTTCCCTGTGAAGTATTCTGATATACTGAGGAAACTAGAATGTGTACAAGAAACTGATCACATGTATACAATGTAGTGGGTGTGCATACATTTACACATGCGCACACATGTATAGCCACGTTTGTGTACAGAATGCTTTTCTGTTGTTGCTGTAATTCAGTCTGTTTTCAAGCTTATTCCCAGATGAATAATGGAGATAGATAGATATTACTTTGTATCTGAAGCTTTTTTTAAAAGTTGAGATGCACTTGACAGATGTACTGTTGAAGAATGAACTGAAGTAAGACGTTTTAAAAATCCACCAATATGTTAATGTACATATTTCAAGGCTAGAAACTTTTCTTATGTTTTGTTGCTTCTGATTTTAAACAAGTGTTCTTTCACTTAGGTATAACAGGTAGTTTCTTCCTTAGGAATCACAATATTTTAGTAATAATCAATATTTTGAAATACTGAAGCTTAATTTCTTTAGTTGTTAGTGTTTTCAGCTAAAATGGACAATATGAGAAAAATTTGAATGTTTTGGGAAAAATTACTCCCTGTTCCCAACCATAATGCTGATATAGTGTTTATTTTTTTATCTCACCCTTGTCACTGTCTACAGCCCTGGGGTCCTTACTTAGTAGTTATCACATTAAATACGTAGTGTTAGCTTGACTTTTTCATACTTTTTGTGTCTTATGATTTTCACAGTGATAGTGAAAAGCTTGAAAGGTAGCAAATATTAACTTTTGTTCCTTTCATTAAAATATTATGATTATTTCCCTTTTTGTCTCTTAAAAATTAAGTTTTTTTAGTTCATCATATAAGTATCGCCTTTTATCAAGGGAGCTTCATATATATACTACTGTATTTCTTCCAAAATCTCTTTATAGATTTAACTTTTCTATTTTCTTAGTATATATGATCAGATATGAGATTACGGATAAAAAAGATGTTATGATTATTAATTATTCCCAAAATACTGTGTGAAAACATTTTTATCAGTCTACATTGACCCTAGATTATGTCAATGTAGAGGCCCAGATGAGGCCTGCTCAACTGCCTTTGTTTCTTTTCTTCTTCCTTTTCTTTCTTTCTTATTTTTTGAGGCAGGGTTTCTCCGTATAGCCCTGGCTGCCCTGGAACTCACTCTGTAGACCAAGCTAGCCTCAAACTCAGAAATCTGCCTGCCTCTGCCTCCCAAGTGCTGGGATTAAAGGTGTGCGCCACCACTGCCTGGCCCCTTAAATCATTTTTACAGATACTAAAATTCTTACCACTCAGGCAGTAGCAGCCAGTATTCTGACATATTTTCTGTCTTCTGCTTTTCTCTTTTAGTTATCTACCCAGCCTTTTCCATCTTTTCTGGTTTTAGATACCTTCCTTCTTCTAATTTCTTTCTTTTTTCCTTTGTGAGGTTAATAAACAAGTAGGAATCATTTATGTGTAAAGTTTTTGTAGGTTAATTTTTGCAGAAGTGTTTAATGTTAACATACGATTGTAATAAGGTTAAAGTTTTTCATTTGTTTGCTGATTTCATTTCTTTTTGTGAGAATTAACTGTATGCTTTTAGGTATTAAGTATGATGCTGAGAAAGAAGAAAAATCCTTGCAGGATATTAAACAGAAAGAACTTTGCCGAATTGAAGAAGCCCTTCAAAAAGCAGCAGAGAAAGGTAAATTTATTTTCTTAATTAAATTTAATATAAATACCTAGACATACCTATATTTTAGGCATATTTAGTGTCATTTCATAGAGTGCTTGTTTATTTATTTATTTATTTATTTATTTATTTATTTATAGTTTCTATATATAGCTCTAGCTGTCCTGGAACTCATTATGTAGACCAGGCTGGCCTGGAACTCAAAGAAATCTACCTACCTCTGCCTCCTGAGTGCTGGGATTAAAGTCATGTGTCACCAGCACACCACCCAGCTTTCATAGGCTTCTTCAAGCCCAGCTCAAAAGAATGAACATTCTTTTCAGATCCTAAAATACTGATTATAAATATTTCAGTGATAAACATTGAAGATTGATTGGTTTTATCTGGTAACTATTTTTTTTCTAAGTTCCTGAAGGCAACTGTATTTTGAATGACGTTGAGGTATATGTATTTTATGTGTGTCATTTACACATTTTGTGTGTGTTCACTACAAACACCTGTGTGTTTGTAAGATGACAGGGTTAAAGTGTCACAAGAGGTGTGCTCCTGTGACCCAGTTTTCATCTTTCTATGAGAGGATTTTCAAAACGAGGTTTTTTAGGTTTCAACATTTCAACACCCTCAATAATTTCTCTTTTTTTTTGTCAGATAAATTTGATAATTACGTTATGTTTTGATTTGACTTTGATTTCTAGAGCCAGGATGGAATGAAATGAAAAGCATTATTAGTCTAATTGAAGGATTCATCTAGATTCCAGTTAGTTTATCTCTTTAAAATCAAAACATATCCCGTTTCTGACCAAGATACAATTTATCAGTTTTTTGCATCATTTTTGAGTCATTTGGTGGTGTGTATACTAATTTCAATGACGGAGACAGATAGTTTCTTATTATTTTTATTCTTTCATGCTGTGTACAAAACATCTTTTTTCTACAAGTAAAACAGAACAAGTCAAAGCAGATATTAACTTAGAGATGACTTGAGTTACAATTTCACATGGGGCAGGGAGGCTCTTTCTGTGGCTCTGCAAATGTGAACCGGCAAGGAGTCTATTTTAAAATGACTCCTTGAGCTGAGTGTGGTTGTTTGGCTCTGGCTGCTCTGGAGGTTGATGTGGGTGACCCTGTGGCCCAGTACTGTGGGCAACAGCAGAGACTCTTCTCAAACAACAGTTGCAGAAGCAGTATCTGTTCTTGGGGTTTTCAGGTCACTGACCATAATCCCTCTTTGTCCCAAGAATGTTTTTCTTATATAGAAATGTTGATTCTTTACTAGAAGTTACTGGTACCAATCATGATACAGAGGCTATCATAATGGAAGAAAATGTGTGAAAGCCTTAATAGTTTTTCCCTTTTCTCTTTTACACTTTAACAAAGCATGATGAGGTTTTCTGATGGCAGTCCAGTAGTATTTCTGGTTTCTAAAAAATCCATTTTGCTTCATTAGCATATGTAGAAATAGTTAAATAAAAATGAGGTGTGTCACTTGGATACTAGTGGAACTTCATTTCTTTTTATATAATTCCAAGTAAGTTTATTTTCTTAGTTTACACACACACACATATGTGCACACAGGTACACACACATGCACATGTGCATATACATGTACACACATATATTCATCTAGATATAATGGCATATTTAGGTATAGTGATATATAATTATACATTTATAGTCACATAAATGATTAATATTTTTACCTTTGTAAAATCTCCAACTCCCTTTTTTCTAGGACTATTTTAATAGCTTAAAAAGTAATTTAGTATTTTCAGGGCTCTGTAAGAAAGATGTGATCTGGTCTGTTTTAGTAGTTGATGGTTTAATTGGATAGTAATAATAACTTAGCTCCATCCTGACATGTTTGGGTCTGGTGGAGACTTGTGCTTTCTCTGGAGGTAGAACACCTGTGGAGCTAGTCCTGTGTTAGGTCTGTGCAGTATGAAATGCAAACATGGCAGCTTCTTGGGTGATAAATTTTCGGATTTGTCAGAATGTCTTTAAAATTCAGAAGATGAAATTCAGTTTCACATACTGAGTTCTGAATGTAACAGGTTAATTTAGGAATTGAGGAATATGCTGAGAGATTATTTTTCTATATGTGGAGAAATTTGTTATCATTTTGACCACATTATAAATAGTCTTTCTCAGTTTCTGTGGATATGCATCATCTCCTTGTGAGCTTTTTATGTGAATGATGAGTATATCCTTCAAACCAGTGGGTCTCAGCCTTCCTAATGCTGCAACCTTATGTTGTGGTGACCTCTAACAATAGAATTACTTCATTGCTACTTCAAAATTGTAATTTTGCTACTGTTATGAACTGTGATGTAAATATCTTATATATTGGTTATTTGTTATATGACACCTGAGGGGGGTCACGATCCATAGGTTGAGAACCATTGCTTAACTGCATCCCATCACCGTATTAATTAATAGTTGTTACTTAATTATCACACAGTCTTCAGATTTGCTTTCCCAGTCTTTCTGGAATTTAAAGCCCAGGGTTCCATTGCCTGTGTAGAGTCTCAGGGAGAGAAGGAGAGGGATGCTCTGGCCTGCCTGGGCAGATAAATATAAAAAAGATAAAAACTCGCGCTGATTTACTCTAAACCATGTAGCTTCCTTAAAATGCCACTACTGTGTTAGGAACAAAATCTGAAGTTTTTTATTTCAATTTTATAGAATTTGCTTAGCTATAAAATGAACTTTTTTTCGTTTTATTTCTCTGGAGTGACTTTTTGTACTTGGGAAGGACGTCATAGATAGCTTCTCCTGTGTTAGCTTCCACATTTAAAATGTTAATTTTTCAAGGTAATATATACATACACTTAACAATCAAATGCCCGCCCCCACCCAACACGTAGGGTGATAGATGGCAGTCCCCTGTGCACACTTTGCTGTTCTTCATACCTGTTCTTATAAGCCAGTTTATGTTTTAAGAGTCTCAGTACTGTTTTCTGGTTCATTAATATATGCCATTGCTGTTTTTTTCACCCTTACCCCCTGTCTTCTGTTGACACCAGTTCAAAGGCCACAGAGCGATGCCTTTTGCATTTTTGGAAAGTCTGAATGGGTCGTAATTTTAGACCAGTTAAGTACTATGACAAGGCAATTGTTCAGTATAAAGGTCTAGTGACAGACTATGATTATACTTCCTTCTAGAAGTCCTCTGTTTTTCTCGACTTGAAAATATTCCCTTTCATTTGTTTAATCTGCTATGAAATGTGCTAACTTTTTCACCTGATAGTTTTTCAGGTGTTTTCTAACTGCTTTAATTCCTGTTCCAGTACTCTTTACATATGCCTTTTTTTTTTTCTTGAAGTTTTCCTTCTGAGTTGCTGTTTTTTCCCCTAGGGAAACCAGGTTTATTTTTTTAGGGTTGCATAAATGAGCCTAGCCTCCTCACTAGGCGGGAGCTTTACTGTTGAGCTTCACCTTCAGTGCCTGCGGAGGTTAAAATTTCCTTAGGTTTTGGGTCTGCATGCGTAGTCTTGCTGAGCCTGTCCTGTTAGTCCTCTGTTGAGTTAGCTCCTCCATGGTTTCCTTGTCGATTCTTTTGTTTCCTCCTGTGTTTACTGGACACATCTAATAGCTCTCAGTGTAACTGAAAGTTCCCTCAAGGTTAAATGCTAGATTTTTCTTCCCCCCTGGGTTTAGAATATCACATTCAAGATTGAATGTTGTGCAGTTCAGTGTGTTCTGTGAACACAGAAGAGAGAAAGAGTGAGCTCTTCAGGTCGAGGAAACAGGGTAGACAGGTTAGAAAAGACCAGAGCACATGTGGGGAACAGCTGGAAGTTAAGGGGTTTGAGAGAGAGAGTAGTTGCATGTTCAGTTGGGAAACTAATTGAGATCTCTTTAAAGAGATTTGGATGAGGTCAATAGCCACATTGCTAGTGCAAAGGGGGCGAACTGAAGCCGCCTGCCGGCTGAGGAGAGGGAGTTCACAAGGCTTTCTCTAGAAGTCTGAAGTTATGGTCTGGGCTGTTATAGTCTCTTCCTTTGGAAGAGGAGAAGTGGGAGGTGGAGCTTTCTAGCCGGTATTGACTCAAGTGTGTAAGGCTGCAGGCAGCGTGTCTGCAAGGAACAGGTTACACAGTGAAGTTAGAGGAGACTGTCATCTGACTTTACAGTTAGTGGCAGGTATCATAGAAACTTAATGACAATGGGCCACATGACAGGCAGGAGGAGAACTCAGATGGGATTCGTGTTGTGTTTGAAAATGTGAGATGGCTGTGAGACCCAAGTGGTCAGTGGTGTCTACCTGCCCTGTTTGTTTGATTTGTTTGATTGTTACAACTTTGATGATGGAGAATTTTTGTTTGAATATAAAAGGAATGTTTATGTGTTGAAAGAGTGGGTGTGGTGTTGCTGGGAATGTTTCCTTCCTTAGGGGCAGATGGTTTTACATCCCTGACACTTAATGTGCCCTGCAATATGGTTTCTGAGTTTTTGAAGTTAAGTTTGGATGCATTTCCTGTGGAAAACTAAAGGTGTCTTATAATGCTTTGCATTTCGGTTTCTGCTGCCGTGGGATGCAGGTGCACACTCAGGGGAATTCATGTATGGCTTGGAAAACTTGCTTTACAAGGACATCAAGCCTGGTGGGTATGCATGGTTAATTATACTTAACTTCATGAAAGTGATATTCTTATTTATGCCTCAGCCTTTAGTGGAGTCCACTGGATAGTATGCGTCCTTTAGAAAATATGGAAATGTAATTCTCATTCATACCCTTGCCATCTCTTCCTTTCCCCTCCCTCTGCAGCCATTCACTCATTCACTGAGTCTTTGAGTGTCTTCTGGCAAGCTTGCTGTCTGTGAGTGAGCAAGCACCGCACTGCCCCTGTAGACTTCTCAGCTCTTCAAGTGACTGGAAATATGCACTGCCCTCCCCTTGGCTTTATTTTTTAGCACAGTAATAGTGTTTTCCAACTGCTTTCTCTTACTTACAGCAGAGATTTTCAAATTTATAGGAAGCAGTAAGATGGAATATGTATGTTATATATCTTTATTTATTTTAATGCTTCATCCAGAGCCTCAAGGAGGACCCCTGCGTTTCTTCTCCGGTCCTCCTGACTGTGCAGTCTTCTCTAGTCTGTTGTCCTGGATAGTGTGCTGAAACCTGAAGCTTCACAAAAGCAAACTGAAGGCTGTTTGCTGTAGGATTTAGAACGGGAATCTGGTGTACACTAGAAAGTGTACCAGATATTTAGCAACAGTTTCAATATTTTAAATGAAACGTTATATCTTTATAACACTTCAGGAATTTATGTTAATTTCAGCACAATTTAGACATGCTTTGACTAAATGGTAAATGGGCCTGCATTTCAAATTTCAAATACTGAGTGCTGTGGTAGAATTCCTCTGCACATAAAACTTCTTTAATATATAATGTTCATTTTGACAGTGGGAGAATTTGCATGGCAGTTTCCCAGCCTTAAGTGAAATTATCTTAAGAACAATTTCTCATTTTACAAATCTACTAATTAGCTGACTGCTAATTTGTTACTTTACAAATCTACCACTGTGGTAACCATGGCTGACTGCTAATTTGTTACTTTACAAATCTACCACTATGGTAACCATGGCTGACTGCTAATTTGTTGCTTCACAAATCTACCACTGTGGTAACCATGCATGGCTGACTACTAATTTGTTACTTCACAAATCTACCACTGTGGTAACCATGGCTGACTGCTAATTTGTTACTTTGTTCAATATCAGGATAGCATGAAGAATGTCAGGGCCCATTGTGCAGTTTTATAGGCTGCAATGAACCAGCTCACTGTTGTCACTGCTGCTGGTGTTTCCAGCTCTTCCAGGAAGAATCTGCCTGGAAGTTATAAAGAATGTTGGTAACCCATCCTCATACCTTATACAATCACCGGCCTTGTAAAAGCCAGCAGAAGGCACAGTGAAGGAAGCCTTAGCTGATTCATTACCTTTCTTCTTTTAGATGTTAAAGTAATCCTGGTAACGTGAGGCTCATGGTGCAGTGAGAAGATTTGTTTGATGATGGCATCATCCTTCCCTTAGCTGGGAGCTCACGTGTACTTCAGGACAGTTTCCTCTTTCAGTTTCCGAGTGCATATTCTTCCTTTACTTCATGTCACTTTTTTTTTTTTAAACATTAGAGCATCAATTCTCAGAAAGGCACAGCTATTAGAACTATTTTTTTTTTCCGAGACAGGGTTTCTCTGTATAGTCCTGGCTGTCCTGGAACTCACTCTGTAGATCAGGCTGGTCTCGAACTCAGAAATCCGCCTGCCTCTGCCTCCCAAGTGCTGGGATTAAAAGCGTGTGCCACCACCGCCCAGCTAGAACTATTTTTATAGTGATATTGAAGCATTTAACTTTTCACTGAGTTGAAATTTTTATGCTGAAATAGTAAGGAATGGCTTGTAACTCAGTGGCTGCCATGGCCTGATTCAAGGAGGGACAGCTCACTGGACCACTGGTCACTGTGTTCTTTGCTACTGTGAACTCATTACAAAGGCAAAAGGAAATGAAATGTGCCAGTATTCTTGAAGTTTTTTCTTGACAGAATAGAATTTTAATTTAATTGGACACTAACTATTGAGCAGGTCTCTAAAATTTTGTAGGACAGAGGAGAGAGTGTGAAGCACTTTTGAATGGTGACGTAGCTGATTGTCAAGGATGATTCTTCATGCATATGTGTGAATTGTGTGAAGTTGCTTCTTATGGAAAAAGGCTATTTTTACTTGAAAGATTGACAGATTGTCATCATTCAAGTTTGAGCGTTTAGCTACTACATAAAACAAAGTAAAAGTGAACTAACATATTTGAGTAGTAACACTTGGTGCTTTTAAGGAAACAGTAGAATTTTAAGAACCCCTTATTTGCCACCTCGAGCTTGACAACCACGTAGTATGGCCAGACTTTCCCATGAGCCTGAGGTAAATGCAGCAAATTCACCTCTTGTGTTAAACGCTGACAGGACTGAACGTGAGGAGGCTCTGTCTTGCCCATTGCAGCATTATTTCCATATGCCCAGTGATTGGTGAGTCATGGCTGTCTGAAAGGCCCATGTCTGCGATGGCCAACTGACTTTAATTGGCTGACTATAATTAGATGCTATATCTTATTCATAATCTAAAAAACGAATTAAGAAACTCTACTTACTAAACAAGACCATGCAAACACTCTTCCCTTCTCCAGTTACATATCTGGTTTGAAATCATATTTTCATCATGTACTTCAATCAGAACAACATATCTCAGCAGATTGAACACGGAAGCAGATATGTGAATTTCACCGTCTTCCACTAAGCCAGATATTATATTTGTACAAATGTAAAATCATGTGATTCTTCTCACTGTGAATATATATATATTATGTATACAGTGCATAACTACAAATAATCAAATGGTTTAATATTGTTTTAAATGAATTAAAAATAGTTTTTGTTATTTCTAGCATCATAAATATGAATAATAATAGCCTATATTACTTAAAATCTCTTCAAATTGCTCATGCTTTAAATGTGAGTTTAAAGGGTCCCAAGACCAAAGTTTTGAGAACTATCTTAAAGTATTTGAGAATTAGAAGTTTATTCTTCATTAGATTAAATAGAGACTTTCTCTCAAAACTCTGTAGCACTTTTGCAGACTTAAAATGGTTTTAGGAGGTCTGACATGGCACCTCCCACATTGAAATTAAAGTTAGAACAGGGACTAGAGCACTTGTGAACTAGAGAGATTATGGCCAGGCCTGGAGGCTCCAGCTGAGGACAGTGCCTTCCCCAGTAGTGTTTCTTTGAGAACTCAGTCTTTTGTATGCTTGATTTATGGAGTGGAGTCAGGAACTGTCACCATGTTAGGAAATGCCAGTGGCTGTGCCATTCAGCTTCTGTTATATTTGTAAGGGACTTCATCTGAAAAACGAGTTTATTCTTGAATTGTACCTCTTGTCTCAACTTTATGGCAGAACAATTTGCAAATATCACCAAAATAAAAAAGAACTTGCAGATATATACAAATATATTCTGGTCATATTTTTGTATTTTGTTATAATGTTTATGTGTGGATGTTTTAGTTCATTTGGACAGGCATATATTATATGCCTTTGCTTAGATATGCATTTCTGTCCTTGGAAGCCTCTTGCTGGATGGGAGCCTTTTTCCCACTGGCAAAAATATTAGGCAAACACTTCAGATACAAGCCCTTGTTGTTTCTTAGAATTTTGGATAAGGCACAGGCCCTGAGGCTGCACGAGCTGTGGAAAGCTTCATACAGGTGTTGAGTCATACAGCAGGAGTGTTGCACAGCGACACCTAAACGTTTCCCTGGTGAAGAATCTGAGGATGGCAGCCTGATTGCAGAGTGATGTGTAGGGAGGCAATAGCATCGACATTAGGGTGCTTTGGAAATTACAAATAACAGTTTTGCAGTTTCCCACCCGTGGCTGGCTGGTAGGTGTGGCAAAGACCAGGCCTGTGTCATGCATACACATTTGATTTTATTTGTCAGGCTGCAGAGAGCCTTTAAATGATTTGTAATAGGTGATTGACAGGCTCAACTAGTATATTAGATGCAGTAACAGTGCAGAAGGTCCTTTTATCAGAAGATGAGGGTGGGGAGCAGAGTCAGGAGACTATGCAGGACTGCCTCTGGAGGTCAGGTCATGGCTGATGCCTGGCTGTCAGCTGAGCAGAACACTAGAAGGTTGGGTAAGAAAGGTGTTGGTTAGTGTGAAAATGCCAGATAAGAAGGATCCAATTTAGAGAAATCACTGCTGGCTGAATGTACTGTTTATACATTTTATACCCTTCTACCTTCATGAGCTATACCTCATGCTTAAGCAGTTTTGTTTGTAAAGATCATCATCTAGACAGGCCATAGCTCTCAACCCAGTCATCCCATTTGTATTCCTGTGCCCCTGCTGCATATCGCTCAATACTTTTCCCTGAAGGCTTTATATCATCATCATTACATTTCCAATATTTGGTAACATTGAACTTAAAGTGACACTGTAATGTCAAGTTATAAACATTGAAACACCAGTGGGAATGGATACGTTTTATCCATATTTTGTGTAATTGCACCTGCCAAGTTATTCTCTAGATTAAAGGCTGTTCTTTACAGAATGTTAATATAGTAGAGAAAGCTTGTGAGTTTGTGTTTATGTTGAAGTAGTAGGTCAGCAGTGTAGAGGAAGGTAAGTCTGGCTGAGCTTTGATGTCAGGAAGAATTCTCGTATTTTCTTTTCTGTCCTCTTGTCTGCTAACTTGACTTTTATCCTTTTCTCACTAAAATGCTTCCACTGAGAAGGACGTAAGCGTAAAAAGCACAAAAAACATTTTAAGAAACGTTTTAAAGGTCTTGATCGCTCCAAAGGTAGGTACAAGCAGTTCTCTACCTGTGCTGTTAATACACCTCGATTTCTGTCTAGGAAGGTAAAATGAACATTAGTGTGCAGTTTAAATATAAAACTGAACTTTATGGTAGAACTTTTTATCAGATTCTAAAATAAATCTAAGAAAGGACCCTAGAATACATTGTAATTTCCAATGCGTAATGTATTTAGCGCTCTTTGGCCATCGGTCGTGAAGTGTGTCAGAACTGCAAGTCTTGAGCTCCTGTTTTTCTCTTTTTCATAGATAAGCCCAAAGAAGCAAAAAAGGACACATTTCTGGAGAAATTGGCAACTCAAGTAATAAAAAATGTTCAAGTGAAAATTACAGACATTCACATTAAATATGAAGATGATGTAAGTAATTTCAGTATTTCTTGTTGGTCATTAAATGTGTTTTATGATATTCTGTATCTTATGATATTCCATTTGTAGATTAACTGAACCTAATTTAAATTTAAGATAGCCACTCCTGTAAATATGTGAGTGTTTCACCCTTCCCACTAGACAGTGTTGATCATATATAAATACAGTGTAAAACCGCTACATGGGTTGACTGCTCTTTGTGCTTTATTTGGATTTTGTTGTATATGCTATGATGTAACTTTAAGAAACTAATTTCATTTATATTGTCAAAACAATTAGTTGTGAAAGGTGACGGAGCAACTGTTGGTAATGGCAGTCAGCAGACAGGGCCTCTGGTCAGTGTAGTTACAGCCTCTTAGTAGCCCCTGCAGTGGGCCTGGACGGCTCAGGAGCACCCACAATGGGGTTAGAAGCCGGTCTGAGGCAAGTCAACTCTGATTCCCATGTTAATTTGCCTTAAGTTTGACTAGATTAGAAGACTATTGATAGACAGAGTTTCATTTCCCCTTGCTGCATTCTCTGTGTGACAGTATCCAATGATGTATTTGCAGCTTGAGAAAAAAAAAACCCACTATAGCTAACTCCATTATATATTTATATAAATTAAATATTTATATGCATTAGTTACAAATAAAATATATGAAGCTGTTTGTGCTTTCCAACTACCCCCCCACGCATATATTTCCTCTTTGATAAGGGTCTGTGTGACAAGACTATGAAGTTCCATTTGGATGATGTTGAACAACAGTTACAATTTCTTTTCCTATAGTTCATGCTTCCATCACAAGCTAACAGTTGTCTTTGGCTTTCAAACATCTTTCAATGGTCACAGACAACAACAACATGCACATTGTGACACAGGCTAAATATCATTTATAAATATCACATATCAACATTCAGAAATAGAAAAGTTGGTAGATTTGGGGTAAATAGCCTTGGTAAAATAAATATTAAAATTTTAAAGCGTGGCTGGAAAAGGAGGATTGAAAGTTTAAGACCAGGCTGGATTACAAAGTGGGATCCTGTGTCAAGAAAAACAAAACAACCTCAGCAAAGCATAAGACCTAGATCCTTTCTTTACCAGGCACTTTTGAAGTATCAAGGAAAATTATAAATATTGTTCATGTTTCCGAAGATGGAAATCTTAAGTGCTAGAGCAGTTATTTAGAGCTGAAGTCATTGTCTGTGGAGAACATCGTGATACACACAAAGAAGCATCTCTTTCTAACCATCTAAGCAAGAGTCTGCTGGTCATAGTTCTGGTGATTCTTAGCTGTAAGAAAATAGTTCTGGGAAAATACCACATTAGTGACATAGGAGTTCCTGTGAGAAGGCAAGGAGGCAAGGCTCCACCATCTTGTATTTTAATGTTCCCTTTCTTCTTTGGTAGGTCACCGATCCAGAAAGGCCGCTTTCATTTGGTGTCACCCTGAGAGAATTTAGTCTGTTGGTAATTTTGTCTTTTTAACTTCTGTGGAATCTGTAAAGTATTAATATTCTGAAATCAACTGAATTGCCTAAGGCACACTTTGCTTTAAATAGCTTTTATGTTTCTGAAGAATTCTCTTGCTGGACATTTTCTCCAAGCTCACCATTTTCAGTAATATTTTTATATTTAGTAATTATTTTGATTTTAAAAATGTTTCCACATAACAAATGTTAAAGCATTCAGAGGAAATAAATGCTGTATCTTGTGTATATGGGGAAGGAACAGATGACTGTGTAGTGTTCTGAGTTTGTACTTGGTAATATTTTGTAGGATCTCCAGAGAGTAGATAAATGTGTGTGTGTGTGTGTGTGTGTGTGTGTGTGTGTGTGTGTGTGAGAGAGAGAGAGAGAGAGAGAGAGTTGATTAGATATTTCATAATACAGATATATTCTTCTTAAGCAGTATAGGGTATGCATAGCAGACTGGATTTTTTTTAAACTCTTCTAAGTAACTAAGTGATAGGAAACATGCTTGGGGGCATGAAGCTGCTTTTGATAAAGCAGAATATTCAGTAGCAAAACTGTCTGAAACACCAAAATCTGAGTTCTTAAGGGTAGAGGGATCATTAATCCAGAAAATTGAGCCTAATAATATACTTTATAAACAGCATCATACTTAACTTTGAGCATCTAACAAGTAAATAAAACAAACAAACAAGAAACCAAAAAATGAGAAATAGCAGACCACTCTGCCTGGTCTGTAACGCATACTAGTGCAAGTGGTCTTACTGTGTGCTCTTGCGGTTCCCCAGTCTTTGCTCAGAGCCCCTACTGTTTCACTTGCCTGTGTAGCCATTCCTTTTGACAGCTTGGTAATTTTGCTCAGATTGTAGAACTCATGTGAGGAAGTGTCTTGCCTTTGTTGTCTTTTACTTTCTTCTTAGAGTTTATTAGTGCCCTTTCCTCATTCTTCCTGTCTTACTGTGTCAAGATCCATAACCTGTTGTTATCCCAGGTTCTGAGCTAGGCCTCTAGCTAATCTGTACTTACCAGCTGATTCAGAGAGTCTCTTGTGCTTTGTGAGATTGGGTCTGTCTCAAGCGTGCAGCTTATTGTCCTACAGCTGCTGGGCCTCAATGATAAGAGGCTGTCAGGAAGCCTGCTGCCTCTTTTGTGTGCACACCATTCTTCCTTTCATCTTCTCAGTGACAGGATTACTTCCATATTAGATGCCCTGTGTCTACAGGTCTCATTGTCTCCACGTTCCTGCTTTCTGTCATTCTCTCTTCCAGATCAGCTTCACTTTCTCTTCCCTATATCTTCCTATAAGCAGTTAAACACTTTTTTTTTTTAAGACAGAGTCTTATTATGTAGGTCTGACTGGCCTGGAACTCATCAAGTAGACTAGCCTGGCTTTGAACTCATGGAGATCCACCTGCCTCTGCCTCCTGAGTGCTGATATTATATCATGCCAGTCTTAAACATTCTTGTCTCTTCCTCCTAACAAAACTTAACAAGGCTCTACTTAAGTTTCCATCCCCAGCCTGACTCTTCAGCTTGTGAAATGGGTTGGGCAGTCTGTCAGCAACGCCCCCTAGTGGATGTTAGCATGGATGTCAGCCATGCTGCACACATGGTTGTGCTGACTTCCACAGACACTGTGTTTCCATCCTTACAGCAACTTTTATTTTTCAAGAAGGTATATCTTCTTCACATGTACACACCAGCTCCCTGTTTTTATTCATGTCTAGGACTTCAGAAATATAGTCATCCAACAATAATTTTCTAAATGGTTGAAATAGAGTCCCTTCAATTTTAAATTTCATTGCTTCTTTTTGTTATATAAATATATAAAGAAACAGTTAACCTTACCTGACAACACCTAGGTAAGTTTTAAACTTTTAAAAAATACTTTTATGTGTGTGTGTATGTGTGTTTGAGAGAGGAGAAGGGGGCATCTCTGCACCACAGCACACATGCGAAAGTCAGAGCGACTTGTAGGAGTCCATTTCCCCTTCTACCATGTGGGTCCTGGGGTTAAATTCAAGTTATAGTTTTGGTGGCAAATGATTTTACCCATCGATCCATCTGGCTGGCCACTTTTCTTTCTAAATTATTTGATTATTACTTACAGATACTAGAGTATATATGGCACATACTGCTTTGTAAGAGTTGACCTTCTTTCTTTTCTTTTTAGACGACTAATGAACACTGGACTCCATGCATTTTAAATGAGGCAGAAAAAATCATATATAAGGTATTAACTTTCATATACAAGGTCCTAGAATTTCTTGGTAGGGATCAGTTTTTGTGCTCATGTGGATAAGATCTTTAAGAACTAATGTATCTGTTCAGCCAGATGGTAGGAGAGATGGTCAGAATCCAGCCATTGGAGCCAGCTTGGAGAGGTGTCTCACTTCACTAAATGTGATCATTTAGTCATTTTAATGCAAACCCTGCAAAAGTGTTAAGTACATCTTAAGGATAGAGCAAAAGTAACACATCTAAGCCCTCAGGAGTTTTGGGAAGGCGTGGGAGTAAATATAAGCATGTTTGATTTATAGTAAATGATCTAACTCTTAGTAACTGCTTCTGACCATATAAAATGCTGGTATTTAGGGGAAACTTGACTACCTTTGTATTTATGATAAAACTAGCAAGTGTCATGCCAGGGAATATTGTGTACACAATTGTGGGCATCCTGATAGGACCTCTTAGTGTGGTAATCTATTTATTTTTAACATTTTAAGGTTAAAAATTAAGATGTCATTAGACATTTAATGTATTTATGGAATGAATTTTGATTGATTCCAAATTTTAGTGGATCAGGATTCTGAGTGATCTACATACGACCACTCTTGAGTTTAAAAGAGTCTATATTTTAAACTGGCTGTCTTAATCAATTTGTTAAGTAACCTATTTCTGAATTTTAAACTAACACTTGTTGCCTTTGACAGACTTAGGTATTTCATACCAATTGAGAGTGTAACACTCTCCCTCATAAAGCACAAACAAAACATGTTGAATGTCAGAGGTATTTTAATAGGGTTGATGTGTTTTATTGGCAAAGTTAGCTCATTAGGGAAAATGTTTTTGATATGGGTGACTAAGTGAGCCTAAAATGCCTTGGATTTTAAGGACTTACATTATCTTTGTAGTTTGTTAATACAGATGAGTCAGGGGTGGAAAAGCCCAAGCTCTGGTTTGGATTCAGCTTTTACCGTATGAATTTCTGTGATCCCTTATCTGTGCTGAAGTTTGGATTCTTCATCCATCAAGTGAAGGGTCTGGATACAAGCATCCTTCCAGATGATATTACATGTCAGACTAGGCAGTTGAGGTCTTAGATGCAGAGAGAATAATTTGTGGTCAGGCAAGAGATGTGGTTAAGCTGCACACCCTGCATAACTATCGGGTGTGTGCTCTGTGTTTGCCTGCAGGACTTGTCAGTGCTTGACATGGTTCATAGCGTGCTTGCTCCCCAGCGGTTATATCATCCAGTCTGTAGCTTTCCAGCTTTATTGACCATAAAGGGCCTTTCCGCAGTCCTCCTCAGTGCAGCCACTGAAAACTGCTGGAGGGAGCTTGCATTGTCTTATCTAGGAAACAGTCTGTAGATGCTGATTTTTTACTATTTGATAATCGAATGAATGTGAATCTCTTGAAAATGTGTTCCCAGAAATGCATTTTAAAAAATGTTTCTCACATTGGTACATTCAATCTATATGAAATACTTAAGTCTGTCAAAGGCAACAAGTGTCATTTTAAAACTCAGAAATAGGCTATTTAACAAATTGATTAAGATAGCCAGTTAAAACATAACATTTGCTCTTTTAAATTCAAGAGTAGTCATATGTAGATCACACAGAATCCTGATTGTCTAAAATTTAAAATCAAACAACATTAAAAAATTAACGAATGCTAAACTTTAAAAAGTCCTATGTATACACTTCTCCTTCATTTTTGGCTATTTCCTTTTCTTTAAAAGTTTAGAATTTCAGTGAACACAGGGGTAGTTGTTGAATGCTGTTGTCCAGTTTTAGGGTGCTTTGCTTGACCACTTTCGTTTCTCTTACATAGCTTGTGAAGCTTGACAGTCTCAGTGCCTATTGGAATGTTGGCTGCTGCATGTCTTACCGTGGATCAAGGGAGCACATCTTGGTAATTTCAGTTCTTACCTTGACGTGTTAACTGCACACCCTAAGTGTGCTTAAAAGGGGAGGTCTTTTTTGTTTTTGTTTTTCGAGACAGGGTTTCTCTGTGTAGTCCTGGCTGTCCTGGAACTCACTCTGTAGACCAGGCTGGCCTCGAACTCAGAAATCCGCCTGCTTCTGCCTCCCAAGTGCTGGGATTAAAGGTGTGCGCCACCACTGCCCAGCAAAAGGGGAGGTCTTTAATGAGGACAGGCTGTCAGTCATTTGTTTAACTGGCATATCACTAAGTCAAAAGTCTGAAAAAAACTTTTGAACTTCATTCTGTCTCTTCAGAAGAGGCCTCTGATTCTGAAGATCGTTTTGAAAACCCTCACTTGCCGGTGACAGGGAGCCTGTTACAGCGCCCTCTGTGGTTGTTCATACACACTTTGGTGGTACTCTTATTATGCTGTTTCCTATAAGGAGGATTAGGAATACTGTGGGATACCACCCGTCAGACCTGGAGCACATGTGTCTTACAAGTCTTCAAATAACTATGATAATGATTTCCTGCATGGTCGACATGCGGTCCAGTGATTCAGTGTACTGAGCCAATGTCTTATTTCTTCAGTTAGAACAACCACACTTTCTAGATTAGATAAACTTTAAGACTCCAGGAACACTCTAACAGAGACTCAGCCTTTGACTAGGATGTTGTAGATATATATCTGTCTCTGAGTGGTTTTTATAGAGAGGACTTGTAATATGCTCTTAGATATTTAGCTCATTGTGTGTTTATTATAAAATACTTGTACATTTATACTGTATATTTTTCCCATGGTAGTTATTAGTAACAGAACAATGAAGGTACAAATGTGAGAACCATTTATTTATATTTATAATTTTTGCTACATGTGGTTAACTGTCTTTCTCTCTCATTCTTAAATCTCTTTAGAATCAACTGAAACGTGAAATTCTTACAAGTGCAAACATTCCCCCAGACCATCAGTACAGTGAGTACCAGGGAGAGTTCATTTATAGAAGAGACATGGAAGTCAGTGTTTCCACAAACTTTTCTAAATCAAGTCATTTTAACAACCAGAATGTGTTGATTTTATGGTATTTGGCCACACATGCACATTTGGATGTAACTTCTTAGGACTAGACTATAGCCACACAGTACTGGAGAATGATGGGGGAGGCAGAGGAGCTGGGGCTCACTCCTACAGCCAGACTCCTTTGACTTCTGCTTTCTTTTACCTTGTTACAGTGTTCTTTGTCTTGTGGTTTGGGCTCCTCCCTTCCTTTTCTCCCTTCACCCCTCCCTCTTCTTTTTTCTTCTTTCCCTCCTGCTTTTGGAATCTCTGGGATTGTGGTATTCACATCACCTTTAGGAGTGTAAGCCAATCATGCTGGATATTTTTTAAAGTGAAGTTTGTATATTTTTTGGCAGCCTCTCCTTTATTTCTCTGGCAGAATTGCCTGCTTATCTGTTTACTGCATCTGCTTTCCCGTTTCAGTTTCATCCTGAGAAGCTGTTAGTTTGTTGTCATTCAGTGAATGTCTTTATAATCGTCCTTAACTTCCGTGTCCCTTTCTTTCCATAGTCCAGTTGTACTGGTTCTCCAAGGTTTTCCTCCTGTCCTTTGTAGCTCGTTGCTGTAGATGATGGTGCTTTCTGTTATCTTCATCCACTTGAATAATGACAAAAATTTAAAGTTTATAAAAAATTTTAGTTTCTTTGATAAAAATAGTTCAGAAAATATTCATCTTAACCTCAGGCATTTATAAATCACATAAGTCAGTCAAAATAGTATACAATTTAGTGCAAGTTATACTTATCATAAGGTGTAATAAATACACCTATATGGACTTGATACTATTTATAGTTAGACTGTGTCACTGTCATCAACCCTAGTAGATTTTTAGCTTTTACTGTCACTCAACCTTAAAGTATTTATAGTTTTTCTTGTAGTCGTTTGTATATGATGAACTTGAAAACAGTATACTGGTAGTTTGTTCCCTGGGATGATTTAATTATGTTTCTAAATTTTGTCAATTATTAAGAAAAAATTAGATTTTTATTTCTCCTCTTATTCTAATATTTTAAATCAACAATAAACTATTAAGTTATAGAAAAACACAGCTGTAGACAGGAATTGTCTGTTTTCCATATTCTCCTTACCCGGGAACACATGACGCCAGGTAACCATGGAGATTAACTAGCAAGCTACCTAACTTGTTTCATACAGATAAGTAGATCCTTATTCGTAGCTTTCTCTTGTACATGCCCTCTCTCTCTCTTTATCTCTCTCTGTCTCTCTGTCCATTTTTCTTTCTTTAGATTGAAAATAGATTATTGTATATAATATATTGTGATCACTGTTTTACCCTCTCATCCCCTCCCAGGTCCTCCCTATATCACCATCCATTCCCCTCCATGCTTCTTTCTCTCTCTGTAGAAAACAGGCAAATATAAAACCAAAAGAGTAGAACAAAACAGAAAAGCAAACAAAAAACAAAGAAGAAGCATGAGAAGCCCATACACAGGTAGAGACACAGCACACACTAGAGAATCATAAAACCACAAAATTGGAAACCATAATATATAATCAAAAGCCAGTCAAGTAAAAATGCTCAGATAAAGCGTAATGAGACAAAAATAAACTTCCAGATGCTATTGAGTCAGTGTTGTATTGGCTACCTGTTACTGGGTATGGGGCCTTCCTCTCAGTGTCGTTTGCATATGCAGTGAGACTCCCTTGGAGAGACAAATATTTTCTTTGTGAGCGATTGCCAGTTGGAAATAGCTTCTTGGTCAGGGGTGGGAGCTCATATCCTCTTCCTCATCACAGTGCTGGGACTCCATCTGGCTTGGACCTGTGCAGGTCCTATGCGTGCTGTCTCTGTTTCTGTCACATAAGCCTTGTGAAGTAAGCCTTGCATATTTCTTGATAGTGATTTTGTTATGTATTCATAGCACCATGTACTCTTTCACTTTCAATATATAATATTCTCATAATTATTATATTATTAATATTGTTATAGTAGTTCATAGTTAAGAGCATGAAAACCTGTCCTACCTCTTCCCGCATGATACCAGTTTTCCAGCCAATATCAGCCTCTGCAAAACTCTACATGAATCCTGGTGCAGAATCAGAGCTCAAAACACCCAAACTTGATGGGAACATAGAAGTACAGAATATTGCCATTGAGCTGACGAAGCCTCAGGTAAGGCTCCACTAGGTAGCTCTGGCTTTAATCAGCCCTGAATCGTGATTGTTCTTGTGCTTGTCATTAGTCATTCTCTGTGGTGTGGTGGTACCTTTGTTTCATTCTATTGACATTTGATGAAAAAGATATAAAGATTTTTAAAAAGAGAGATTTCAGACAAACAGTTTCCATTAGTCTAATCTCTTTCACAAACTATACTTAATCTTATTAAGCTGTACTGAAGGATGTTTTTCCCATTGAAATCATAATTTTAGGAGAATTTCAGTATGCTTTTCTCATTTTTTCTTCTTATCTTTTAGCAGTGTGTGTATGAGTGTGTATGTGTGTGTGTGCATGTGCATGTGTGTGAGGTGAGAGGGCAACCTGAAGGAGTCGCTTATGTCCCTCTACCTTGTAGGCTTTTGGGATTGAAGTCAGGCTGTCAAGCTTGGTTTGAGCCTCTAAACCCTGAGCCGTCTTGCCAGCTACTTTTTTAGTTATTAACAATTTTGTTTATTTGTACTTATATATAGTATGTGAGCCTCTGTGAATATATGTGCAGTCATGCTTTCAAGAGCCTAAAGTAAGGGTATTAGATCCCTGGAACTGAAGTTATCGGGGGTTATGAACTACCACAGGGGTGCTGGAATTAAATCCAGATCCTTTGCAGGAAATCTGTGATGGAGTTTATTGTTGAAGTTTGGGCTAGACACATTTAGGTAGAATTGTATTAAGGAAGATTCAAAGGAAGCTAGCCCTTTGTCTATCTGAGTCTGTGATTATTAAACCTCTCTCCTTGTGTGTTTCTCTTTATTTAAACTGTTTGTCAGGCCCGCACGGCACAAAGCTCTGTTGGTAGTAAAGTGAGTGATTAAACAGCTTCAGCTTGCTTAGTTATACATCAGTTTCCTGGAGCAGTTTGGGAATTAGCTACTGTAGCTGAGGCAAAAGTGAGAGTCCAGAGGAAAAGCAGGCAGGCTCGGAGACAAGTACAATCAACACTAGGAGACATACCATTTTATTATTTCTAAGATACATATTTTTCCATTTTAGAATATATGAAAAAATAGATGTGTATTTCTGGTTGTGTGACAGTTTAAATAGCAGTACCCTTCTCTTTTATAAGAGAGCTTAAAGTATTGTGCTGTAATTTCTAATTGGTAATATTACATTTAATCAGGTATAGTTAGTCTATTATTGAATTATCAGAGATTTTTGGCGTCCTCTAGAAAAAGAGAATCAAATCTAATTTTATTTATATGTCCACTGTAACAAACCTAATTTTGTTCTTGTCTCAATAGTATTTAAGTATGATTGACTTTTTGGAGTCACTGGATTATATGGTTAGAAATGTGCCATACAGGAAGTACAAACCTTGCTTACCACTTCACACCAACTGTCGGCAATGGTAAGTTAGAATTTCTCTCTCTCTCTTTCTCTTTCTCTCTCTCTCCCTCCCTCCTTCCTTCCCTCTCTCCCTCCTCCCTCCCCCTCCCCCCCCCCCCCCCCCCCCCGTGTGTGTGGAGCGGTATGGGTGTGTTGTGTGGTGTATGAAGGTGCACTTGCCTGTGTGAGTGTGTATGGAGAGTGGAGGTAGATGTTGGATATTTTTCCTGATTGCTTCTCTCATCCCTACTTTCTGAGACACAGCCTCTCCTTGAGCCTGGCCATCTCCCATCGCCCCAGCACTGGGGCTGCAGCTGGGTGCCAATGAACCCAACGTTTACATGCATTCTGGGGATGCAACCTCAGGTTCTTACTTGCTCATCAAGTGCGTGAGCATGGAGTCATCGCTTTACTCTTGTTCTTTTGTTTCCAAGAGATGAATATCATATTGTCAGGGCCTTCAGAGTCAAGAAACCTTTAAGGCCTTATTGTCCAAACACTTCAAAAACAATAAGAAAAGAGAGATCGTTTCTGTCTGTGCTGTTCCCCCACTGATACCTCATTTGATATTCTGCTTCTGGACTCCTAAAGTTTATCTTAGCATTCAAGACTTCGAACATGTTTTTAAAAGTCTTGTCAATTTTCCACGTGGACTCAAGGTTATAGGAACACAGCCTGTAGCCACGTTTCACTTAGCAGTGGAGGTGTGTGTATGAAATGCATTGTACGATTGTGTGGGTATCATGCAGTGGGAACTAAAATAGCTGTGCCATCGTGAGATAATATAACTCTGTGAAGTCACTGTGCTGGATGTGGTCTGCCGTTTAACAAGGAGTTGCAATTAAGCATGTGACTGTACCATTTTCCACATGTACCATTTGGCGTGGTTGTGCTTCAGGGGGCTTGCAGTGTTACTGTTGGAGTTACTAGAAGACGGTAAAGAACAATAACAAAATCAACAGAGTGGAATCGCTGAGAAATCTAATCTGTTTTCTTGCATTTTTATATTCACATGTACATTAACAAAATTTGACTTCAGGTGGAAATATGCTATTGATTCCGTTCTTGAAGTTCACATAAGAAGATATACTCAGCCATGGTCATGGAGTAACATAAAAAAACACAGGCAGTTACTCAAGAGTTACAAAATGGCTTACAAAAGCAAGTTAACACAAACCAAAGTCTCAGAAGAAATACAGAAACAAATTCAGGTATATATTTCATATGTTAGTACTGCTAACTCCTAATCACCCTTTAATATTCTGTCTCTCACTCTGTAGCTCTGGTTGTCCTGTCACTATAAATACCAGGTTGACCTCAAACTCACAGAGATCTGCCTATCTCTGCCTCCCAAGTGCTAGGATTAAAAGTGTGCACCACTACATGCAGCTCCTTTAACATTCTTATGTATCTGGTTTGAATTGGAATATAACTTGACAGTGAACAGACTCATACATGAGAAAATAGAGTGTCCTTCCTTACATTTTCATTTCTTTTTATTAACCAACAATCCTTTTCCATAGCATAATGTCACATTTAGTAAAACTACTACAGGTTATGTGAGAAAATGTGTCTCATTTTCCTACTAATGTTTAGAAAATGGACATTAGTTCATTTGTTAGATCTTGTTTGTTCATAAAAATTCCCACACTTACACAATTTTGTTCTCTCCATTTTAGAGCTTAAAATATTGTTTGCAAACAAAACAAATAGAACCCCCTTTTCCCTGAGAAAGGCTGGGACTTTTACTTGTGTCCCAAATACAGAATTTGCTTAATTACATGTGTTGCCGTGGCTGCCATTCAGTCACTGTGTCTGGGATATAAGATGGGGCTGGACTCCTGTGCTTTGGAACCATAATAGTGACCAGTGTGATACAAGAGGGGCATAGGTGTGGTGACAAAGATCAGGACTCAAGGAGCTTGGTGTTTTCCAGGTGTTCTGGTCACACAGACATGGGTTTCTCAGCTGCTCAAGTTTCTTCTCAGGAATAAAGTGAAGACAGCGTCTGTCTTATAGTCCTGACAGCTGTATGAACAAATTCACGAGTGTTCAGGTCATCTAATTAATGTTGGAGTCTCAGTTCTCCTTTAGTCTACTTGGTGACTTGAGTAGTTTACATTCTTTTTTTAAAAAAAGTAATGATGTAATGTCTATAAAATAATACAGCATAGGGAAGAATAAGAAGTAAGGATCACAAGAAAATACCTAAAACTGCTCTCCAGTTTTTATTCTTTTTAAAATTTTATGCCTTTAAAATTATGTGCATATACATGTTTCTGTGTTTGCTTGTACACATAAGTTCAGATATTGGAGGAGGCCAGAAGGGGCATCAGATGCCCTAGAGCTGGAGTCACAGGTGGCTGGGAGCTGTCAGATGTAAGTGCTGGGGACTGAACTGCAGTCTTTGCAGGGAATGCTGTGCTGTTTTCCAGCACTTATTTAGCTCTTCACATCCCCTCCTTTAATAAAAAAAAAACCTTTTAGAAAATGTATTTATTTTGTTTTATGTGAATGTCCTCCCTACATATATGCCTGAGCACTACATGTGTGCCTGGTGCCTATGGAGGTCAGAAAGGACATCCGATCTCCTGTTACAGGTAGCTGGGTGCTGGGAACTGACCTTGGATCCTTTGTTAAAGCAGCCAGTGGTCTTGTTGTCTGAGCCTCTCTTCAGCCCCAGCATAGTTCCTGTCAAAAACATTCTTATTTTATGTGCAGCTATCTAATACCTCACAGAAAATGCTTTATTTTCACACTGTTGAGTAACGATTTAAGTTTTTAAATTACTTACTTTCCTTACTATTAAAAATGAAAATGAGTAAAAGCATGTTTTAGCTCATGCTTTCATTAGACAGTTCCGGTGTTGGTACTGCCTAGATGAGTACATCAGTCATAGAAGTCACAGGGTATGCTTTATGTAATCCTTTTTTTTTTCTCTTGTTTTGCAGGACTTGGAGAAAAGTCTAGATGTTTTTAACATAATTTTAGTGAGACAACAAGCACAAGTTGAGGTAATCACTTTGCCTAACTGACTTTATTCTTTATTCAGCGAGTAATTGCCACTTCTTTAAGCCTGGGATGAAGAAATCTGAATGTTATGGGAAGTTGCTAAGATTTACCCAAATGAGAATAGGGATGGATCCTTATTGCTTCATTCTGTCTCTAGAGAAAACTAAATGGAAAAAAAGCTGTTAAAATGAGAAGGAAGAGCTTTAAAACTAGGCAATCAAAACTTTGTAACATTGTAAATCTAAGTTCCCAGTCATTCTAGCAGTCTGGAATATCAGTTACCATTTGGCATCAGGCTCATGCTCTTCCTTAGGACTTAGCAAAGACTTCGCAAAGACTTCATGAGTTTCTGTCATTCTAGATCCGGGTTAAGTGTGTGGACCTGAGGGTCAGATGGCCCCAGTCTTGCAGGCTTTTGTTTTTATGACTCAGCACTAGCTATTTAATCTCTTTTGTGCTTCAGTTTTCTCATTTATACAATGTAACCTGCATCTTGGGCTTATTGTGGGGGAATATGTGGTAATTCATTTAAAACACTTTGTCTGTTATGGGCCTGGCCCTTAGAAATGACTATGTAAGTAATTTTTTTCACCTTTCTCTTTATCATTTGTACTAGCCTATGGAAGTGAGCAAAATAAAGAAATCCCTTCCAAAGGGAAAGAAGGATAATAAATACACAATTAGACACAGATAGCAGGATCTAGAGAGTGCTGCAGCTAGGCAGTGATGATCACTGGGGTCACAGGTTTAACCAGGACGACAGCGGAAGCTTCAGTCAGAGAGGATTGGACTGATGACCCAAGGAGGTTGAGAGAGACACCAGAAAGATGTGCTCGGGCAGAGCTGACCCGGGAAGGAAAGAATAGACTGTATCAGTTGAAGGCTTTTGGCCTGGGGAGGGTGGCAGTCACTGTGCTTTACAGTAAGTGGCAGGGTGGAGTGGAAGTGGTGCTGTTGGGAACGGGGGAGGTCACCAGGCTGTGTGGGACTTTATAAGCAGGAGTGGATTTTGGCTTGAATTGGCAAGTCATTAATATTGAGTGTGAGAAGCAGGATGTTATAATTGAGGATGCTTTGCAAACAACTCTAGGAGAGAACAAGAGGATACTGACAGGGAGGCCAGTTGCTGCTGAGCTATCAGGTGTGGGGTGGCACGGGAGTGAGTAATCTCACTCAGGGGTTTCTACTCCACCTTTGATCATTCAGTTCCCAGATAAAAGACACACCATGTTTATATTTATAATAAACTTCAGTCAGCATTAGAGCGGGACAGATACCTACCCTATGTGCTATAGTGTCTACATTCCTGCCAATAACCCTGAGATACGACTTGCAATGTTCTGTGTGGACCACTCTTATTCCAATTGGCTAGTCCACAAGGCTAGTACTTACAGTCCCTTACCCCATGGTGTCTTCTCCTTTTTCCATCTTCTACTTCCCCTTCTTCATGGTCCTACCTCAGAATCCAAGCCTCGGAATCTAAACCCCACCTACCTCTCTTCTGCCCAACTATAGGCTGTCACCATCCTTGTTCAACCATTAGTTTTTTATTAAGGAGTAATGTATGCGTGGCAGCCAAGCCTTGAAGGATGGGAGGGAGGAGGCAGTATTTAGCATTATAATACATATCAAAAGACCAAACCTCAACAGGGGAGGAGCTTGGTTTCGGTGGAGGGGATAGAATGTTCCAGAGTCTAGATGTTTGAAGGCAGAGCCCATATAACCAGATGCAGGCTAGAGATAAGAGAGTTAAAAAGCCTTGGGTTATTTTGGTATCAACAGTTGAAAGTATAGATCTGTCATTAAACAAGATGGGGAAGACTGGGTGGAGCAGCTGGGGTACAGTGTAAGTAGATCTGAAGTTCACATTAGATACAGCAATGTGAACTCACAGTTCAGAAGAGAAGTCTGCTGCACGTGTGAATTCAGGATGGGTTAGAAGTGTGAGACTGGATAAACTTACCTAAGGAATTAGGGAAGAGACCATAAACCTTCTGCTGTCCTGCTTAGAGAGATGGGAAACAACTCAGAGGTGACCGTGGGTGTTTCCAAGATGAAGGAGGAAAGCTTGATTAACACAGCTCCAAATTCAGGCAGAAAAGGTCTTCTAGGCAGAGAGTACCCGACTGCCTATGGCTACCTGTGATAGACACGCCTGAGTAGCAGCTGAGCTGACTCAGAGATGTGCGATTACACCTGTGGAATGCTTGCAGATAACATTTCTTCCTTCTTTTCTTTTTGGATGACTGATATCTGTCTCTCTTTTTTGCTCACTGTCTATACACAAATACATTCATGTAAATAGCTATATAAAATATATATAATATAAACACTCAGAGTGTAAATATGCACACATATGTTAATGCTAGAATGAGAATACCATATTTGATATATCTTGATGTCTTCTATTTCATATCTCTTTACTCTTGAATGTTTGTATTATGGGTGACTTAGGACAAACACTGAATATTTTCTCTGTGCTTAGCCTTCATAAAACATCCTCTTTCATTTTAGAACTTACTTTTTCCCCTTTAACTTCTCTTTTTGGATTGTTTTACTTTTTATTATGGGATACTTAATTATGTTAATGATTTACTGTCCATTGAAGATTCTCTTAAAAGTGAGTTTGAAGATTGTGGAAGATCAGAGACTGATGGTAGAGTCTAAATCATCTACTCTTCTTTTCCCATACTTGTTTTCTGGTTTCTGAAGAAGTAGGGTAGGAGGAGGAGGAGGAGGAGGAAGCATCTTAGGCTGTATTTGAAGCACGAGGGTGAGATGGGATTTGAGAGCTGTCTCTATCACTATTTCTTTGTCCCACCACAAACTAGTTAGCAAACCAGTAATGTTTGTCCATTCTGAAATGTGCCTTTTAGAATAATACATTTCAGATGCAGAAGCTTCTTCATTTTAAGAAATGTTTTCATTTTACAAACCCATGATTCCAGTGTCTCGTTAAACACCTGCACATTACAGTACACAGAGAAATTAATTCACAGTCTCAGTTAGTACTAGACAGTGTGCCTTCTTTAAATTCTATTAGTAGGTATAGGAAGTAGGTTATCTGTAGATCACACTATCCAGGCCATCCTATAAGGATCATTTCAGAAAAAAAATGATTGGCCTCCTCTCCTGTCTTACTCCATTGAAGCGTTAAACAAGACCAAGCATGGATATACTTAACAGTGAACAGAGTATTTCTTCTGAATTAATCTTCAGTTTTCATTTTTCAGGTCATTCATTCTGGGCAGAAATTAAGGAAAAAGTCTGCAGAGGCAGGAGAGAAGCGTGGCTGGTTTAGTGGGTTCTGGGGAAAGAAAGAATCCAAGAAGAGAGATGAAGAATCATCAGTCCCTGAGAGTAAGTCTCAAGGCAGGAGTCATGCACCTGAAGGAAAAGCCACACAGATTCTGCCCCACACAGCCGGCAGAGGCACACATGAATGATATGACAGGCTACATAATTGCTTTGTTTATCTACCTGGAGAAAAACTTAAAATTTTTCAAAAACGACTTGTGAGAAATTTAACATGTTTATGCTTAGAGGTCTCAGCATCCAGCATTACTTATTGTTAAACTTTGACACATTTTAATGACAAATTTATTTTTGAAAATTTTAGAGAATTTAAAAATATGCATATCTGAGAGCTGAATTTCCTTAACAACGAGTGTCTTTTTGCAATTTTTTTTAACACAAACAGGCAAATACAGGGTGTTTGTTTTAATTAAGCCAAAGTGGTGTGTTGGAGGGAATTAGGTAGCTGGCTTTGCTTTAGCATTTCTGTCTGTAGACTTAAAAAAAAATGATCTGTAAAAGCCAAACCATTCATTTCCTGAATGACTGTCTTGTCTCATAGCCATCGATGACCTTATGACTTCAGAGGAGAAAGACAAACTCTTTACTGCCATTGGGTACAGTGAGAACACCTACAACTATGCTTTGCCCAAGCAGGTAGGTGCCAGATGTCTTCACAAGTGTTTTGACTCACTTGCTGGATTATCTTGAGTTGGGTTAAATTAGTGATGTTCTAAGTCGCTACTGAAAATATGTTGTCCTCAGTTTCTTTGCCATATGCTGTTCTGGGGCCTTACCAGTCAAGGTTTAGAATATTTTGAGCATCCTAGAGTGTCCCACACCTCCCTTCCTTTCTATCCAGAGCTAACCTATGTCCAGATTATTCCCACAGGCACATCTTTCATTTCATTTTGTGTTTTGCTATAGACACCATGATTTTGTTCTGAATGTTTTTTTGTCCTTCTGTAAACGGAGGCACACAGCACATTTTTCTCTTGTCTGGCTTTGCTGTTGGAGTTGTCTCTACTGCTGGACCTAATATATTTTGCTCATTTTCATTGCTGTGTAGGAGTCTATCATTTGAAAATACCTGAACTTACTTTCTTATGCGTTTTTAAAAAAACATTTGAGTTGTCTTTATTTCTATTTCATGTTCTTTCTTTTTTAACTTGTGTTTTCATTTCCACTGAGTCAGTACCTAGGAGTGAGATTGTTGGGTGACAGGGTAGATTCCCTAAACATCACTCACTACGATAGCCATTTTTTATGTTTATTTTTAGTCATAAACATAAAGTAAGAGGGTGGTGTGCTACCCCACTGTATTTTTAATCTATATTCTCAATATTGAACATGTTGGCTTGTTGGCCATCCTGACTCATTTGTAAGTGTCCGTTTTAAGTTGGGTAACGTTTGTCCTTTTGCTGTCTCTGGGGCTCTGTGGACTGACTTACAGCTCATGTCCTGGCTTTTGCATTTGTGTATAGCTTTTAGAGGGAGCGATTTGGGGGAGACAGCAGTGCCCACAAGTCGCCTCTTGTGTGCTCCTTGCTCTCTCTCTGACCTTCACCTGCATTTCCCTTCTCTTGAATGACGCCTGTTGTTTTCTTCCCGCTAATGAAGAGCAGCTTGTAATGTTTTCCTCCGTGTCTTAAGGATACTCCCCTACCTTGTGTTTAGAATTCTAGGTTGTTCAAGTCTTTTGTTTTTTAAAGAGTTTTGAGTCTATAATTTTATTGCTGTTTGGCTTTTACTGTTTGTGAGCCATACTCTTAGTGATGTGTCTGTTCACTCAGTTCCTGTGTATGATGTTTTAATCAATGAAGGAAGGACATTTTTATTTTCTTAAATTTTTATAGTATAATTTTCCTTAATTCTTAAGAAATTCATACACAAATATAATGAAATATGATCAAATCCACCTCTGTTCCCCTTCCATGTCCCCCTCCTATTATTTTCTTTCTTCCTCCACCCACTGTCCTCCCTGACTCTTAACAACGCACTAAATCTAGTTAGTGTTGTTCATGTAAGACAGCAGGCCATCCAGTAGAGAAAGTTTTTAACTCTTTACTTTAGGTTTTCAGTATTTACTGTGGTATAAATTTATACTTGCTTTTGTTTACATAGGTGGAATGTCGTAAGTCTCATCAGTGTGGCTAGTTTCTGCCCCACTAGCTCTCTAGTTCCTTCTTTGTCATGTGAGCTGTGCCTTTGTGGCATCCTCTGTCCCCCTTTCAGCTCCCTATACTTCTGTCTCTCCACTCTTCATCTGGAGAGCTTCCTCTAGTTTTCTTTAGCCATTTGTTTCTGGGTCTCAGGACTAAACCCAGACTAGAGGGCATTTTATCAGTGGCCTGCCTTGTGTTAGGAACTGATTTCTAGTATTTTCTTGGGAGCCTCATTTCATAGGCTGCCTTGATGCTCTTAAAAGTTCACATGCTTTGAGGGGAAATACATCCCCAAATTCTGTTTTATCTCCCCAGTGGTTGTCTGATCCAACTACATTTTTGGTTTGGAGTATCACAAGAGCACATATATTTGAATGTAATGGCAATGTATGTATGTGCATGTGCATGTTTGTGTGTGTGTGTGTGTGTGTGTGTGTGTATGTGTGTATGTATGTGTAATTCGAGAGTGTAAATACTACAGCCGTCTGGCAGGTATTTCTTGTACATAGTTTTTCTTTTCTTCAGCTAGAGGATTGGTCTGAGATGCTTAGTTTGCTTAAGTGAAGGCTTCTCAATGGACACTGTCTGCTTCTGTCACTTTCTGTTACTGTTTCTTTAAAACTAAGCAGATAAACTTGCATCCTTTGTAAGTAAGTGTGCTGTCTGTCTGATAGGCTTTCATTGAGTTTTCTAGTCTTGTTCATTCATGGAGAGTATGTAGGTGCTGGAACCACAAGCTTTGTTGAGTTGTTTGATAAGTCACCATATTTAATTAAGGAGAAACCATTAAAGCTAGCAGTCATTTGCATGTTAACTGTTTTTATTTATTCCCGTTTAGTATGTGGCCCATATACTGACTCTGAAGTTGGTGAGCACCTCTATTATAATTAGAGAAAACAGAAATGTTCCAGAAATCTTGAGAATTCAGATAATTGGCTTGGGTACCCAACTATCCCAGCGACCAGGAGCACAAGCGTTGAAGTAAGTTTTAAGAACTTATTTTCATTTGTGGCCCTGAATAAATACTCTTATGGAGCATGAAAGAATACTGAAGAGAAACAGCTTTCTTTCATTTCTTTTGTTTTGCATGTTTTGTTGTGAATTGTGTAATTCACTTTTCTATCCTTCTTCCTTTCTGCAAGTGTTTATCAGGTAGTGTTTTATTTAGAGTATTTGCATCGTGGTAGTGGCTCAGGGTACAGTACATTTCTGTTTCCAGGATATTTATGTTGTATCTGATAAGAGGATATGCAAAAGAACTAATTCAAGACTTTAATACAGTAGACAGTTTACTGTAGAGCATGGTGTGTATACAACGGGTATACTGCATGGCTCAGTTGTGGGGGAGGGTAACTGAAAAGGTAGAGGTGTAGACTGCTGGATGGTAAGGGTTCCAAGAGAAGCAGGAGGAAGCTAGAGGATGCAGGAGTGGTGTAGAAACACAGTGATAGCATTATCTATTTTTAAACCCTGTGATCAGAACCTATGCCATATCCTGGGCTTGACTAACGTAGGCTTTTCCTGTGAATGATAAATAGCTAATGAGACCCTGGTGCACAGCAACAGAAGCAGGTTTTGTAGGTACATGAAGGCCAGCCTAAGAAGATGAACTGTAACTTTGGGCACAGGGCTGGTTGTCAGGGGAATTTTCAAAGGGATAGCTATAATTCTATGTTACATGCTTGCTCTTTCCTCATTGGATAGGATAGAAGCAAAATTAGAACACTGGTATGTCACAGGCTTGCGACAACAAGACATCGTGCCATCACTGGTGGCTTCCATTGGTGACACTACATCGTCCTTGCTCAAAATTGAGTTTGAAACGAACCCTGAGAACAGTCCTGCTGACCAGACTCTGATCGTTCAGTCACAGCCTGTGGAGGTCATCTATGATGCTGTAAGTATAGTCAGAAGGCGACGTTTCAAGCTGTCTCTAGGGTTGAGTAATGAATTACTGTGTAAGTGCACGAGGAAACTGAGTGTGCTGTGCAAACACGAGGCTCTGAGTGTGCATCCTCAGCAGTCAAGTAAAAGACTGGCCTGGGCAGGTGCCTGTATCCCAGCACTGGGAGGCGGGCAGGATTGGTGGGACTTGTTGGCCTCCACCCTAGCTCCATGCTCATGAGAAGCCCTGTTTGAAGGGAATGAGGTGGAGAGAGTGACAGAACAGGACAGCATATTCTCCTGTGGCCTCTGTACATGAACATGGGTGCACTCAGCCATGTACACACATGATTATATATTACACATGCATATGCCATATACATACACAAAAAATAAATTTAAAAAGTTTTTTTTGTTTTTTTTTGGGTTTTTTTAGGGCTGAAAGGATGGCCCAGGGTAAAGGCACTTACCGTGCAAGCCTAATGATCTGAGTTCATTTGTAGTAACCCAAGTAAAGGCAGTAGGATTGACTTCACAGAGCTAGCCTCTGACCCCCATACATGTGCTATGACGTGTGTAGGAGAGGATTGACTTCACAGAGCTAGCCTCTGACCCCCATACATGTGCTATGATGTGTGTGTTCACATATACACAAGCACTCACACAAAATGATAAACTGAAGTTGAAAACATTTTTCCATGGTAGTGCAGCACCCATGACAAGATTTACCACCTTACACATTTTAGGACTATGGTTCAGTTTGTTTAGCACAATCACATCTGTACTAAGTTCCTGTACAACTGATCTCCAGAACTTCCTTTGTCATATAAAAATCTCTCATATCTTTATAATCAAGTCTTATATGTAGGTAAGAGTGAATAGTTTTTTCTTTTCTAAATTTCAAAGTATGACATGATCTAAGTTCAGTGTTGAGGGATGGGCTTTCCTCTCTAACTGAAGGCTGAAACTAGGGGTCATGCCAGTTGCTACTTCCACAAGCCACTTAGACCTCTTGCCACTGCCATATCATGCAGACTCTCCTCTCTGCAGTTAGCTCACTAGGCTGGTCCTTGCTCATGGTTGCCTCTCACTCTTGAAGGGAAGTAGAAGCATAACAGCTTTGGATTCCGTGCTTCAAAGCCATAGCTGTTTATAAATGAGGTGAATTCTTTATAACATAGATTTAACATATAACCTGTCGTGTTTTAAAATTCTTTTACAGAAAACTATCAATGCTGTTGTTGAATTCTTTCAGTCAAATAAGGGGTTGGATCTTGAGCAAATTACATCAGCTACATTGATGAAGCTGGAAGAGATTAAAGAGAGAACAGCTACAGGTGAAATCTTTAGTGTGTCTATCAACACCAACTAAACTCGAAACATGGCCATTGTAATGGACACATTGCATTTAAAGTAGTTTAGGTTTTTTATTCCTTCTTTTTAAAATTTGTCTGTGTTATACATTGGACATGACTAACTCAGAGTTGAATAGACTTGGTAGAGAGGAAGACAATAATGGAGTGTGGAGATACTTTTCCTGCATCACTGCCAAGAATCTGGGAACGTGACTCCCCCACCTCTACTCTTCAAAGCGTTCACCATCCTGTGCATGCCTAGCTTTAAAGAACCCAGCAGACTATTTCATCAGGTTGCTTATCATTCTATGGCTAGACCTAATACTAGTTATATAGGATTTACTGTAATAATATATAGTAGTATTTATTGAGAATGCAGCTTTTGGCAGGAACGACACTACTTGATATCTTTCAAGTGAAATTCTTCGTCTTTTTGTTAGTAGTATCACCATGTACAGCTTGACCACATCATTGTTTTCCTGGCCTTCCTTTAGGACTTACACATATCATTGAGACTCGGAAAGTTCTTGATTTAAGGATAAATCTGAAGCCTTCTTATCTAATAATTCCACAGACAGGTTTTCACCATGAAAAGTCAAATCTTCTCATTTTAGATTTTGGCACTTTTCAGGTAGGTTTATGTGTACTTTTTCCTTTCTTTCTTTGATAAGCTTGGTAACTGTATATCTGATAGTGTCTTATTTGTCTTCAGTCCACTTAAACTAATCTAGACTTTACATATGTATTATATAGCTACCTACCAAAGAAATTTCTTTAGAAATTCCTCTAATGGCAATAATTTGGCATTGAGAACTGGATGGATGGTTTTTCTGTTTTCCAGATGGAAACCATCTTAAGTTTTCGTGGTTTATAGAGTTTAATTTTACAGTGTCATTTTCTGGACTATAGATTTTGACATAAAATTATATATCTCTATCTCTATATCTATATATCTGTCTGTATGTATATTCGATTGCTCTAAGTAACTAGAGTGAGATTTTGGATTTTTATCTCTTTGAGTCTAAGCATTTGACAAAAGGTAGGAATTAAACTGAATGGAACCTTTATTCCATCTGGGAAAAGGAAGTAGAGGATGGAGCTGAGTCCTGATGGCCTCTTTCATGGTAGTATTCAGAAGGCGAAGAGTTCAAGGTGGACAGTAGGAGAGAGAGCTGAGCATACTTGGCAGGACTTCTTAGGAGTCAGGCAGAGGAAGGAGCATTCCTTCTGGACAGGTCATTTGAAGTAGACATCTGTGTAATTGACTCAGTGACTGCAGATGCTTCCATTACTCAAGTGTAACAGACTTATGGTGAGGTAATGTACTCCTAACAAAATGCTTACAAATCACCAGGAAGTTAGGAAATCACCTATCTTTAGTTAGATGTTTTGAATTGTGACTAAAGTATGTTGATATATATGTATACTTTTCTGTTATATAAAGAAATTCAGGGTTTTTTCCTTCACTCCATTTTAGCTCAACAGTAAAGAGCAAGGTGCACAGAAGACGACTAATTCATCCCTTGAAGAGATAATAGACAAGGCATATGACAAGTTTGATGTGGAAATAAAGAGTGTGCAGTTGCTCTTTGCAAAAGCAGGTCAGCCACTGCTCGGCTCTCAGGGCGAGCAGATAAGCTCCAGTAGCTTTGATAGAGTATGTGCATTGTTGGCCTTGGCACTCTGCATGCATGTTGTCTGTTTGCTCATGGGCATCAGTCCCTTGTGCATGTGTCCTGTTTGTCATTTTAGAAAACCCAGTAGAAGTGGCCCAATGCAGAATGCCACAGTTATAACAGAGATCAACGAGGGTACCCAGCACCATTTGAACCTAAGGTCTTGTGTGGCCTCTGTCTAGAGCATGACTACGAGATGTCAGAACACAGCAGGAGTTACAGTTGGTTCTGGCTCTCCAGTCCTAATGCCTTGGGATGTTTCCATGTTCTCCATGCTGCCTTTATTTGAAAATATTTACTGTTTTAGCCCAGTCTTTAATTTTGTATTATTATATCTACTTTTATAGATGTCTGAGAAAATTATATTTAAAGATACTACATCTAAAACCACTACAATAAGCTTCTTTGATTCAAAAATCCTAAATGTGAGGTGTTCTCAAATCTGAAACAATAACTGCTGATATGATGCCATAAGTGAATAGCACCACCTGCGGTCTCAGATGATGGGTTGCCCTCAAAGGCCACATGCCCTGCAGGGCCAAGTTACACAGCGGGAGTTGTGTGTAGTGTTGGGTTCCATCCCCAGGATATCTCGCTACATTTGCACATACTTTCAGATCTGACTTAGATCTCCTCTCCGATGTACCGTGTTTTCATTACAGATACTCATCCTGTAGATATGCTCTTAAGACTTAAATAGTTTATGTCCTCAAAGCTTTGGTGTTTTCTGTTGCTTTAAGTACAGCTTTTCAGTCCTCCATATTCCTTTAGTTACTAGAAGTAAGTGCTGATTAAATATCTCTGAGTCTGTCATTTTGTGGATGATCACCTGAGGACAGAATCTCTGCCCACCAGGCTGTGCTCTTCTCTGCAGTGAGATCTGTTAACATTAAGATAACATGTCTGCTCCTGTCTCTAAAGAGCTTCAGGGGTTCTTAAAAGAGAGAGTTTACACAGGCTGTAAGAACTGCCCTTTGTTTTGCATTCTCTTACCAGTAATTATTTGAACAATGAGCTCTTTAGTCCCTGTCATGGATGAAGATCTGTGTTTGACTGTGTTAGCCATGCGAAAAATCCATCTTTGGAATCTTCTTTTTGGAACAGTGGTGATTATTACACATGAATTTATTATTATCATCATTATTTTTAATCATTTACCAATCTGTATTAAAATACAGATTATTTAACTTATATGCTGAAGGAAGTAAAAATTTGTTCATTGAATTTGTTAAGTATCTTTTAGCAATGTAGAGTGGTTTTCTACAGAATATCTGATTATTTTTGAAAAGTGAATTAATATCAAGATTTTTATTTTTAAAGAGGAAAATTGGAAAAAGTGTAGATTCCAGCATCCATCAACTATGCATATACTGCAGCCAATGGATATTCATGTTGAGTTGGCCAAGGCAATGGTGGAGAAGGATGTTAGAATGCCCAAGTAAGTATGATTGTCTTTTGTATTAGAAATCAACAAAGATGCTGCACCCGTATCACCTACTGAAGTTTAAGGAAATAGAGGTGGATATATGTGGAGAGGAAGAAACAGTGACTATTCTATCTTATAACACAAATACATTTTAAAGAAATACTTGTATAGTCTGTCGTGCTGGCTAGTTTTATGTCAGGTTGATACAGGCTATAGTTATCATAGAGAAGACAACTTCACTTGAGAGAATGACTCCGTAAGATTGTGCTGAAGGTAGGTCTTTACTTTCTTAACTAGTGATTGATGTGGGAGGGCCCAGCCCACCTGGGCTAGTGGTCTTGGGTTCTATAAGAAAGCAGACTGAGCAGCCATGATGAGCAAGCCAGTAAGTAGTGTCTTTCTTGGATTCTGCATCAGCTCCTGACTCCAGGTTCCTACCCTTTTTGAGTTTTTATGCTGACTTCAGTGATGAACTATGATGTGGAATTCTAAGCCAATTAAAAATAAATCCTTTTCCCCACAAATTGCTTTTGCTTATAGTGTTCATTACAGCAATAGTAACCCTGACTAAGACATGTTGTCTCTCTTATTTCAGAATTCATATTTATTTAGATTTTTTACATTGTATAAATATTGGCTATCTGAGATTCTGAATGTGTGAACATCAAGATTCACTATCAGTGAAATGAAAATTTCAAAGGAAATTAGCTTTTTTGGTCATGAAACCACATACAATCTTGGGAAATGTCTTAAAGGAATAAAGAAATAGAAGCTAGATTGTGAGGCTAATATATTCTCATGAAATAGTTACGCTGTCGTCCCAAAAGCACTTTTACTGAGGTTTAATTGACACTCTGTGGATGTCATTTAATGTGTTGTCCCTGTCTCCATGAGTTCATCACTGCAGTTGAGATAACATGTCTGTCACCTGCAGAAGCTTCCCTGAGCTCCATGTCTTCTCTTTCCTTTTCTAACTTATTTCCTTAGAAAGTATTGATATGTTCCTTCATCGTGAAGATTTATTTGGTAGAATTTTCTAAAATTTCCAATGAATGAAATCATTGAGTGTTAGCATTTTTGTTTGTTTTCTCTGAGTATGTTTAAGATTTACCGTGGGGTTGCTTGAATGTGTGTCCATAGATTCTTGCAGGCTTAACGTGTTCTAGGCCTACAGCTTTCTTTTAGAGAGTACTTAAAAATCCCGGATGTTTTTGTGAATGAGTGTGAACTATGTTGGGAGTGTTCTAGGTGAGCATTGTGTGTTTGAATTTTCCCAGCTTGACAGTTGAGCTATAAAAAGTGCTCATCTGCTCTACCTACATTAAGTCTGTAGATGTTTGCTTTCTCATTCTAGATACAAGCAGTAGTGTCTTTGTTTCTCTTTGTCCTAACCAGCCAGCTTTTGAATTCAGTTATTTCTCTTTTTTTTTTATTCTTTAATCTTCATGTTTTCCACTCTAGGTAATTTTTCTGCACACTCTGAGTTTTACCTGCATTTCATGCCAGGAACCTATTTAGGAATTAGGTATCTACCTGCTTGAGCTGGCCAGCTTGGCCAGGCAGCTGGAGGGTAAGCTGAACAAGCTTGTGAGCAGCTGTGGTCAAGACTGTGATGAGAAAGACAGAAGGTGGCCGTGTTGTATAAGGAAGACAGCTAAGCAGCTGCCAGAAGGCAGATGAGTGGTGGAAGCAGACTGGACCCTCAGAAGCAAAACGTGGCCTCAGGGAACTTGCATTCAGTCTGAAGGGACAGGAAATAAGTGTACACATCACATGTCAGGTGCTTCCCAGTGCTGTGGATAAGCAGAGCAGGGCAAGACAAGGTGACAAAGAGCGAGGAGGCAGACACTCTTATACTACTAGAAAGAAATCTTTGATGCCAGGAAGTAAAATACATATTGTGGTTTTGGTTTTTAATAGTAGAGAATTGTGTTCAGTAGGACTTTCATAATGCATTAATGAACTTCAGGCTGTGTGTGGTGGTACGCTCCCCTAACCACAGCAGCCGGGAGGCAGAGAGTCTGAGAGGCGAGGCTAGCCTGATTCCATAGCAAGTTCCAGGCCAGCTGAGGCTATATAGTGAAACCCTGTTTTTAAAAAAGTTCATTTAAAAACGTTTACTGCACTGGTTGTCAATCCTCCTAACGCTGTGTCCTTTTAATATAGTTCCTTAGGTTGTGCTGACTACCAACCATAGATTTTTTTTTTTTTTTGCTACTTCATAACTGTAATTTTGCCACCATTATGAATTGTAATGCAAATATCTGTGCTTACTGATGGTCTTAGACAAACTCTGTGAAAAAGTCCCTAGATCACCCAAAGGGTCATGACCCACCCACAGGTTGAGAACCACTGGTTTGCTTAAGAAAGATATGATTTAGAAGGTTTGGAAAATGGGTTCACAAAGAACTTTCCCTTCTTTAAGATTGCTGTCTAAGTGTAATGAGATTGAAACCTTGCTGGCTAACCCTTGACTTCACCCTGTAGCCTCCTGACCATTCCCTTCCCCTCCCTGAGACCTCACTGTCAAATTGTATTCTTAGATTTAAAGTGTCAGGAGGACTGCCTTTGATGCATGTGAAGATTTCTGACCAGAAGATAAAAGATTCGCTGTGTTTGATTAACAGTATACCCTTGCCACAGAAGTCATCCACACAGTCTCCAGAGAGACAGGTGAGTATGTGACTGGGGAGAAAATGCCAAGTCAATTTCTAGAAAACCACACTTTCTGAGTAGTGGTGATTGTTTGAGGACAGGCTTTCTAATCACAAGGATGGGGCCTGGTGTGATGGCACAGACACAGGCAGATCTCTCATTTCAAGGACAGCCTGGTCTACACAGTAAATCGCAGCCCAGGTAGGGCTCCATAGTGAGATGCTGTCTCTAAACAAACAAACAGAACCAGAAAGCAACAGAAATCAAAGGAAGATGTTCATATTTGTGTTGGGATTCAGGAGTCTCCCACAAACCGCACAAACACTAATCTGAGTTCGACAGAGGTGGTTTATCAAACTCACACCCTAAGACTAATCGATCAGGGCCGTAGCTCAGAATTTGGGGATTGAGTCTACAACCTTTAACATCCTTCTCTGTCAGCTAATAAAGGCTAGAACTGCAAAAAACACAGTGAGCTCATACACAGGTTCAGGAAGTGAGGCTTGGTGGTCGGCTCTGACTCAAGGTATTTTAGACTTAACAGTTCATATTGACCTTTAATTTGATGGGTCCTGCATAAAGCTTTGTGGAATTTCTTAAGATTAACAAACCTCATAAAGAACATAAAAAGTTATGTGATCAGCATGACCTTGCTTAGAGTTATTTTCTGTGTCAGTGACTGGTAGGCATGTTACAGCAACAATAGGAAATAGCTGGTAGGCATGGGACAAAATGGCTGCAGCTGTGCTCGGGGCAGGGCTGACCTCAACAATTTGTAAAATATAACTTATATAGAACTAGAAATATAAAGCTTTAAAATAAATTTGCAAATAAAATTTCAAGTTGAGATTGAAACTTTTTTTTGGTAAGTCTTAAATGTTCTAGGTCACTTTAATTGAATAATCTTTATAGCTTAAAATAAATGTTAGAATTTTCACTTACTTAGAAGTTCCAGAAAGTTAGCTAATAATAATGCCATTTTCAAGGGCCCTGTGATAAATATGTACTTTTATATTGTTACCCACAACAAGAAAGTGATACAGGAGGATGTAGACTTACTCCTTGATTTGTGCATAATCATATCTTTAAAATGTGGGGAGTAATTTTAATATTTTATAGGTTCCAGATGGCTGTTATTTGGCCATCTTCACTTCTTGAAGATTTGTCTGTGATGCTTGTGCAGATATCTTTCTTTCCATCTTCCTTTATCCTACCTTCTATGTTTTTGATATATAGAGATGTCATCTGTGTTAGTCAATCCTTCTTATTAGCATATATTAAAATGTTTGCATTCTTTGCTAGGTAGCCTCGATTCCTGTTCTTTCAGGCGGGACGAAAGGTCTTCTTGGGACTTCACTGTTGCTAGATGGACTTGAATCAGGTGAAAATTGGAACATGCTGTTTCTCTGTGACACTAAACCTACACGTTGTTGTGTAGTGAGGGTGTTTGTAAGAAGGAGAGTAAGGAGTCTCGAGAACTCTGCTCTAGCTGTGCTGCCAGCCAACACTGACTTCAGGGCATTTTATTCTTTGATGTTCACATCTTATTGTTGGTTAAATGAAGAGTTGTTTGTTTGTCTTAAGGGTGGGTAATGGGACTTGACAGTCTTTTCTAAAGATTCAATTAAGTTCTTATATTTCTCTGTAATACTTTTCTCTAACCAGGGCTAAGTGAGTCTTATAATTTCAGATTAGAATATAGAATGTCAACATGGTAGACATAAGGTGAATCTAACAAGGTTAAGGCCAGGACACTCTGGTGTCCATTGTGATGGTCACATCTTGATAATGATAGATGATGCCCAGTAAATATTTTACTGGATATTGAACTAAAGTGAAAAATGAGTTCAGTTTAAGTTTTAGTACATGCCAGTTCAAGTCCTTTTGGGATTTGAAAAGTACATTGAAAGTATTTTGTCTGAATATCAAAGTTCTATGCGTGGATGGAGTTTACTGTGTTAGATCTAGGCTCAGTGTCCGTGTGGGCTCTCAGTGGATACTGTCTGGGTTGACGAATGTCTCTGTCCTTTAGAGTCTGATGAGGAGTACTTTGATGCTGAGGACGGAGATTCACAGGCTGCTAGAACTGTCAAAGCCTCAGAACTGAAAAAAGCTGCTGAAGTTCCAAATGAGGAGCTGGTTAGTCTCCTACTCAAATTTGAGATTAAAGAGGTAGGTGTTTCTCTGTTCATGAGCTCGTTCTTGTGGGTCTTCTGTACTGGGAGCTGACCTCAGCTTCAAGTGCATTACAAGTGTATATTCTAGGTTTTGTTTGTTTGTTTGTTTGTTTGTTGTTTTTTTTATAAGCTGATACATGTGAGTGTACACAAATGCACACACAGTTTCAAAACCATGGAAATTATTTTTAAAAATGGTTTAAGGGGAATCAGTGTATGTAAGCTATTCTGGAAAAACTCAGTCTCTTAATTAGGATATGTGTTTCTGTATAAGATTTCTATTTTTATGTACAGATGTATATATTACTCTCCCCAGCTCCTTTCATTTTTTTTATTCATTCTTTACCCTTTTTTTACAGTCCAGACTTTATCCTCCTTCAGGTCTACCCTTTGACTGTTACACATCTTACACATCCTCCCTCACTTGCCTGTCTCCAAGAAGATGTCCCACCCCCACCCCTCAATCCACCAGACCTCTCCATTCCGTGCCCAAGTCTCTCAATGGTTAGGTGCTTCTTCTCTGATTGAGTCCAGACCAGGCAGTCCTCTGCTGTATATGTGTTGGGGACCTCATATCAGCTGGTGTATGCTGCCTGGTTGATGCCTCACTGTCTGAGAGATGTCGGGGGCATGCAGGTCAGTTGAAACTGCTAGTCTTCCCATGGGGCCACCCTCCTCCTCAGCTTCTTCCAGCTTTTCCCAAAGTCAACCAAAGGGGTCACTGGCTTCTGTCCATTGGTTGGGTGCTAGTGTCTACATCTGACTCTTTGAGGTGCTTGTTGGGCCTCTCAGAGGGCAGCCGTGCTAGGCTCCTGTCTGCAAGCACACTACAGCATCAGTAACTGTCAGGGTCCCAGCCCTCCCCCTGACCTGGATCCCAATTTGGGCCTGTCACTGGACCTCCTTTTCATCCCACAGTCAAAAATTCTGACCTAGAATTGTTTCTGTCTATAAAAACTGCAGGGACAAAAATGGAGAAGATCCTTGCATTTTTTTTTTTTTTAAAGCTAGTGTTAGGCTGTGGATTCCAGGCTGGCCTTGAACTCACCATCTCACTTTCTAGCCTTGGCTCTATTTGAATGTGAGACATTCCTCCCACCTCACTCTGCTGAGTGCTGAGATTATAGGTCTCTTCGTCACATGCGGTATAACTTCCCCTTGAGCGAAATAGTTTTGGTCATTGTCATTCGTGTCTACCATAAACTTGTCAACTTTTTTTTTCTTTAAAAAAAAGATGGCTTAGTCAGGGTTTCTGTATAAAAGAAGGGTAAGTTTTAATTGGTAGCAGAAAACCTTTTATTGCTTTCAACATCAGAGCTTCTAAATTCCAATGTGAAGAAAAAAGTCAAGCATGGTAGTATAGGCCTGTACTTCTAGTTATCAAGAAAGCTGAGGCAAGAGGATTACAGCTTTAGTCTCTGCTGGAGATATACAGGGCATCCTGGTCAACTTAATAAGACCCTGTTTCAAAATAGCAAGCAAAACAAAAGAAACAAAACCGAAAAAAGGGGTGGGATTGACTGGAGACAGAGCTGGGCACATGCTGCTTACAGCTTGTGAGGCCCGAACTTCAGTCCTGAGGACTGTTTCTAAAGAGTAGACACGCAGGGAAAGAAAACCCGATGAGAGGGTTCCAGCACAGTTTGGGGGTACAAAGAGATTTCTGTGCTAGGGATATGATTCCTTTTAGCGACATGTGTACATTTGCTCTGTAAATGTCAGCTCTCATCTTCACATTGGTGGGGCTGCAGCTTTCTCTCTCCATCTTTGCCTTTCTATGTTCTATATTTTCTATAATAATTTTTATTACTTTGATGATAAAGTGCAAAATAATACAGATTTGTTCATGGTTGACTTTGATATTCTGGAATGACAGCCTTCCCTAAATCATCATGTCAGATTTGATAAGTCTTAGTCTTACGGGTATTTCCTTGATCTGTCTCCTACCCTTGGCTTTTGACTTGTCTCTTGTTTTCATACTTTGACCCACAATATAAGGAAAGCCCTTGACCCCTGTCTTCAAATGCTTCAGGGTGCTTGCTCTTCCCTTCAGCTGCAGCTGTGCTACCTCAACCATCATTTATAGAAATCAGACTCAGTTCTTCCCCTCAGCCCCATGCTCCCAGAAATAAGACTCAGACTCAAAATATTTACAAAAACCTTGGCCATATAGCTAGGCTCTATTCTGACTAGATCATAACTTAGATAATCTTACTATTTTAACCTACATTCCTCCACATGGCTGATTACCTGTGCTCAGGTACTATGCAGCTGTCTCTTCACATCTTCCCAGACAAATCTGCCATTCTGTATCCCAGAATTCTCTTCTGCCTCAGGATGTCCTAACTTTATCTCATGCCTAAGCCATAGGCTTTTTAATTGACAGGCAGTGCATCCATACAATACACAAGACAGTGTCTCGACACCATTTCTTATATGTCTTTTAAAAATTGCCTCAAATGTTTGATTTTTTTCTATTGGCTGAATATTTTTGGCTGTCATTTCCAAAATCAAATTGAATACTGTGGAATGAACACTCTCACTTTTTGCTACTAACAGAAGAATCTATCAGGTTTTTTTTAATTGAAAAAATGCTAAGAACCTTAGCCTTATTTGCATGTGCTTTTAGTCCTGATCCTAGAGTTCAAGGGTAACCCCATCTTTGTGTCTGGTGTGAGGATGTGATTAGAATCTTCACTCTAGCAGTGCCCTGAGTGGGAAAAGGCTTCGCTTCTGTCATTTTAAGGATGACTTTCACTTACCAACAACTCTCCCCTGCCCTGTGGAATCTTTTAGGTGGTTTTGGAACTCACTAGACAACAGGAAGAAGAAGAGACAATTCTAGTGTTTAGTGTCACTCAGTTAGGCACAGACGTAACAATGAGGACATGTGACCTGACTGCGGTGTCCCATTTGAGGAAAGTCAGCTTGGATCACCATAACATTAAAGGTAACAGCCATGAAAATAGAAATAGTCTCGTTTATAATCAAACATTTGCACTTCACTATGATGGATATAATAAGCACAGTGCAGTAAATACTTTATGAATACTAACTCCATTCTAGAACAATAGCCATTAGGCATCCATGTTACTGTCTTCGGTTCACATGTAACTAATATGCACATGGCCATGAGACATCCGTCTTACTGTCTTCCGTTCACATGTAACTAATATGCAGGTTGATCATTCACCCAAGTTCAAACAACCGTAGGGGATAGAGCCCTGACTGAGGCATTGGAAGCCTAGTTCTGTGGTCTGGCATCCTCAGCCACTATAGTACATGTCCTCAGAAAGTCCACTGATGTTAGGGAGTATCATTTCCATTTCATAGGCAGAGAAAGGCTAAATAACCCAAAATACCTTGCTCCCCCCTCTATGTTGTTCATGATGGATTTTAGAGTTTGGATCTGGACTTAGGCTACTGAAGCCTATTCTGTTGGCGTCATCCTAATGTTGTGACCCCTTACATAGTTCCTCATGGTGTGGTGAGCCCCAACCGTAAAGGATCTTGCTGCTACTTCATAACTCTAGGTTTGCTATGGTTATGAATTGTAATGTAATACCTGTGTTTTCTGATGGTCTTGGGTGACCCCTGTGAAGGAGGTTGCAGCCCACAGGTTGAGAACCTCTGTGGTAGAGTGTTTGTACAGCATAGAAACACTGTGATAGAAATAAAAAGTTTGGGAGACGCAAAGGCCACTCTCTTGTAAATTCTATAGTTCATCATTTCAGTGCATTTCTTACGAGCTCAGAGATTTGAGGCATGAATGAGTGACAATTAAAATTACCCCAAAATTTGCCCAATACTTTAGTCAAATACTAAGACATTTTATGATTTTTAGAAAACAGTTGAAACCAATGTAAACTCCAATTAAGTGTTGCTAATTTTCTTAGGTAATAGATTGATAGAATTTACATTACAAACATTAGTAATAATTGTTAATAATAAATTTTCTAGGCTGTTTTTTCTTTGTGTCAGTTAAGACTAGAGAGGGGGCTGGAGAGATAGCTCAGCCATTGAGAGTGCCTGGGTTTGATTCCCAACACCCACATGGCAACTCACAACTGTCTGTAACTCCTGGTCCTGGAGATCTAACCCTTCTTCTGAATTCCTAGGGCACCAGGTACACACATAGTGTACATACATACATGAAAATAAAACACTTACACACATAAATCTTTAAAAAAAAAGTTATAAAAGGGAAAGACGAGGGGTGGGGTGGCTTTCCAGCTGTTCTAGAAGCAGACTAGGGAAGGAGAAGCATGAGCATGATTCAGTGGTCGATGAGCCCGCCCTCCCTACACAGATCTGGGAGCCAGTTCCTCTTTGTGCCCATACACACGATAGAGTTTTGAACTCAAAGGAGAAGTTTGTTTCGGCTTTGAAACCAAATCTTACTCTGTAGCCCATGCTGGCCTCAGACTCACCGTATACCCGAGATGGGTCTATAATACAAGGGTCCTCTTTCTTCTATCTCTCAAGGGCTGGGATTACAGCTGTAAATCACCACAGCCTACTAAAAAGAAATTTTGAATTGTCATCCTCTGTTTAAAAATTATTTGAGTTTAGTAAGTATAAATAAAATATTTTAAAACAATTTAAGAATCCACCAGAGATTGTCCTAGTCTCCAGTTCTGTAGTTGAGAAAGTTAAATAGCTGTGGGTTAAGGTCAGAGATGAATCAGAATTCACATTTCCGGATTCTTACACCCATAGTTCATTCTGCTGCCTATAAATACATGGCATCCTTAAAAATATCTTAAGAGGTTTTGTCTCTTTTTGAGCACAGTATGAAAGTGAAAGTGAAGGGTTTTAAGTAAGCTGGGAATTTAAGGCAAGGATTTCAGCTGCCTTATGTTCTCACCAGTAATGCTTGTTACTTCATAGCCATGAAAATGCACATGGATAAAGCACCACTAGACAAAGACATGTAGGACACTCTAAAATTTCATAAAAGCAACTTATTTGCATTTCTCTCTTTTAGGATCCAGAAAGAAGCCAATTCACTTGATTAGCTCTTCAGACAGACCTGGATTAGATCTTTTAAAAGTGGAGTACATTAAGGTAAGGGCCACAGGAGGATGATGCCGCTGTCTGGACCACTGGAGAGACAATGACCTTGTATCAGGAATAGATCTCGGTGGACTTACTTGCTCTTAGCCCTCTGCTCTCATTGAGAGCAGGAATATTACAAAACTGCTGGGCAGGGAGATTACAAAGCTGCCAGGCTGCTAACCCAGAGGCAGAACCCAGAGTGGAGTGAGTACTCTTCTATCTTGGGCATTTTTTTACCACTACACGTCTTGTAAAAAGAGGTGGCAATTAGTCGAGTCTATACATTAAGAAGGGAACGTGGAGTTAGGTGGAGTTGAGATGAGATCTGTCAGGCCTGGGGGTGGACTGAAAGATGTGCCCCAGTGAGCAGGACAGAAGGAGCAAATGGTGCTCACCTTTGTTCTAGTGATTCCCTGACTCTTTTTTCTGTCTGTGAGGGTTATTCAATGTCTGTGCTGTTGGACACTTAGACTGAAGTTGTTCTTCCCTGTTCCCAAAGTGACTGTAAATTAGAAGAGAAAGATGTGCAAACAAACAACACTTAAATTGTAATCGCAGCTGGATTTCTAAGGAGACGGGCAGAGCAGAATTGCTGTGGAGAGACAGACCAGAAGGCTGCTCATGGGAGGCAGTCTTCAGAGTCCTTTCTTCATTGTTCCCAAAGGACTGAACTGAGTCCAGGGAGTGGTTAGAGATAATTTTTTTTTGTCTTAGAACAAAGACCCCAATACAACAGAGCTTGCTCTAGAGATATGATTTGTGAAGAACTGATGTTTCTCTCACCAGAGATTGAACTAAGCTCTGTAGAGTGGTACAAGCATCAGATGATGGGTGGGTGAGGTGAACCTTACATGGTCTCTCCTTGACTTTAGCTTTTCAGTTCCCTGAGGAAATGAATGCTCCTCCATGCTTAATAAGAGCACCTTTCACTGTCATGAAAAATAGAGTGTATGTAATTTTACAATAAGACAAAATGATACATGGTTGTCTTAGTTACCTGTGGTGTGATCAGACACCACAGCTCTGACAACTTATAAAGAAAACGCTACATTTGGGGCTCACAGTTCTCAAGAGTTAGCGTCCATGACCATCATGGCTGAGAGCCAGGCAGAAGGAAGGCAGGCATGGTGCAGGAGCATTAGCTGGGAGCTTATATCCTTATCTGTAAATAGGAAGCACAAAGCCTACTGTCAGTTACATATTCCTTTCACAGGGCCACACCTTCTAAAAAATTTCCTTTCCAAAAGTTCCACCAACTGGGGACCAAGCATTCAAATATATGAGCCTTTGGGGGCAATTGTCATGCAAACCACCACAGTATGTGTTCTTTTTCTTCCCTTTCTACCTCCCTCCTTTCTCTTCCTCCATCTCTCTCCACACAGGGTGTGTTCATGTGTTCCCTCCACCCCCCACCCCGGCACACACACGCACACAAAGATTATAAAAATTTACTTTGCTCTTAATTCCTTCTTTGGAAATTTTATTTTTTCAGGTTGATAGAAATGGGCCTAGTTTTCAAACTACTTTTGAAAAAACTGAACAAACTGTCAAGGTAAGAAATTTTTTCTAAAACAGTGTATTTTATTTGAAAATAACCTGTTCACTTCATACTTGAGCCTGTGTTCGCATTTCTGCTCCTTAAGCTTGAATGTCATAGATGCCATGTTTGGAATCACTTCCAGATGTGGGAGCCCAGAGTGAGTCTGGAGCTTCTTACTAAAACTTGCCATTTTCTGTAATCACAATAGCTTGTTGAAGATCCGGGAAGCCAGTTACATGTTGACTGTGCAGTTAGCCAGGGGAGCCAGTTATTGCCTCCGTGACCGTTTTGTTTGGGAATGGAGTACTTAGTTACTGTGATGCTCTCCTGTGTCCTTGAGTGTGTAGGTGTCATTGCTGTCTCTGTACCCCTACATCAGCGAGTCATGATCTTCTTTCCCTGTCTCCCTTTTCTATCATGCAGTCTTTGCTGAGACCACAGATGGGAACTGGGAAAGAACTAATTTTCTTTGTAAAACACTTTCAGGTGGCCTTTTCATCTTTGAATCTGTTGCTACAAACACAAGCTCTTCTGTCTTCTCTTAACTACTTGACAACCATCATCCCATCAGACAGTCAGAACATGGGTGTGGCCAAGGAGGTGCAGACCATAACTGAGAAACAAAAGAACTCTCCCCTGCAGAAAGGTATGAGACTAATCAGTGTTCTTCATGGCAAACATCTAAGAAGAACAATTTGAAGGAGCAAAGCTTTGTTTTGCTTACAGTTTCAGAGATGTCAGCCCATGGACACTTGGTTCTGTTGCTTCTGAGCCTGTGTGTTGCCAGGCAGAACACGATGAAGCACATGGTAGAGATTGAAGTGGAAGGAGGCAGACAGAGGGAAGTGGTCTGAAGATAAGCCATGCCCTGCGAAGGCACACCAGTATATTACCTCCCAATAGTGCCATTAGATTATGAAACTGTTAATGGACTTATCTATTGATGAATGTCAGAGCCAAAGTATTCCATTGTCTTTCAAAACAAACACAGTAAGCAAACAGACAAATCTCCAGTCATTGAAATACCATTACTTCTGCTTCTAGGGTTTTTCTCAATTGAATCACCTGGTGCATAAAGCAGGGGTAGTAGATAGGTAGAGAAACATACTGGCAGTTTCAGTACATGGGAGGCTGAGGCAGGAAGATCATAATTTCTAGGCCAGTTTGGATAGGTGGCATAGAAAGTCCTTGATTCAAAAAAAATAAAGTGTCACACATATATACAGACACCCAGACACTCAGACACACACACACACACACACACACACACACACACACACACACACACACAGAGAGAGAGAGAGAGAGAGAGAGAGAGAGAGAGAGAGAGAGAGAGCTCACAGAAGAGAATATAAGCAATGCTACTGTTTTTAAGAAACTTTGTTTTCTTCTTGTGGCTGGGATTGCTTTTGGAGGGTTACTAGAGGAAAACCTGCGGGTGTGCTGAGTCCTCCTCATCCTAGTGGCTCTGGAAAGGCTCTCAGGACAGCCTTTGAGGAAAGAGACCCAAAGATATGAAGACAGGGACTATTTGCATCTTTAAAACAATCTTATGTTTTATGTGTTGGGTGTTCTGTCTACATGTATGCATGTATACCACATGTGTGCAGTGCCCATGGAGTCCAGAAGAGGGCATTGGATCTTCTGAAACTGAAGTTGTGAGGCACCTTGCAGGTGCTGGGATCCCAGTCCTCTGATCCATTTCTCCAGCACCCCAAAGATTGCATGTCATTGTTGAGACTCTAGAATTCTAACCCAAAAGAACTTAGTTCACATTCTGATTATATTACTTAAAACTATGTGACTTTAGACACATTACTTTGCTTTTTTGAATTTTATGTTCTATTTACTTTAGACTTTTCATTTTTATATGTATCTGTTTTGTATAACATGTATTTTATGTTTTATAAATATCTTATACTCATTTATTGTATATTATGTAAAATGTATGAAGAAACTTCTGTAGAATTTAGCTTACTAGAATCCATTGCTTTATTTTTAGTGATGGTGTCCTCCAGAGATAGTGATGTGATTAGCTTCAGGCTGTTTGCCAAACTGAATGCTTTCTGTGTCACTGTCTGTGATGAGAAGAACAGTATTGCTGAAATCAAGATACAAGGTAAAGTGTGACAGTATTTAACAGTTGTTTAACACTAAGCGTTTCCCCCCTTCATTCTCTTTCTCTTTCTACAGTGCTAGAGAAAGTACGTGGAGAGGGCTCTGAACTTCGAACAGTTGTAGGGTGTGGCTGAACTGGATGCTTAGGATTAGATGATGTTCAAATTCTGGCTAGTGTAGTCGTTTCTTCTTTCCTTTCCAAATTGGTAACATACCTACTTATATAAACTTTGTTCACAAAATTTTTGTAGCCTTCATCTCAGGCAGAGTGTTTACTGCTGTGGTGAACACCAGGACCAAAACCTAGGGAGGAGAGGGTTGATTTATACTTCCACATCAGTCCATCATCAAAGAAAGGCAGGACAGGAACTGGGAAGCAGGAACTGAAGCAGAAACCATAGAGGAATACTGCATACTGGCTTGCCCCTCATGGCTTGCTCAGCCTGCTCTCTTTTGCAACTCAGGACCACTGTTCCAGGTGGCACTACACAACGTGGGCTGGACCCTAACATATCAATCACCAATTAAGGCAGTGCATTATAGACTTACCTACACGCCAGTCTTATGGACATGTTTTCTCAGATGAGAGTTCCTTTTCCCAGGTGGCTCTAGCTTATGTCAAGTTGACACAAATCTAGCCAGCACAGTCTTCATATAAATGACTTAATATCTATAAAGAATTAAAATGTATTTTATGCTCACTTATCCTGAATTGATTACTTAGCACTAGATTTCCTACCAGGGAACTGAAAATTTATGTAATTATATTTTATTTTATTGTTTTTGTTTTTTTAACAATTTATTATTCACTCAAGATAATAGGAATCTTTTTAGTGTCATAGAAAATGACATTTAATGAATTTTTCTATTTTTTCTATTCTTTGAGAATTTCATATGTGTATACTAGGCAAGATGATCATAGCTACCACTATTCCCCACTGTAGCTCCTCTCGGTCCCCCCAGCATGGCCTCTCTCAACTTTAGGTCCCTTATTATACTTAACTACCCACTAAATCCCATTAGTGCTGCCAGAATGGGCATGGACGAGAGGCCACATTTGGGAGCATGGGTAACCTACCAGTGGTCACACTCCAAAGAACAATGATGCTTTCTCACCAAATTGCTAGCAACTGTTCCTTAGGTCTTATGTAATTAGATTTTAACCAAAAAATAAGTTTGATATTTAGAAAACTAAAAATATTTAACAGGAAATTTACCAATGTGTTTAGACATTCTGTATATTCACAAATCATAATGAAATGAAATATTTGTTATATTTATAGAAATTACAATAATTAATTTTTTTTCAGGCCTTGATTCTTCTCTTTCTCTTCAGTCAAAGAAGCAGTCACTTTTTGCCAGGCTGGAAAACATTATTGTCACAGATGTTGATCCCAAAACAGTTCATAAGAAAGTATGTAAAACTGAATGGATAGTTACTAGTTTTTGATTATTGCATAGAGACTCCGTTTTACAATATCTTATTTTAGAAAATAAATGTATTTCAATGAAGATTATAACTTCAGGCCTTTTCTGACTTGGGCTTTGTTTTGCAAATGCTTTTCTGTGCAGAGTACATTCACATTTCTGGTTTTTCAGGCTGTATCTATAGTTGGAAATGAAGTTTTTCGGTTTAACCTGGATTTGTATCCAGATGCTACTGAAGGGGACGCCTACACTGACATGTCCACCGTGGATGGTGTGGTGGCACTTCACGTCGGCTGTATTCAGATTGTCTACCTGCATAAATTCCTTCTATCACTGCTGGTAAAGTCACTGTTTATGTGTCCACATTTCCCCAGAAGCTGGAGGGCTGTGATTGCATATGTTGTAAACTTTGGGCTTTAGGCAGTGGATGTTTTGATTATGCCTGGTGTTTATTAATGAAAGTAGTAGCCAAAAGCCCTCTCTAACTCTTGAAATCTAAGTCATTGAGTGATTTTTGTCTGCGATTGAAATTAGTTTTCTAGAACACACAGAAGCCAACTATCTGAGTGCCCAAGTGTTGAAAATGTGTTCACCCCTCACCTGAGCTCAGTGGCAGAGCAGTGCTCAAAGCGGGGCAGTGCATGACTGAGAATGGTCTTCCTCAGTTCCTTCCCTTCACTAGGAGAATAGGGCTCAACTCTAAGGACCCTTGGAAGAAATTGTGTGTTAGCAGTGGGTAGGCTTATTAACAGATGTCCCTGCTTCTGAATGTCTCCTTTTATGTATTGTCCGCAGAGCTTCCTGAACAATTTCCAGGTGGCCAAAGAGGCACTGAGTGCAGCCACTGCCCAGGCTGCGGAAAAGGCAGCCACAAGCGTGAAAGATCTCGCACAGAGGAGCTTCCGTGTTTCTGTCGATATTGATTTGAAAGCACCAGTCATTGTCATTCCTCAGTCCTCTCTGTCTAGCAATGCTGTTGTGGTAGATCTTGGGCTAATTAGAGTTCACAATCAGTTCAGTCTGGTGTCTGGAGAAGATGCTGTGAATCCTCCAGTGATCGACAAAATGGAGGTGCAGCTCACAAAACTGAAACTATCTAGGTATGCATGTTTAGAGCTGTGCTAGGAAGTATGCACTAATTTCTCATGGGATTTTCATACGATGTTTCTTTAGCAGACCATTTTCTGATATAAAAAGTTGCAAAGAACTCTTAATTTCTGGTCAGCTGGAGTGTGTGTGTGTGTACATCCTTCATGCAGAGCTACCAACTTGTTTAATTTTTTTCCTTACATATTTTAAAATGTGTATATATTGTTGTCCAAAACACTGGTTGCTAACCACTTGAGAATAGAAACTTTAGCCAGGAGTAGTGATGCATACCTTTAATTCCAGCACTTGGGAGATCTCTGTGAGTTTGAGGGCAGCCTTGTCTATACAGGACAGCTAGAGCTACACAGTGAGACACTGTCTCAAAAAAAGAAAAAAAAAAGCAAGTGGGAGAGAGACTAGAATAATAGAATATACATCTTGATCCTGTGTCCCTAAACGCCTTAGCCTGTGTCTCTCAAAGTAAGGCCATTTTTCATATGTTATCCCATGATAGGAATAGTAATTTCTAGAAATAGCATTGGCATGCTGTTGTATGTGGATCAGTATTGAGGTGGCGTCAGTTATTGCGGTGATTTTCACTGTAGTACCCCCCTCTGCATGGTCCCTCTCCCCTCTCCTGGAATCACACACTGTGTTCATTTGGGCCCTCTGCTGTTGAAGTGGCTTCTACAGTAGCAGATCTTCACCCTGCTGCTTGAGGTTGACGGTCTGGCTCTCCTGGTGACGCAGGACTTCAGTCAGCTTACACATTTTGGTAGCTGTGTAAGTAATACTGTGTCCTCAGTACTCATGCTATGTGGCATGTGAAGACACAAAAAGATTTAAAACCAATTTTCATTTCACCAAAGGTGATTTAATTATTCAAAATAAAAAAAAAGAGGCAGTTGTAGGTCAAGAAGAGAACCCCCGTGGGAGCATTCTGGAATGCCTCAGCAATGGCTGCACTTTCTGACTTCCTGATTTCCTGTGCTGCTGCTCGCTCACAGTTGTTTCTTTGGTCTCAGCACCAACAAATACACTGCTGTCCTCTGATCAACCACAAGCATGCACTCAGAGGAAGGCACTGTCAGTGATGGGGTCATTGTGAGCATCCCAGTGTGATTGTCATCAGCCTAGGTCAGTTCTGCATGTCTCGATGCAGTCAAGACACACAATACATGTGACACAGATGAGTGGGCTACGAGTATTAGATGCTATTTTTTTTCCTATGGTGAATTTTTCTTACAAGTAGGAAGAAGAGAGTCTAAAATCGTAGGAAGTGTAATCAATGAGGAAACAGCTGATGAGGTCATTTACCATCTTGTAAAACATTAAGTCCTCTACACAATTGCCTGAACATTCTATGTACAATGTGTAGAATTGTCTGCATGTTATGTGTCTGCTGGTAATTTGGTAGGTGTGTTTATACCAATTTCTTCACAAACACAGGAGTAGATGTATTGCAGAATGACTGTGAAAGGCGCTTGGTCCCTAAGCAGTAGGACCTTTTCTGCTCTGTCATTTTAGCAGAACACTCAGATAACTGAAGGACTGTAGTGTGACACAAACTGTATTATTCCTAGAGTGATGAACTTGATTCTTTCTTGTGTATCTGCAGCATTATGAATTTAAAACAAATAAAAAAACAAAACAACCTTTAGCTCAGTTCTCCTTTTGACGATTTTAAAGAAAAGTCTTTAAAAACATATTTTTTTTAGGGGCAAGGCATGATGGTGTATGCCTTTAAATCTAGCACTCAGGAGGTAGAGGCAGGATGATCTCTGATTTTGAGGCTAGCCTGGTCTATAAAGGGATATCCAGTATAGATAGGGATATACAAAAAAATCCTCTTGTCTTGAAACAAAACAAAACATTTTTCTAATTGCTCAATCATGCATTATAATCTGTCTCTCCTAGTGGATTATAGGTTAATTTCTCTCCTAGTGGATTATGGGTTAATTATTACCTCAACTCTGAAACCCCTGAAGCCACACTATTATAAGTTAGCATCTAGAGCATCAGATAGTGCTTGGCACTCTACTTGATGTTATAGTTTGTTGCCCTGTGTGACAGCTTGTGACTATATTCTCTCTCCTTTTTACTAGGACAGCAATCCAGCCAGGCGCCTGCCATCCTGATATTCAGCTGTTGCACCCAATTAACTTGGAGTTTTTTGTAAATCGAAATCTAGCTGCAAATTGGTACCATAAAGTGCCTGTTGTAGAAATTAAAGGGCGTCTTGATTCAATGAATGTAAGTACATGCATGAAAATAACTTTACTGTTGGCATTTCAACCCTGAAAGCTTTCTCAGATACACTAGGAAAGTGCAGATTATTTACTGAATACTGAAAGAAACATTTTAGTGAAACTTTGTCCAGCAGTTTCCAGTAGACATTAATCTTCAGTTAAGTATTATTAACTTTTAAATCTGTTACACACCCATTGTGGAAATCTGTGTACAAATCACTTGTCATCGTGTCTCTCATATTCTTATATGAGAAGTATGTATTACTTACATACTTCTTTTTAAGGAGATCAAAATATGCCTAAGGTAACTGTTGTATTCTTTAAAGAGTGATAGTTTCAAGAATTTGTTATTTAAAAAAATGGCTTAGAGTTCTTTAAATACAGTTCACTTTAAGTAAAAACCAGCCAATAGGGGTGACACTGATTTGCAAATACTATTATTTCTGTGTTTTAGCATTTTATTTGCAGAAGTGAAAGTGAAGCAAGTAGTAAATCCTCAGGTGCTAATCTACTCATGTCTCAGTTACTGTTAGGGTTATTCTGTTTGATTACTGAGAATCTCTTTTCTATATTGTAGTTCTTTTACTTTAAAATAATTTTTTTGTTTATTTCACATTGCTTATTTTTTATTTCACAGGTTAGTCTAAATCAAGATGATCTTAATCTTCTGTTTAGAATACTGGCAGAAAATCTTGGTGAAGCCACTGAAGACGTGGATAAAGGGAAACCTAGAATACAAGAGATAGGTGAGAGGCCGATGGTGGTGACGCATGCACACGTCTCTCTATAGTTTAGTACACACTGAATCTTGTTTTCAGGTTTAAAAGTGGTTTGTTTGTTTGTTTGTTTGTTTGTTTGCCACAGTAGGGATTGAACCAGGGTCTTGCCTGTGTTGTTGTGCACACTGTAATATTGAGTTACATCTGTAGCCTGAGACACAATAAACATGTATTGAATAAATACATATTTAAAAATTGTGACTTGTTTTACCAAGAAAAATAACAAGATGTTGTTGAATTCAAGCATGACTGAAGCATATTACCTCTTTGTAGCTAAGCAGACAGTTAACATCCAGCCTTTTTTCAAGCCACTTGCACTGGGAGGTCATTGAGAATGGTGGCCATTAGCCAGTGCTGGATCTCTGTAAAAAATCTTAATTTGTATATTAAAAAAAAATTGAAGAATGCTAGGCTGTGGCATTATATTCTATCTGATATTTAAATAAGACAGGGATAAAGTATAAGAATTTAAATTATTAATATTTGTCATTCTCCAAAGATAGTAAAGATAGTATATCTAAAATAAAAACAGCAGAAAGTTTAAATAATTAGTTACTGGCATTTTTACTTAAAAGTTATTAATATTTAAAGCCACTATTATGTATGAATAACACGCACGTGTATATGCACACATAACGGATATATATGCACACAGGATGTACCCTTGTTCTTTTCAAACTAGTGGTGGGACCTGTGTGTGCTCACTGCCCTTTGCTGACGCTTCTCTAAATAACAGTTGGAGCTGTCTATATTTCATACCCGTGTTATGCTGTGTGGTGACCTCCCTCCCTCAGTGCTTTTAATCATCTCCTGCCAGTAAGTTCTGTTGAAGAATCATCATTTTTAGCAAGCTTCTACAGAGAGATATTCAGGTTAAGTTTTTCACTCTTACCCATGTTGCACTGAAATGTCCCTTGATAACTACTTTGCATGCGTATCTGTCGTGTCTCATCAGTAAGAGGGCATATAATCTTTATTAATGGAACTCATATCTAACTAAGAGCTAAGTAAATACAGGTTTTAATAAATTAACTTAAAATATAAAACTTAATTGAGAATTTCACACATAGATATAATATGTTCTGGTTAATTTAAAATTTTATAGATTTAGAGGAATGTGTACTTTGTATCCTGTCATGTTGTTTTCTGTATCTTTCTAATAGATTTATTGATTTTCTGAAACTTTTGCCCATTGGCTGAGTGAAAATTATTTCACTGTATATTTTCACTTTTTTTTGTATAGGAGTCCAAGCACATAGCTCTAAGTGCTCACCTCAGAATCACTGCATACTCACTATGAGCAAGATAGAGCCTGTTCCTCAGCACCCTTCTCTCTGGGTCCTGCTGCTAGGATGGACCCTGCCTACCCCTGACCCACTCAGAGCTAACTGCTCTTCTGACCTTGATACTCAGTGCTTAATCTTGTTATTTCATGAATTTTTTTTGAGTGGAGCCATGAGTTTGCTCTTTGATGTTTGGCTTCTTTTCTGTGATTCATGAGATTCATTCAGGTGGCTTCTGTACTGGTCTTTTCTCCAGGGATCCCTGTTTCTGCCTATGAGGCTGGAATCACAGGTGAGCCTGTGCAACACTCAGCTCTTACTCAGTGCTCAGGAATCCAAACTTTTGTCCCCTTGCTTGCATGGCAGGTGCTTTAGCCACTGAGCCATCTTCACAGCCCTGTACTGTGGTTTTCATTTGGTCCTCACTACTAACAAAGTAAACTATTTTATATATGCCTTTTGACTACTTGGATATCCTCTTTTGTGACTGTCTAAACCTGTTAACAATTATTTTTATTTGATGCAATTCTGGAGTAAGATGATAGATGTATTATTGCCTTCCTAAGGGCATTAGTGAGCAGTGTGGATTTTCCATGTGGGTTTCTGGTATACATTATACTGCAGGGCTTTGGTGAATTGGTGGTCAGCATGATGCTATCTGCAATACTGTAGTGACAGTTGTATAGTTGATAGTGAAAGCTGTCAAGCCAGACTGATGGACTTGGATTGGCTCTTGCATGTGATACTAAGCAAGGCTCTAAATTTATCTAAAAAATTATTGTGCTCACTTGTGAGTTGGGGCTATGTTCTTTGCCCAGAAGGGCAGTTTAAGATAGTTTATGCATAGCTTATCATAAAGTATCTGGAATATGTTACAGATATAACAAATGCTAGCTTTATTATTTGTGTGTTATAGGTTAGAAAATACTTTTATTGCTCACCATGGCATGTGTTTCAGAATAGCATCAGTTATCCTTCTTATGCCTTAGCCATTCTACAGTCTGCTCTGTTTGGAGACCCTGCCATGTGCCATCTCTTTTGCCTGTATGGTTTTCATTCTTACTTTTAAAAAGGTGGGCTGTCCTTTCTGTGGAGGACTCTTCCTGCTCTGTGTGGGTAATTCTTCTGTATTAATATGTCTTCATCTCCTTGTCTTCTCTCTGTGCATTTGATGTCCAGCCCATTAACATTTGCCTGCTTGTTGTGAGTAGTTTTAGCTTAATCCTTTGATCTGACTTTCACTGTGTCTGTCTCTTTTTCTAAACTATGAGCTTTCCAAGGCTGAGAGCTGATATGGGTTTGTGGATCTTCAGATGCTCATACATGTTTACAGCAAGTATCTGTGAAAGAAATGAAAGAATAGAAGCACATGTTTCTCTTTAACACCTTTAGGTAGAACTAAAGCATTTGGAGAAGTCTCTACGCCGCAGGGTGTGCACACCACACAAGGTGTGCCAGTCACCAGAGTGGAAGAGGCCAGACCTGTGGACGTCATTAATGTACTGTTGAAGTTTGAAATTAAAGAGGTGCATAATTTTATCACATTTTATAAAGTGAGGTGAATAGATTATGGGTATTTCTAGTAGGCTAAATTTGTAGGTAATTGATATATATGAAAAAAAACCCTTAGACTGTTAATGTTAATAAATTTGAGAATTTATTAAGAACCAGTTACATTTTAGGGATCCAGTTGGGTTTTTTTTTGTTTGTTTTTTTGTTTTTTAAGAGAGAAATGGAAGCACTTCATGTAACTTGCTTTTTAGTCATTATAGGATGTTAGAATGTTGCTTGCTTTGGATTTTCATGTAAGAAGGGCAAGAGAGGTAAATAGAGGGATGTTTTGTAAATAAATGTTAGAAACTCTTCATAGAATAAGGCACAGATCATATACATTTAAAAATGCTATTTCAGTATGGATTTTCTTCTTTCTTTATCTATCTAACAGCTGTATAGTGCGTGTGCCAGAGCCAAAGATGAATTAGAAAATATATAGGTTCTAACAACAATGGTGGTATTCATTAAAAATATGCTCAGGATAGGCTACTTTCAGAGCCTGTGGTATAGATGGCAGTGACGGGCATCTGAGCAGGCAGAGAGGGTTAGGAAAGGTTTCTGGGAGGAAATGACATTTGAATGGAGTTTGTAAAGTAAAGTGAATAAATAGTTTGAGAAAATGGGATGAAGAAAGGGGCCGCGAGTTAGACAGAAAGGATGGGCATAGGTAGAAAGGGATGGGCATAGAACGCTCGTTCTTTTCCTAGCATTTATTATAGATGCTGTGACAGTTCCATCCCTGCAGACCTGGTTGAGCTAGAGAGGAAGGATTTGTGCCTGCTAGATGGATATTTAGCGTTATGCTCTTACTGTATACAGGGAGCTGCCAACTGGTGGTTAGAGACAGGCGTGCTCACATGAACTATTGTGCTCAGGATAGCACCCAAGGTTAAGAAGCCTTGCCTAGAGATTAGTGTAAAAACAACAGAATTTCAGACAGAAGGTGCTCATCAATTAGGACTTCTAGGATTGGAGCACTACCTGCCTCCCTTCTGGCTGCCCTTCCATTGCACCATTGTATTTTTATTTATTTTATTTCATTTTATTTTTGGTGCTTCACGTTTGAAAGTCAGTAGAAAACAGTGGTGGTATCTCAAATGTGTGTAATGTAAATAATGACAATTTTTCAGGCTCAGAATATCTTTTTTTGTGTGTGAATTTCTTTATTTCGCTTCATGTAGCTACTGAGTTCTTATTGGCACTATACAGTTGTAAAACAGTTTATGACACTCCATGCTCATTCTTTTAGGTTGTGGTTACATTGATGAAAAAAGCAGAAAAGAAAGGAAGCCCCTTACATGAACTAAAGATCCTGCATCTTGGGATGGAAGCTAAAGTAAAAGCCCATGACATGACTGCTGAAGCATACCTAAGAAAAATTACCATGCGGTGTTTCGACTTCCCTGGTAAGTGTGCAGGTCCATCTGTGGAAAGACAGTGCAGGTCTTAAAACCAATATAAACACAGGGCTCATTTTCTGCATTCTTCTAAGTACTGTGTATATTCCTTACATATCCAATTTGTTGGTGATGCTGTAATAAATCTTACCTAAATGATTGTAGTAACATTAAGAAGTCATATACTAGAGCCCAAAGACCCCCTTTGAAAACTTAATTCATTAAGAAGCCTAACTTCACATTGATTTAGTTACAAATCACATGAATGTTAAGGTCTGTTTTAAATTACATTAATGTGTGCTTGTAAAAAGTAAATGTTAAACAAAACATAAATATATAGAAGGAGACATTTAGCCTCAACTTCTGGTCTCACTTCCTCCCAAGTGACTATGAAGCTGTAGTCTAATAAACATCATGGATTTTTAAAATTCACTGTCTAAGCACTGGCGCCAGAAGACTGTTTTTACTCCTGTTGGTGATGTATCCAAAGCTGTGCAGACGCAGTGTCTGAGTCATCTTGCAGAAGAATGTATCTAGATCACGTTTCCTTTCTTATTGTGACTTTTCCAACTGTTCTGAATATTTTCTAAGGTTTTATAAAAAAAACAAACAAATGCTGCTATTGATTAGCTGCAAAAAAATGCACTTTAGACATATTTAACAATTAAGACTTTCAAAATAAAGATGGCGATTGCCCAATGGTAAAACCATTTTAGGAAGTTATTTAGAATTTTGTATGTATATATTCACTTTTAACTGAAATAAAAAAGCACTTAGAATTGAAAAAAAATTCACTGTCTAAGTCTGAGACTATCTGAATTTTATAGTTCTTGTTTGTTAAGTTTTTAAAGGACTCTGTAGAGCATTTTTGAGAAGATAAACTTGTGTTGGGAATAATCCCTTCTTGTGTTTTATAGCTGCTATTTCTTCTGTTACTGTTTGTTTACATGACGATAATACCTGTAGTACTCTATATGAGAGATGTTATTGTCTAGAGCTGTTTAGACTTGTTCATTTTGTGGTCTTTGATTTTTCTTTCCAGTTTTTCAGAGTTAGACTTACTGTGGTGTGATTGGTAGATAGCATAATACACTTGCCTGTATTATATATAGTTCTCTGATGAGCATTTCTCTGTAACTGGGTCTGTTTTATAAGATGTTTGAGGTGCTGAAAAGATGATGCAAATCCGAGTTGTCTTTTCCCTTCCAGATTCTAAAGGCGAGCCTCTGCACATTGTCAACACCTCTGATGTGTCTGATGGAACCCTCCTGAAAATGCTGTTCATCAAGGTGTCTGTTCTAGTTTCTTCTGTTGCTGTGATAAACATCCTGACAGAAAGTCAGTTTAGTGGAGAAAGGCATATATCACCTTATAATTCCAGGCAACTGTCTATCATTGTGGGTAAATCAGGAAGAAACTTCAAACACCCAGTGACATCACACATCCACTGTCTAGAGCAGAGAGAGATGAGCACATATGTGTTTCCTGCTTGTTTGTGCCCAGCTCTTTCTCTACTATTATACCATTAAAGACCCCTTGCTTAGCGAATAGTATGGCCCACAGTGGGTTGGGTCTTCCCATATCAGTTACCTGAAGAAAACTTTTTATAGACATGTCCACAGGCCAGCCCAGTGTAGACAACCCACATTGAAACTTGCTTTCCAGATGACTCTAGGTTTTGTAAATTTGACAGTTAAAGCTAAGCATCACAGAATCTCATTTCATTTTTCGGATTAATACTTAAATATATGAGATTACTTATTTTCCTCTCATACTTAATATTTGAATTCTTCCCTAAGTTTTTCAGTCCAAGTTGGTTGATGATGAATTATGGAAGCATATCAAAATTCTTTATACTCCATTAACCTAATGAGCTTCCCTGGGGAGTTGAATAGATAGGAGTGACCAGTCAAAGCTGAGCCATGTCCTGAAGCAAGCTGTGTTATAAATTAAGTAGCATCAGTTTCCACGTTTGGATGGGCCTACCCAATTATATGCACGGACATCTTCAGAGTAGAGTAAGGAGCTTGAAATTTTGCATCTCCAGTATGTAGAGCATATTTGTGTGGTCAGTTTTGGGGGCATATTCTTATTTGCCTATAAGGAACATCCTTGTTGGTTCTTAATAGCATACTTAGGTTGTAAAATATATGTTTTCAATGTGTGAAATTTTAGTGTTTTTACCTAAGTGGTTTAATTATCAATTGCTTTTAGGCAGACAGTGATGGACCAGACTTTAAGACCATTCATAATAACACCAAACAGAAGCTGAAGGTAAGGCTTTTGTAATTCATCTTAAGACTAGGTTCTTGAGATCTAATGGAGCTTGATGCCACTTTCAGTTGTAAGATATAGGATGTAAAATTAGAATTGGGGGCAGTAGTAATAGATGTAAAATTAGTGCACAGAGAACTGAAGTAAAGGTCTTGTCAAAACTTGTTTCTGAAAAGATTATTTTAAAATGTGAATGAGAAATTATTTGTAGAATATACAAATATTCTTTATTTTTAGGGAATTTTTTTTTTTTACTTTAGTGCAACATAGTTATTTGGCCTGATGTTGCTGGCAGCACTGAACATTTGAATTCTGTGTTGGCTTTAGGGTTAGAGTAAGATTAAGGATGAGGGTAGTGCACAGTCTAGTATAGACATACTCAGTCCATGTGGGCATATGTAGTTAGTGTAGGAAGACTCCTGTGTCCTTATTTAAGACTCATCAAGCTTGGCTGAGGTTAGAATTAATGTCTTCACTGGGAGTGGGTTATTGGCAGGTAAAGATTGACAGTATAATAGTACTGGAAAGGATTAGAATGATTCTAGTAATTCATTCTTCATTGTTTAGAAAGGGTCAAACTATTCTTGTGTTAGTTACATAGATTGAAACTCAACCCAATGGTATGACTGTGACCCCAGAGCTATGACCACTTTCCCCCCAGTGGTGTGACTGTCCCCCAGTGGCATGACCACCATGTCCCCGCAACCCCCAGTGGCGTGACTGACCCTCAGTGGCATGACCATATCCCCATCAGCATGACTGATCCCACAATGGTGTGAATATCCCTGAAGTTCTTGTTTCTGATGTTCATTGTCTTAGATTTCGTTTTCATCCTTGGACTTGGTGCTTCATTTGGAAGCTTTACTTTCCTTCATGGATTTTTTGTCATCTGCTGTTCCATCCTCTGACTCCTCCTCCTCTGAGAAGGAATCTGAGCTAAAGCCACTTGCTGGGGAATCCAGAAGTCTTGCCATCAAAGCCGGTATCAGTTTCTCCTATGTGCTCTCATAGAATAACTCGTATTTGCAGCTAGAGTAAATGTTAACAACTTGACGAACACAGTATCTAACAATGAGGGTAGCTTCAGAAGACAGCAACTTCTATTCTTACAGGATTGCATACCAGTTTATTAAAGAATTTGAAATAAATGTTAATAGTAATCATGTACTTCCAGTTGATTTCACTCTCTGGCTCTTATATGAAATAGAATCTGTAGATTCTTAGCATTGACACATCTTTCAGCCTTCTGTCTCGTAACAGTGAGAAGGTAAGAAGTTAAAACATGGTGGCTGTCATGCTCAGTCACAGAGGCCCTTTTAAGTCAGTGCTGCTGTGCACAGCAGCTGTGAGTCTTTTTGGGACACCAGCCTGACCTCTTTCAGTCACACATAGAACTTGGTCTGTGTTCACCACATATATATTACTTGTATTTTGAAATTTGGATATACAATACTGAATGAATGAAGGATATGTACTTGATTTTTAATTCAAACATTTAATTACTTTTAAAAATTATATAAATTTCTGGTTATTCCCAGCTTGAATTACATCTATATTACTGATATCTTAAGTATAAAATTTTTAGCACTAAAATTTTTCAGTCTGATACAAGGACCTGAACTTTTAAAACCATAGAAAAATAATGTCCTTAGAAGCATAATTCTACCTTCTTTGTTGTTTTGACAGTGTCTTGCTGTGTACCCTAAGCTAGCCTCAAACTCTTGATCTTCCAGCCTCAGCCTCCTAAATGGGAGAAATTCCTGACTTCTTTATCATAATATGCTTAACAAGCTAAGATCTTTAAGAGAGAGGTTTCTTAGAGTTTTCATCTCTTTATAACATATGAATACACCATTCATAGCTCATCTGAGTGAATGCAAGGCCAGTGTTCAAGCTACATTCAATGTCCAAGCAACATTAGCCCAACTGAACTGTTCTCTGGTTTTACTGCACAACTTGACTTTATGGCTTCTTTATCCTATATCGGATATTAAAACAGCAAATAGCCTGTAGTACTAGGATTAAAAACTGAGAGCCCCCTGCTTTCTGTTTATAGGAAAGTTCTATTTCCTGCATGTAAGACAGAGTCATGGGAAAGCAAATTCTAAATAAATTAGTAATACCTACACAAAAATTAAACTCATTTAATGGTGATTCTTTTTTTTCTTTTTTCCTTTATTTGGTTATTTTGAAATAACATCTTCCTAAGTAGATGGCTTGAGTTCACTCTATAGCTCAGGCTAGCCTCAAACTCAGGTAATCCTACTTTAGCTTCTTGAATGTGGGATTTTCTAACATTCTTAGCTTGACTATTTTCTTATATACACATTTTTTGGTGATTTTTTTAAACTTTAATACATTATATGCTTTTCTTAGTGACTCTGTTGTAGAATTACTTATGGATCCATGGCATATAATCTAAAGAAACTGGGTTGTTTTTTTTTTTCATTAAAGAACAGGTAAAGAACATAAATAATACATAAATAATATGAATTTCATTGACTGCTTATCTCAATTTTCATAAATTATTCTTTGATCTAGTATGTGATATGACTAATTAAAATTTTTGTACTAACCCATTTCTAGACTCTAATTTAGAGGGTTTCTTTTTTTCCCCTAGGAGAAACAAACAGCTTCAGGAGCATGTTCACCTAGTGAGTGGTATCATCAAGGTGTTACGGTTGCCCTATTCATAACTGAAGGGCATTCATAACTGCTAGGTTTCAACTGAGTGACAAAATTCATATTTATATTGCCTTAACAGAGACCGCAGTGGTTCCTTTTGTGCATTATATGACTTTTATTGGTGAACTATACTGTTTTCTCATCTTTCTGCATCACACAACACTGACCTCTGGCTTCCACTGCTTTTCAGTGCCCAGCTCTTATGAAGGTGACGTGTTTGATTTGAAGGTCACAGCTGAATTAAATGCCTTTAACATCTTCATTTGTGATCAGAAGAGTAACATAGCAGAAATTAAAATACATGGCAAGTAATTCTTTTTACATAGTATATTGGAAAGATGGCTGGATTAGTTTGTATTGAAAATATATGCAAACTTTAAACAAATGTGCTTTGAAACTTATGATTTACTCCTAACTTGAGATATTTTTTATCCATTTAAAAATTTTCAGAATACGTCTGAGGCTTAAGATTTATATTGTGGTTTCCTTTTCAGAATAAGAGAACTTTAAACTTAGATGAGTATCATAGTAACTCTCAGGGTAAAAATAAAAGTCATTATCCTTGTTTTCCCTTGCATTTTGAGCATATATAGATTAGCAAAATTAATTTGTAAAAGACATTTTAAACTTTTTGTGAGTCAAGACTTCAGCCTCAGGTTATACAGTAAGTTCTTAGAAGTCTGGCATGGCTCAGACCTTGAAGCTAACCACAGGATAATGTTGAACATTTTAATTTAGCTTTTTGTTCCTTACTTCCTCTGTAAAGATTGTTATGAGGGCAACGTTTATATATTTATTTGTGCGTGAACAGGTGCATTTGATGTTGTAAGCAGTTTCAGAAGACTGAAACACAGCCGTATTCAGCAGACACTACCAAGTCTTAGTTGAAGGCAGTCTCCTGTCTGTGATATAATGAGCATGGCAAACTTCTGACTTTAGAAGATTAGACCATAGATATAAATTATTGTAGGAATAATTCTAAGCTGTAAGGGGACGCTCATTTCAGTTTTAAAAACACATGTTTATGTAGTGCATTTGAAAATACTAAGTCTACCTTAAGTGAGTGGCTCTGGTCTAACCAATGTATAGCATAATGTTTTCAGAGAGTGTGTCACTAATTTATTTAAAACTTTCTAGTTTTATTTTTAATTTCCTAAAGTGTTATGTATGAGGAATATGCTGACTTAAAAGTGCCTCAGTGTTTTTTGGATACCACATACATGGGAGGTGATTGTGTTAACATGTTCCATAGTAATTTTTCTTTATCTTGTATTTCAGTTGCATGTTAGTGCATGTAACCTTCTTTAAATAAGGAAATATCTGTAAATTGTGTCTCTTCTGTAGGAATGGATGCCTCTATTTCTGTGAAGTCGAAGCAGTCCGATGTGTTTGCCAGACTTAGGAATATCATAGTTATGAATGTTGATTCACTGTCCATTCACAAAAAGGTAATCACAAAACTGATTTCTGTGTTGAAGTGTGGCTTTTGGGGACCAGATGCCGCTACACATTTGATATTTGTCTGACATGTTGGGGGCATATTGGGGCTGTGGACAAAGATGGGAGGTCATGTGTAATGATTAGGAAAAGTTATTCCTGGGAAGCGTGGTGGTAGGTTGGTACTTTATTAATGAGGTGACATTTATAGAAATGGAGAGCATTGGATGATGTTGAATTTCCATGAGGCTTTTTCACCTGTCGGGCTCCTGTGGTCAGGAAGTGTCCTGAGGGTTCCGAGAGTACGGTTCTGTAGCTCTGACGGAATAACCGATTGTCTTGTAATGTCAGGCTGTCTCTATTTTGGGAGATGAAGTCTTCCGGTTCCAGATGAGTCTATATCCAGATGCCACAGAAGGAGAGAATTATGGAGACATGTCTAAAGTGGATGGCAGACTTAGTCTCAAAGTGGGCTGTATTCAGATTGTCTATGTTCATAAATTCTTTATGTCTCTCTTGGTAAGTTCATTTCTACTTGTTTTTTTTTCTCACTGAGTATAAATATTGTGGCTATGTATCTGAACCTAGATAGTTAAATTTCCACTACTAGGGCATGTTTATTAGCCTCCCATCACTGATAAAATGCCTGAGATGAATAGCTCAAAACAGGAAAAGACTTATTTGGGCTTGAAGATTACTAAGAGTTTTTCCTCCATTCCTTGGCTCTCTTGTTTTAGGGTTTGTGATGAGGGAGACCATTCAGAAGGAGGGCATGTGCTAGGCAGGACTGGTGACCTCATGGATGCTGGGGAACAGAGAGGGGAGATGGGGCCAGGTCTCAGTGTCCTCATATAGAGCATACTCCAGTGACTACACTTCTTTCCACCAGGCCCTCCTTTCTAATGGTGCTGGTGCTGGCAGTTGTGTTGCAGCCTGGTAGCCCAGTCCTCAGTACAGGTTCCTTGATGAGCATTTAAGATTCAGACATAATGAAGGTCTGTGTAAACACCCGAACTCTGAACAGAATGTTCTAAATAAGCAAATCTTTTAAATGTTGGTAAAGCAAATGGAATTTAATTCTTAAAATTATTATGTGAGTGACTTACACATGAATGATATGTGTGGGCATGTATGACACAGTATCCTGTTTGCTGGTCAGAGGACAACACGGTGGAGTCTGTTTTCTCCTTCTACCTTTCATGGGTTATAGGGTTCAAATTCACATTGCCAGGCTTGGGCAGTAAGCACCTTTTACCAGTTGAGTCATGTTGCTAGCCCCAAACTGGAAGCTTTAGTCATTGTTTTGAACATAAAATCTGTAATTCTCTAACATTTTCATAGTACTTTTAAAGTACTTTTTGCTATTTTGTCTTTATCTATATATGTACACAAACACATATACAGGTATGTACTGTTTGGCTTTTAGTACTTGTTTATTAATACACAGGATCTCATATAGCCCAGACTGGCTTCAAGTTCACTACGTAGCCTAGGATGACCTTGAATTTCTGATCCTTCTGCTTCTACCTTCCAAGTACTGAGAACTAAAGGTTTGCATCACCATATTTAGCTATTATTTTATGTATTTTATTGTTTGTATGATTTGATATTGTAATTTAGGGCTTTTCAATATTAGTTGTTTGAAATAATGCCTAAAAGTCATCATGTAGTTGAAAAATAAATATTGAAACTTAGTTTTGACAATATTTGTAATAAACAAGGCCACGAAATTCTTATTTTTACTGGGTCCTTGCAAATCTTGGTCTGAAGAGTTTAAACCTGCCAGTTTGTGAGCTTACTATTCATCCATTTAGACCTAAACCATCATGTCTGTGTTTTTAGAATGTGTGTATCTTGGAGCAGTGAGAAAGATGAAGTCACTCTGTATGATTAATGGATACATGCTAAGAAGATTGGTTTTAGATTCTTCATTTGGAAAGTACTTCATTTTCAATTGAAATAGAGATGAAGTGTATCTTAACCACAAAAAACTTTAATTAATGATTGCTTTAATTAATGACTCCTATTAATGATTGCAAGATGATAGACAACCATATTTGCATACCTCCAGTACATTATAAAAATCTTCATGAACGAGCTGCTAAGGCATTAGTCGCTGTTCTGAACAAGTTCTCTGAAAGTACAGAGTGGAGTCTGCTTTGCGATAGAGGGCTGTCCAGTATCTTATCATTTAAATTCTGATTTAAGGTGCCTGGTTATTCTGAGGAGAATGGTGTTTAGGTCATAAATCATGTTCCTCTGTGTGCCCTCTTCATTGAGCTTCCCTTTCATTTCCTTGGGAGACTGTCTACCTGTCATTCTCTCCTAACAGAGCTTCCTCAACAATTTCCAAGCTGCTAAGGAAGCCTTGAGCACAGCCACAGTCCAGGCTGCAGAGAGAGCAGCATCCAGTGTGAAGGACCTGGCCCAGAAGAGCTTCCGTCTCCTGATGGACATCGACTTGAAAGCACCTGTCATCACGATTCCCCAGTCTTCTGTGTCACCTAATGTCATTATAGCAGATCTAGGCTTGATTAGAGTTGAGAATACGTTTAGCTTAGTTTCTGTGCAGCAGCTCGCTCTGCCCCCAGTGGCCGACAAGATGAGCATCCAGCTTACTCAGCTGAAGCTGTCCAGGTACATGTGTGTTGTGGGACCATTTGTTGATTTTCTGTTCATTGTCATACAATTTTTTTTACCTACAGTAATTACTGTGATGATCCTTAGCTCTCATCTTTGTTTATTCTAATCAGGAGACTTTGACTACTGTTTTCTGGCCAGCAGTTAATAGCAGTGTGCTTTGTAGGGCCTGTGTTTTGTCTTAATTTTATAGTGTGATTATTTTTTTCATTTTTAAAAAAGTGCTTATAAAATTAAAATTTCCTAATGGGAAATGGGGATGGTCCACATGCCTCTTTTCCCACCTATTCAGGATGCTGAGGTGAGTGAGGTATGAGCTCACAAGCTTGAGATGAGTTTAGTCAACATAATGAGAGCCTATGTCAAGATGTAAACTATAGTGTGCTCAGTAACATTTATAAAAGCATTTGAAACGTGGCAGTCCTCAGTTTAAGTAAGCTTAAAAGTACATAGATATTTATAAAAATCTTTGTTTTTCTTTCAGAACTGTTTTACTGGCTGACTCACCTCAGCATGACATTGAAATCTTAAAACCAGTGAACATGCTTCTGTCCATACAGCGGAATTTGTCGGCAGCATGGTACACACAGATTCCAGGCATGGAGATAAAAGGAAAACTTAAGCCTATGCAGGTACGTCTGTAAACTGTGGGAAGCGCTGCGTAGGCTTGCCTTGCTGCCAGCGCAGTTTCTGGTGTGTCTGAAAATTAGCAATGAGGTTGTCCTTGTCTCACACTATCCTTTATTCCACTTTATTTAGGCATTTAGGAAAACCAGGATCTGGCTGGTGGGGATCTACTGAAAATATCTTGCTTAATTTGGAAAATTCGATTAATTTCTCAATGTAGTGAAATTGTCAGAGAATTAAAAGTGAGGCTTAGATACTATATGCAAAAGAAAAGTATTCCTTCTAGGTTTAGGGATATTTTTTGATGCATGATTTGCATGTATTGAGGCACAACAGCTTGGGTAGTATTACAATGTATAGGGACTCTTTTTATTTAGAAATAGTTACTTGAGCAGGCATGTACATTTATTTGGGAAGCAGCAGTATTTTCAGAGGTATAGTTTGGGTCTGTCTGGGTTTCTGAGAGCAAGTGTTAAACTGGGAAGGATATCAGTAGATGTCCCCAGCAGTGTGTTTCCAGTAGATTACTTGGACAGTTCTTAGAAACCTTGGGATCACCTCTCAGCATTGTCCTCCAGATGTATGGAAGGGCAGTAGGTGATGTAGTTTCTCAAGTTGGCTAGTCTGTAGGCAGGCCTGTCACCTTGGGTAACATCACAAGCTTCTTTAATGAAAGTCTTTTTATCTTTAGGACATTAATAATAATGCCTTTCTAGTGGAGAGCTGAACAACATGAAACATCCAGACTGAATGAGACTGCCAAAGTCTATTAAGATCCATTAGTTCAAGCTTTGCTTTGAAGCTTTTCATCCTTCTTCTTGGACAGCCCTCCCTCCCCACGGCACATACAACAATCCATACAAAACACATCTTCAAGCACTAACTTCCTGCCTATATGATGATGAGGGAACTCAAAGCACCGGGTAGTAGCCAAGAAGAACCTTTTGCTTATCCCAAGCCCAGCCCTCTGATAACAAACGTGGCACCTTAGTAGCCTTTGGCAGTCTCATTCAGTCTGGATGCTTCATGTTGTTCAGCTCTTCACTAGAAACATATTATTATTAACGTCCTAAAGATAAGAAGACTTCCATTAAAGAAGCTTAGAAACTTGGTGCACAGAGAGCTTAAAGGCATAGAGCTGATACAGATCTGTCTTGAGGTTTTTATTCTTTCTTTTCATCTCATCCTTTTGTAAACGGTAAAAGGGAGATGCTGCCTTCCTGGTATGCATGACAGCTTTAGAAAGTACTCAGCTAATTTAATTAAATTAAATTTAATATAATTTGGATTAGCTATAATTATAAAAGGTTCTATTACTTGCTAAGATAAACAGATATTTTGTGTATATCCAGTTTAGTCTGTGCTGAGAACAGAGCTGCAGAGCATGAGGACATCTCAGTTCTAGTAGAGATCAGAAACTGAATTGAGCTTGGAGGAAGCACAGCATAGCAAAGGCACTGGTACCAGGTGAAATGCGAGAGGGGCAGAATGGAAACTGGAGTGAGGCTAGGAAACAAAACGGTGGTATGGTCCCAGGTCAGGCAGGAAGGGCATTGGCTTCCAGAGGATCTAGCTGCACTGGAGACATGTGTCTCTATTGATTCTGTAGTCTCAGCATACATGTGTGTTTTCTCAAAAAATGGATTAATCATTCGTTCATCTCTAAAGCCTATAAAGGCATAATACTGTGTTTTTCTTAGATTATATAAACAAATTATGGTGGTTTTCAGGTTGCTCTCAGTCAAGATGACTTAACAGTTTTAATGAAAATTTTACTGGAAAACCTTGGGGAAGCTTCTTCACAACCAAGCCCTACACAGTATGCACAGGAGGCTGTAAGAGTGAAGAGAGATACTCGGAGTGGGCCTGACTATCTTAAAGGTAAAGGCTGATGCAGGCTTTTATGTTGATATTAAAAAACTATCAAGATCATACATTGTTCTGTTAGCTCTGCAGCACAGTGAAAGGATCTGCTGTTCTTAGTGGTTACTATGGAAGGTCTGCTGGAGTTGGGGCTGCCTACTGAAGGGCCCAGGGGAGGTCGTATGCGTTGTTTATGGTGAGGGGAGGATCAGTTGTTCTTCCTGCATTGTGATTATTTGTGGCTGGCTTATGGAAGCTAAATATGCTAAATTCACTGGGCACTGAGGTGGTCTACATTGAGAGAAAATTCAAAGCAGGTAGGTAGTGTAGGAAGATGTCCAAATAATTCAGAGAAAAAGGATCTTGGTATGTTGACTGAATCATGAGGAAGGAAGGCATTCTCTCACAGTAGCAGCTTTATGCCTGGCCTTAGTGGAGAATGATGCTGTGAGTGTACAGGACACGTTTAGATTATTAAAGTTAAATGTGTTAAGAGCTCTGTGGCCCTTTAAATTCAGCCATTTAAAGTGGTTCATGGAATATAATTTCAGTTTTTTGTTTCTTTCTTTTCCTATTGTTTTTGAGGACGACTCTCACTGTGTAGCCAAGTTGGCCTCAAACCTGTGATGGTTCTGCTGATTGGGTCCCTGGATGCTCTACCATGACCAGCTTTACATTTTCCATTATTTAAAGCCATCAATGTGGCTAGCAGATGTTTTATGAGATAGTCAATAGTTGATATTTCCACAACTAAAGCAAGATAAAGACCATTTATGCCCATGAACACTCTAGACTGTTCTGTGTGCTTTATGAAACTCTGGACATCAAGTTAACTGTTGAAGCTGCCATCAGTGATTACTATTATGGTAACAGCATTGCTTCTATTGCAAGGCATTTTTGGGATTTTAAGAGTGTGTAAAAGAGGTTTCTGGTTTAAACAGATGAGCCCAGACTCCTTTGAGTTTGGGTTATGTTGGATGTGGACAGATACTAGATAAGTAGGCTGTCGTTAAGTTAGATTGGACACTGTGGAGATGAACAAACTTTGGCAAGTAATGGTCTTGTTGGATTTAGCTGTGATCACATTTGTGATTCTAGTTCTCATTTTCTGGTTAATGGGACACCTGGGAAAATATAAATGTGTTCAGATGCAAACTACAAATACCGTGAAGGTTGGAACAGAAGTTCTTTTCTGAAACCATGGAGCTAAAGCCCCAGGTTTTTTCCAGCCTACAAAGACTTGAGGTGACTTGATGTGACTTTCCTAAAGAATGACCCATGGTCTCCAAAAGGATTGTGGAGTTGCTATATTAGAGCACTCAAGCAAGATTTGTTCTGTGTATCCTGCCTGTCTAACGATAGGAAGGAAAATGAAGTTCCTTCTGGAGTCCCTTCATGTTAGTATTCCAACAGTTCCCATCATGATATGCTCCAGCTCTGCTAGTGTGCTCGTCTTCTCTTCTAAGATGCGTTAGCCCACTGAAGATCTTGGCCAGCCTCTCAGTCTAGGCAGCGTTTGACCTCATTGTATGCTCAGTTTTATAATGTCTTGAGCATGTCCGAACCAGTTAGGACAAATGTGCTGTGGTTATTACGGGAACTAGTCTTACTTTAAAGGAACGTTTCAAACATTTGTCTTGATATTATTTATAAGATCACTTTTTTCCTGTAGTCTACTTCTGACACTTTGCTATTTACTGAATATATATTGATCAGTCACCATATATTGCCATTTTTATTGTCTGGTGAGTTACTTAAATATGATATAAATTTGGAATAATAATGTATCATCCCAGCTTTAAAATGTCTAAAATAATGTACCTCTGTGAGAGCTCTGTGATTTTCTTACTTATGTTTGAACTATCAGAACAAGAGCTGATGGACCCAAAGCCTCCTGGGGACCAGACTGTCACTCTTCAGTTTGATTTCCACTTTGACTCTCTTTCCGTCATCCTTTACAACAGTGATAGCTGCCAGGTAAGGAGGACATTTCTGTTGCCAGGGGTAAATCCTTTGGTCTTGAGAGTATTCAGCTTTTGAATGTTGCCATTTTTTGTTCTATTAATAGAATTCAGTGCTCTGTTGCCAAGGGTAAATCTGGTCTTGAGAGTACTCAGCTTTTGAATGTTGGCATTTTTTGTTCTATTAATAGAATTCAGTGCATCTACAAACCACTATTTGACCTGAAAAATGTGCTTGGGTCTGTAGGCGGCTGTGATTCTAATCCTGCCAGGCTAAGAAAATATGCATAGGGGTTCTCTCTTTCCAGTAACACAGTCACAAGTGCATTCTATCCATCACTAACAGAGAAGTTTTACATGTGACTGACAGGCCATGTGCTTAATTTAATGCATCAGTAGTCATCACTATTTAGGAAGAATAATTTAATACTGTCTTTGGAGCCTTTTATGATTATGTCTTAGTCTTAGATAAACATCTATATAGTAGATCAAAGTACTTTAGAAAGCCACTTTGCATTGCATAATATCTTATAATAAATATTTTTATTTTATAAATTAGTTATGTGATATTTTAATGCCTATAGCATGTCATATAAATACCCATAATCTATATTTATTATAGATTTTATATCCATGGTCATGTGCATTTCATATGCTAATTTGCATTTATATTTTCTAGAAGTTATACAATATTCATATATTTCTACAGTTGAGCTTTGTGATAATGTCTGTCATTTACGCATTGAACTGCTTAAATCTGTCTTGTGGTGTTCATGCAAGCCTCAGCAAATGCCTTTATTGACGATGAAAGTTACACCCACTCTTCATTTCGCTTAAGGACAGTTGTCTGTTGATCCAGCCTTAAGATGCTGCTGCCATTTTCGGCTTCTTTCTTTAACCTCACTCATTCAGACTCTGCCCGCTGTCACTTTTCTTTTGGTGAATAGCCCTCTTTTCATGTCATTTCTCACTGCTTAATTCAGACTTTGTTTTTTAGCTCACACATGTGTTGCAGTGGCTTTATCTGTACTAGGCAGTGGTATAGTGTGTGCCCTTGCTGATTCTCATGGAGCCACTTAGAGCTTCTCATTTTGCTTAGAAACATTGAATGTTATGCTACATGATCCTCACTTTATGTAGAAAGCACTCATTCCAGATCATCTGTATCAGGGATTGATTGGAAATGTCTGTGTATTACAGGCATCAGCTGTATAACAGGCCATTTCTGTTGATAGTAACACAAGTTTGCGTGTCTGTGTTTATAAGGTAAAAGTATTCTGTTTGCCAGTAATTCTATCATTCACAGTGCCTTGCATTCACTGTACTGTCTGGAATCAGTGCACATGTTGAGTAGTGACCACTGTGTCCAGGGTGCAGACATATGCTTGAGTGCACTGATGTACTCACCTGTGTTTGTATACTCAGTGTCGAATACATGATTCTGGACTTAGAAACTTCGTGAATTGATTTGCTTTCAAGCTTTGAGTTAAGGAATATGCTTAAATGAACTCATGTAATATTTAAAGATTTTGTATTCCTTTGCTTGACAAATGTACTACAGGGGTCCAGGCTTTCATTTCATAATGACAGTCTCCGTCTGGGTGAGCTCACACTACACCTGATGGCTTCTGCTGGGAAGATGTTCAAGGATGGATCTATGAATGTCAGCCTTAAACTTAAGACGTGCACTCTTGACGATCTTCGAGAAGGAATTGAGAGAGCGACATCCAGGTTTGTCAGATCAGAGTTTGCTGTGCAGAGTTACAGGTGGATGCCAGCCTGCCACTGTGACGAGTGAGGTCCTCAGAAGAGTCTAGCCTTTGGTCATATTCTCAGAATTGAGTTGCAAATGGCCCTCTCTGATTCCTCTGCCTCAAACTTTAAATGAAAGAGGAATTAATTTCATGGTTAAATCCACATGGGTTGGTAATGTATTTTTCTGGATTATTGCTAGTAGGCAGAATTATCATTATTGTTTTAGAATCCTTAAATTCATGCATCTCTTTGTTTTCTTGTCTACCTTGACTTTCAAAAAAAATCTGCAGAATTTATTTAATTTTTCATCTGGAATATACTCTGTAGCATCACCATATTATCAACCCATTTTGAAAAATGAACTCATATCAGTCTGGTATGAAATTTAATTTCTCTAGTTATGTGTCATATTTTGTACTTTTTTGTGTATGAAAGACTATGTTGTTATTTAAACTTGGGCACCATTGACTATTTTCTGGATTCTGCTGAACATTGTGTTTTTCAGAGAATCGAACACATTAAAACGTGTGCTATCTCATAACCAGGTTTTCTGGTTATAAGTTTTATGGCCAGGGTGGCTGTTCACAACTCTATAGGCAATTGTGATTGATTGATAAAATCGTCTTGTTTGGTAGCCTAATCTCTCCAGCACTCGTAAGGGTATGTAGGATCCATCGTTGTAGACCAATTAACACTTGTTGGTTTGGGTTGCATTGAGCACTGGGGAGTAAATTCTATAGGGTAAACATTTTATATAGATACACTCTTTCAGTGAAGGTTTATTTAGTAGAATAAAGAGGTCATGTTATATTTTGAGGAACTGCATTCATGAATTTCTAATTGTTCAAAATCATTTTCAGTAGTCCTTGGCTTTCCTGGAATTGTATTATAATTACAGAATATCTCATAATGCTTAGTCACATGAATCTTTCTTTGAAGATTTGGCAGCCATGTCTTGGTTGCTAATTGGGTGATTAGGTTCCAATTAACACTGTTGTATTTCTATTCAGCCTAGCAACGGAAAGGTGAAAGGAAGATGGTTAAGATGCAAGGGAACATTTTCATGCCTTTATTATTTTATTCAGAGAAGAGGGGGCCAGATAATGAATGGCATGTTTGGTTTTCAGGATGATTGACAAAAAGAATGACCAGGACAGCAACAGTTCTATGATTGATGTGAGTTATAGCCAAGATAAAAATGGAAGCCAGATCGATGCTGTCCTTAACAAGCTGTATGTGTGTGCCAGTGTGGAGTTTCTGATGACCGTGGCTGATTTCTTCATCAAAGCTATGCCTCAGAGTCCAGAAGACATTGCCAAAGAGATACAGATTCCATCAAGACAGACTGCCGCTGGAAGAGTCAAGATGGAGAAAGGTTAGGAGAACTTACCTGTCTGTTCTGAAGATGTCTATGTCTTAACAAAAATTTGAAACAGGCGAACAAAGAGGTGGAGAATTTGAGAAAGTAAAATTAGGCTTTTAGATTTAAGCATATTCTTTGTAAAACTCCAGCAAGCAAATGTTTTTAAGTGAAGTGCAGCAACATGCTCTGCGATGGGGCAGGAGCTGCTCTGACTCCACTCGGTTTTCCTCATCCAGAAACAGAGAGAGTTAGCCAGTCAGGGGCAGAGCAGTGTTTTATAAAAGGGAGTGATTTATCCAAACAAGATTATTTGAAGAATTCTAGTGCATTGTTGGGCAGTAGACAAGGAGGAGGCTTGGACAGTGGAGGACACAGCATGACTGACCGTTGACTCTGAGGAAGCCTGTGAATGCCTGTAGTAGGAAAATGAGGGAAGCCATTTTCAACTTGGCAGTTTTTATGTTCCAGCTTTATCAGATGGACTGGTGGTTTTCTAGGTTGAATTTTAAATTGCTTTGAGGGCAGGTTTTTTGTTTTGTTTAATGTAAAACCTGGCAAACTTGCAAACCGAGTGTATATCAGCAAGATTGGAGTATTATTTTCCCATTTGCTGTGATGTTTTGAGTAGTGGTCAAACCTGGTGACATCCTGTTGACTTCTGTATGTTTGTACTGTGGATCATGTGGCACGGAGAGTGTCTGATGGGCGAGACCGAAGTAAACTGGTGACAGGTGACTTTCCTTCAGCAGAGGTTCATTTTTTGGCAGCTCTTTCTTGTATTCTGTTCAGTGCCCACAGCATTACATAACGCTGTGTCTATTTGTATGTGCACACACCTGAATTGGATCCCAAGAAACTTCCCAAAACATGTCATTTCTAAAAGATCCAAGAAGGAGTGATCGACTTTGGCTTGGTTTCTATTTGTATTTTTTTTTTTTTTTTTTAGTAAAATCAGCAATGGATACATGGCCCATAGTCAAAATATACATTAAATGTTGTCTGCCCTGCTGTTTCTTCAGATGACTCTGTGAGGCCAAATATGACTCTGAAGGCCATGATCACTGACCCAGAAGTGGTGTTTGTTGCCAACCTGACTAAGGCGGATGCTCCTGCTCTCATGGCCTCATTCCAGTGCAACCTCTCCCTCTCAACGTCCAAACTAGAGCAGATGATGGAAGCTTCCGTCAGAGACCTGAAAGTGCTTGCGTGCCCTTTCCTCAGAGAAAGGAGAGGGAAGAGCATCACCACGGTGAGAAAGACTGGACGCTGGTGGTGAAGCTAGTGCAAGAGTGGGATGACCACAGGCTCTGCTGGGGCAGGGAGAGTGCTCTGCTTGTCACTTGATGATGTTCGTGGTACATGGCCTCTAGTGACAGAAGTAGAGCCTCTCTAGATGACCTTTTCCAGCTTTTTATTTGTTCTTGTAGTAAAACCAATAAATGAATGAAAAAGTAAATTGATATGAAAAAAAATTAATTGGAGTCATGTGACCAAAAGAGATGGTTGTATTTGTTGTTAAAAGTTCATTTAAATTATGCTTTGCATTGTTATTGAAATCTGTGATTTTAGTTCATTGTTTCAGTTATAGCAGTTCTTTTTAGTGTATATCTGAGTTTATGTTACGAGCCTCTTAGGTTTCTTGACTCACTTGTAGCATTATCTTTTTTTTTAAGATTTATTTATTATATAATGTAGCTGTCTTCAGACACACCAGAAGAGGGCATCAGATCTCATTATAGATGGTTGTGAGCCACCATGTGGGTGCTGGGATTTGAACTCAGGACCTCTGGAAGTGCAGTCAGTGCTCTTAACCACTGAGCCATCTCTCCAGCCCCTTGTAGCACTATCTTAAGTTTGGAGAATTTTCAAGCCTAGAATTTTCTAGGCTTCTGTGCTTGAGAGTGAATTTTTCTTTTACATGTCACAGAAAGCTGATAGTAATCACTTCATTGAAGGCAGGTTCTAATTAAAAACCACCATAGCCGTGCCATTGTCACAGCCTCATTTATTAGGAGGCAGTTACTTTATATCTTCAGTGATATATGTGAGGTTCTAGGTTTCATAATTCACTCACTGCTCATCAAGACTGAAGATGAGATTTGTTCTCAGAAAGACTGTCTATGTGTGGTATTCACAACCCTGTTAGTCTTCATGAAGCATCGTGTGCTAGGGGTACCCTAGGTGTTAGCTTCTGTTTATAGTTATCCCAAAGGTACATTTTATGGAGGACATCATTTAGAACAATGGACATCATTTAGAACAATATAAATCTGTGATTTACAACCGCTTTAGAGGTCATATATCAGATATCCTGCATATTGTGTATATATGTATATATTTAATTAATATATATATACATATATATATATTATGATTTCTAACAGTAGCAAAATTGCAGTCATAAAGTAGCAATGAGAATAACTTTATGGTTGGGTGGGATCACCACAACATGAGGAACTGCCTTAAAGGGCCACGGCATTGGGGAGGTTGAGAACACTGATAGAGAAGATGTTCTAGCAAGAAGAAAGGCTTTGGGGTAGTAAACCTGCATTCCTATTCCTTCTTTTGGATTTGGAGTGAAGACTTTTTCCAGGTCTACTTACAGTCCTTGAACTGCCCCAGTGGTGTAGAATTGTGGTATAGAGGAGCGTCACTAGGAGCCTCAGCTAATATGCCTTTGCTGGAGTAAAGCTAGGCCAGTTCCTGTAAGTGTATGGTACGTAAGGGGTCTGTTACTGGGCAAACGTGACTTTCCTTTCTCTCTCTCTAGGTGTTACAACCCTGCTCTCTATTTATGGAAAAGTGCACATGGGCTTCAAGGAAACAAAACATAAATATTGTGGTTAAGGAATTTGTAATTAAGGTTGGTGCCTCTCATACACATTCTTTGGCTGAAGGTTAATGTTTACTTTTATGCAGTGTTATATATTTTGAGTGCTTTTCAGCAGTATCTTTTAGTGTCTCTCTCCCACCCTTTGAATTATTGCTGGACACAACTTTGAAAATCAGGATAGCTCTGTCACTTAAACATCTTTTCTTTAATATACATGATTATTTGTATTGTTTTATAAAGAGCACTTTTTGAAATAACTTTATAATCCTTTTTTATTTATTACCGTGTGTGTGTGTGCGTGTGTGTGTGTGTACCATGGTACCATGTAGAGTTCATAGAACAAATTTCTGGAATCAGTTCTTTCCTCTACTGTGTCTCCCAGGGCTTGAACTCAAGTTGACAGGCTTGCATGGCAAGACTATCCACTGAGCTATCCTACCTGCCTATATTAATACTTCTTATCAGTACAAATTATGAGAGTTTCTCTTTTCTGTTATATTGCATGTGTGTGTTGGGGGTTGTATAGGAAGGGAGAACAGAGATGGATGGGAAAGAAAGGGTAGAGATGAAGATGTGATTACTTTATTGGTCGTTATTTGTTTGGCTTTTGTTTGTGATTTAATTTGATTCAGTTCAATAACTTTGGTCAGATAATCTCTTTGGCTTACAGGTATGCAAACGGTAGGTATATATGTGAGATGAATGATGAGGATTTATTGTGTTTTAAACCATTATGTAAAGTATTGAAAGCAAAAAGAAACTCCAGTTTTTCTAATAGCATTCAGATTCTGTTTGTCCATTGTCTTATGTATCACTCTGTGTGGTGTGTGCATGGCGAGGCAGAAGTTGGCCTTTGGTTTCTTTCTCTCCTCCTCATTTTTATTGAGATGAGGTCTCTTCTTTATCCTGTAGCTCATTGGTAGGTTGCATTGACTGTTCAGCAAGCTCACGGATCCTGCCACACCTGGCCTTTTACATGGCTGCTTGAGATCTGGGCTCAGGTCCTCGTGGCTTTTACAGAGAGCGCTTCACACAGAGCATCTCCCAGCCTGGCCTTTAAGCTTGACATTGTGCCCATTTAGAGTGGAAAATATAGGAGCATTCTGTTCAGAATTCAGAGTATGAAAAACATGAAGGGGTTTGTGCCAGTAGTGATAGGAGCTTTGCTTTATAGGTCAGAGACAGTTAATGGTTGAATTGAGGCTAAATGGATTTCATCTGTAGTATTGTGTAAATAACAATACATCTTCCTGAATTTTAAAATGCTATATTTCATTAAATTGTCTTAAATCGTGTTGTGTTAATTAATGAATTTTCCAGTTTAAATACATGGAATGCTAAGTAGACCAAAGACTCTGAATTCATATGCATTTTCTCTAAGACACTAAGTTAACTGCTGAGATAATAGTTCGTGTGTGTGTGTGTGTGTGTGTGTGTGTGTGTGTGTGTGTATTAAATAATCATTTTAACTTATTTTGGAGGCAGGGCCTTACTTTGTAGCCCCAGCTGGCCTTTAACTCATAGAGATCCCTCTGCCTCTGTCTCCCCAGTGCTGGAATTAGAGCTGTGTGCTACTACGCTCTGTCATACGCTTTCATCTTTACTATGTATAAAAATGTCCTGTGTAGAGCATTGGGTATCAACAGTTCTAGCAAGGAGACAGTTAATAACACACAGAGGAAAAAGAAGGAGATCTGTGATCATAGCTTTCGTGCAGACAGCACATACAACGGGCTATTGGGAGAGAAGCAAGGGTCTTGCATACAAGTGAGTGCATAGGAAAAGCCATCTGCAAGCAGGGCTTCCTGAATTAAGTTTCCAGACCTGATAGAAGTTGGATGATTGGTGAAGAGGAGGAAAAGCCTATCCATAGAGAACTGGAGGTACGCACAAAGGCAAAGTCTGAAGAAGTTGAATCAAGAAGAACTTTGAAGGTGGGCCTCTGTGGCTGGACAGATGGTGTGTAGAGTGTAAGACTGGGAATTTGTTAACGAACAGTAGGTGACATTCATAAGACAAGGGAAAATAAAGGCCTTTGGGTGGTGATAGGTTAGCAAACAGTATGTGCTGGAGTCTCAGTTTGGTAATGTCTTAATTCTGAAAGAATAGTAAAGGAATCTTTCTACTTACTCTGCTGTGTCTCTAACTCTAGCTAACCAGTTGAACAGGCACTGCCTCACAAGGAGCTTTTTGCATCCAGCCAAGGAGAATTTGAATTTATATGGAGAATGCTAGAAAGTTACCAGGGATTTTAACTCAGCAATGAATTACCTAGGTTTGGCTTTAAAATAGTTGTGCTGCTGGCATTTTGGAGGGTGGGCTGAGGATATCTGGTAGATTAAAGGTTATTATTTGTATAGTGCTGTGTAAGAGATAGGGGTGAGACTGAGCCAGGGCACTCTCCAGAGATGAGCAAGCGGAATTTCCTAGGACTTGGGGCGGAGTAAAATGGTCTTCCACCTCAGCCTCCCGCTTCTGATCTTGATTAGTAAAGTTAACTAGGAATATAGTGGAAAGTTGGTTGTGTGTGTGTGTGTGTGTGTGTGTGTGTGTGTGATGACATCATCTGATTCTGAATTACCAGTTTCTCCATTGGGTTTTGACTGCTGATACAACATGAACTACTTAATTCCAGACAACTCGAGCAGAAATCCTTATGTAGTTAGTTGAATTCCTGTTTTCTTATTTTCCTTTCTTCAGGAATATTTAATATACTTAAGTTTAAGTTACTTAATTGTTAACTTTTTAATCATATATGTTAATTCTCATTTGGGAAGGAATCTATTCGAAATACTTTTCTGCTTTCATTTTTAAAGATCTCACCTATAATCCTTAATACTGTGATGACAATCATGGCTGCTATGTCTCCAAAGACCAAAGAAGATGAATGGAAAGACACTGCTAAGGAGACAGACAATCTCTGGGCTGTCAAATCTATTACTGATTATAACTGCTGGTTCCTCGGGGTTGACATGGCAACAGAAGTAACAGAGAATTTCAGAGACTTTGAACATCCACTGATAGAAGAAAATTGTGTGGTTGCTGTGGAGTCAGTTCAAGTCACCTTAGAATGTGGCCTTGGGCATCGCACTGTGCCCCTGTTATTGGCAGAGTCCAAGTTCTCTGGAAATATTAAAAACTGGACTTCTCTAATGGCGGCTGCTGCTGACATGACACTAGAGGTATGTCCATGTGGGCACCTCCAGAGCACAGCTGGAAAGCACCACTGCAGCATTAAGATGCATGGCTATGGCAAGTGCATGATCTAATAGTTAATGTGATGGTGTAGAATTACCTGTGATTGTTATTCTTAAAAGTCTCTTGCATAATAATTCATCACAGTAGAGCAACGGGAAGGGGGAACTACAGTGTGTTTTGTGTGTGCTTCTTTAGGTGGGGTTTTCAAATGTCTTTTGATATAAAACAGTAGCTTAATATACGTTTTCCCATTGATTGTATAATTATATGATTAATGTTGAACAACCAAGTAATTGAAGTTCTTCACCTTTTCAGGTTCACTATTATAATGAAACCCATGCCGTCTGGGAGCCACTGATTGAGAGAGTGGAGGGGAAGAAACCATGGAGTTTAAAGCTCAGTGTAAGGAAGCCAGCGCTTTTGCACAGTGTGATGCCGAGTTGTCCTATTACAGGAGTTTTTAAGTTCACTGATTTTCTTTTTTTTTGGGGGGGGGGGGTTCGAGACAGGGTTTCTCTGTGTAGTCCTGGCTGTCCTGGAACTCACTCTGTAGACCAGGCTGGCCTCTAACTCAGAAATCCACCTGCCTCTGCCTCCCAAGTGCTGGGATTAAAGGCGTGTGCCACCACTGACCGGCAAGTTCACTGATTTTGAAAATTTGGTCTAGGGTCTAGGAAACTCCTTAAAGTTCTTGAGGCCATAACTCCTTTCATAGTAACAGTGAAGCATCACACATAGCTCTTTATTTCTATTTTCTCATGAATGTACAATTGATTTTATGAGAGACTGAATACAGAAGATCAGCAGACTGAATGTGTAGCAGAAGTGAGAATTCATCTGCTTACTGCAGGCCTTCAGGACACTTGTCCAAACCTCTATTCATATTTATATTTTCAAGATTGTTTTCCATTAAAATGTTAGCACATAATTTTTAAATATTATTTTTTTTTCAGTTTTCATTTCTATTATAGAGCATATTAGTAGATAAAACTCATGAATGGAACCTTTTGGATTATGCAGCAATTTTTTTTAGATGTGACCTTCCAAAAAATTGAGAATTAATATTATGATGAACTCTCTGAATTTGACATTTCTCAGAATCCTTGATATGGAAGTATTTTTTTTTCTGGGGATGTAGGACTGTGAGATATGCTGTCACCACTCACCTCTCTGTGGTCACTGGTGGCACCTAGAGGGGTCACACAGAAACTGCTACAGCAAATTCTTCTTTTAAAGATGATTTCCTTCTGACTAGAGTAGAGATAGTATCTGGTCTACCTCTCTCTGGCATAATGAGACTGAAAAAGGATATTTAACAAAGGTTTTGAGATGCTATTGGAATGAAAATGTTATTTGTAATAAGTTTGCTCCAAAAGCTTACCATATTATTTATAAAGAAGTAGTAGGAAGAATCCTCTTATTTCCAGATGACTCCTTATAGCTAGAGTCTGTTGAGAGTTTGGAGTCACCTTTATTGCTAATTAACACCGAACTGTTGTAGGAGCTAGCTTGCTCTGGCAAGGAGTCAGGTGGTGGGGCTGACTTGTCAGGCTTTCTCTGCAGTGTGTTGAGTATTTCCTTTCCATGGCCTGTGTGCAGAGAGAAGGCTACCATTCTTTGCTGAATCAGAGATTCACATATGGTTGAAAATGAGACCTTGAGGATCTATATTCTAAGATACCCAGTTCAGCTGGATTCCTCCATGTTGAGCTTTTAAAAGCTACCATTGGTTAGTTGGCTGATCGATTCTGTATGCTGTTCATCTTCCTAGGTAAAGAAGAACCCGATCCAGGATAAAAGTTTGATGCCAGGAGATGACTTTATTCCTGAGCCACAAACAGCAGTTCATATTTCTTCAGGAGCTACGATGAATATCACAATATCCAAAAGTTGTCTTAATGTTTTCAACAATTTAGCAAAAGTATGTGTTATTCTAGTCTAGAACATTTCATATAGTATTTAGGAAAGAAACATGTATGGATTGTTTTTGTTTTGTTTTTTCATCATCCAAATAAACTTCAGAAAACAGGTAGTCATGGTAAAGTGCTCATAGAAGTACATTGCTGAGGTTTTATTGGTCTGTGTTCCTTTGCAGGGTTTCTCTGAGGGAGCAGCTTCCACTTTTGACTACTCTCTGAAAGATAGGGCTCCTTTTACAGTCAAAAATGCCCTGGGTGTTCCCATGAAGGTGCAGCCCAATCGTAACCTCAGGGTGATGGGTTCCCCTGAGAAGAGTGACATTTATGATGTGGGCTCTGGTCAGCATTTGGAGCTGGAATATTCCAGCCTGGAACCTTCACGTCAAGGGAAGTTGTCCATCCTGAGCCGGCAGGAGAGCACTTTCTTTACACTGACCTTTGGTATGTATGCTGTGCTTGCTGTGTTTTCAGAGCTTTGCAGGGATGGGGCAGTGCGTTTTTGATAAATCATCCAATAATATTTTGTCAAAGATACCCTGGGAGACATTTGTCAGGGTTTCCAATAAATAGTTGATCTGGGTTTCTAATAAATGTAAGATAGACTTTATCTAATAAGCACCTTATAAAACTTGATTATTAATTACTGTGCCCTAAATAATAAGTATTATGTTTCAAAAAGGATTAACATTCAGTTAAAGAAGAAAAGTGACTATACTCAGAAGTCTAAAGTATTCATGGTGGTGATACCATTATAAAAACAAGGAAATTATTATCTAATTGAAAGAATAATAAAAATGTTGGATTTTACTTTATTTTGTTTGCTCAATATTTTTATTAAGTTATTTATTTACTTTACATCTTGAACAAAGCTTCCCCTCTCTCCTTTGCTCTTAGTCCCTCCCTCTCACCTCCCCTTCCCTAAGAGATCCCCTAACATGTTGTCAGATACAGCCTCTGCTCCCGCTTTAGGAGTCTCATATGAAGACCAAGCTGCATAACTGTTGCATATGTGCAGAGGGCCTAGGTCCGTCCTATGCATGCTCTCTGGTTGGCATTTCAGTCTTTGTGACCCCCTATTTTGTAGATGTTAGTTGATTCTGTAGGTTTTCTTCTGGTGTACTTAACATCTCTGACTCCCACAATCCTTCCTCCCCCTCTTCCTTAGGAATCCCTAAGCTCTGCCTAATGATTGGCTGTGAGTCTCTGTATCAGTTTCCATCTGTTGGTAGATGAAACCTCTGATGACAGTTATGCTAGGCTCCTGTCTACAAGTGTAGTAGACTATTGTTAATAGTGTCAGGAGCCGCCTCCCTCTCATAGCCTGGGTCTTAAGCTGGGTCACTCATTCATTGGTTGCCCCTTCCCTCAAATTCTGCTGTATTTTTTACGTCTGCACATCTTGTAGGCAAGACAAAGGTGGGTCTAAGGTTTTGTGGCTGGGTTGGTGTCCTAATCTCTCCATTGGAAGTCTTGCCTGGTTACAGGAAATGGCCGATTCAGGCTGCAAATCCCCCATTGCTTGGAGTCTTAGCTAGGGTTACTCTCATAGAGTCCTGGGAGTTTTCATTGTCCTAAGTTTCTAACTTGTCCTGGATATGTGCCTGTCTCCCTGCCCCCTCAGTCTAGAGGTCTTTCCCAGAACCCTCTCCTTTTCTTCTCCACCCACCTTATCCGTCCTATTCCTATTCCTACTCCCCCCTCAACCAGTCCCCTCCCTCTATCCATATCCAATGTCTGTTTGATTTCCCCTTCTCAGTGAGATTCAAGCATCCACCCTAGGGCCCTCTTTGTTACTGAGCTCCTTTGGGTCTGTGGTTTATAGCATGGTTATCCAGTACTTCATGACTAATATCCAATTACACTGAGTACACACCATGCTTGTCTTTCTGGGTCTGTGTTACCTCTCTCAGGATGATTTTTTTCTATTTGTATTAGCACACTTACCTCCTCATTGCTTATAGCAAAAGTTTTATATTAGTAATTGTTATTATTTGTCTTTTTTTAATCTCAGAGGCTTAGAAAAGCATTTATATTTCTAACGATGAGAAAACATACTCTTGTCATTATTGTGAGGTGTTACTATTTTGTTTATTTATTTTATGGTGTTTTGCATACATGTATGTCTGTGAACCATATGCATACCCAGTGTCCTTGGAGGCCAGAAGAGGACCTCAGATCCCCTGTCACTAGTATTACAGATGGTTGTAAGGTACCATATGGGTGCTGGGAATCAAACCCAGGTCCTCAGCAAGAACAACATGTGGCCTTAACTGCTGAGTCATCTCTCCAGGTCCAGGGTTGGTTATTATTAAAAAGTAAATATTTTTAATTTTCTTCCTCTTCAGTACCATATGGTTATACAGAAGTAGCTAGTGTTCCTGTTGCCAGGCCTGGCCGGCGACTGTATAATGTACGGAATCCCAGTGCCAGCCATTCGGATTCCGTGTTGGTGCAGATTGATGCAACAGAAGGCAATAAGGTCGTCACTCTCCGCTCACCTCTGCAGGTAATGCTGTCAGCTAATGTGTCCCCTTGGGTGTGCCAGGCAGAGGTCAGTCATTTAGCTGAGATTGGGAGGTGTAGTAAAACTTGCTCAAGTACCTCTGATTATTCAGAAATAAATGCCAAAGTGAAACAGATTCTGCTGCTACCCCACTCTGTTAGTGTGCTTTAACTTAAATGACTTGAAAAGCTTTATTTATTTATTTATTTATTTATTTATTTATGTCTAGTTTTATTGGCCACAAATCCATAAGCACTTAGTATTTTTCTTTAGCGATTTGAAACACTTAACCATCTAAACATTATTATGTTCCTTTAGGCATTTCAAACTGAGACACTATAATTATGGTTGATTGTCAAGTAGCACAGCCTCCCCGTCTCTTAGTACACCGTCACTCGAGGCTGTATTTCTTCTGATGTGTGTGAAGTATTTGGAATGACCTACTCTCATGTAAAAAAAAAAAAAAGAAAAAGAAAGGCAGTTTAATCTATATAAACATTTTTTTCTACTCTTTTGGTTATATGAACCTTTTAGTCTTCCCAGCATTAATTATAGGCTTCAGAATGTACCAGTGTAAAGAACACTTCTCCTCACCCAACTCATGCACACAGATTGGAACTCATCCTCATTTTGAACCCTGTTACTTTTTAAATTGTTCTTAGCTCCAGTATAGACCCCAGTGCAGTCAGGAAAAGATTTTCATGGCGTTCCTCATTTCTCTGTCACATGGTGTGTTGATGGGAGATTGTAATAGAGAGAACATGGCTGAAATCTTCATGAATGGTTCATCTTTAATGATGGTGCAGGTTAACTACATACACATGGAATATGTAGATGATGTGCCGATGCTGATTTGGTACTGTCACTTAAAAATTAAGTTTAGTGTTCATATATAATACACCTATTTAGATACCTAAGTTGTTGTTGTTAGCCAAGGAGAATACCTTCCAATAGTAAGTAGAAGCTTTTTAGATTTTAAATAAATGTGTGTGCTGCTAATACTTTCTATTTAACTAATATGTGATTTAAAAAGTTATATATTCATTCCAACAGATTAAAAACCACTTCTCGATAGCATTTATCATCTACAAATTTGTCAAGAATGTTAAGATGTTGGAGCGCATTGGAGTAGCCAGACCTGAGGAAGAGTTCCATGTCCCTTTGGATTCCTATAGGTGCGCACGGCTGTCCATGTACTTAGCTTCCGATGGGATGGTGGTCAGCAGAGCTGGTATGGATGGGCAGCACTGCCAAGGATGTTAAGGACGTTTAGGGTCTTGAAAGGTGCTGGGGGTGGAGTCCAGAAAGGTGAGTGTGCACAGTTAACATAGGGTATGTGGAACTATCGTAGTGAAGCCTGTTAATTTGTACAATTAATGTGGGTTGTTAGTTACACAAATAAAAAAAATTAGAAAAGAAAATAAACTCATGAATTGCTAGTTTTATGAATTGTATTTCTATTTAGGGAGAGCAGCCTTAAATGTTTTTTGTCCTAGCCATACAGCAACCATTTTTAGAGCACATAAGAGTTTATTCTTTTGATTAGAAATACATGTTATCATTGAATTTACAATAGAAACTCTTCAGTTGATATTTGATACTTAGCAATTTTCTAAGGTTATGTGTTTTATTAGCTTGCCTTTATAGTCAAAATGAAAATATTTCAAGTTGTCCTTTCTCTGTCAGCAGCTTTGTCACTTTGGGCACGTTCTAAACGTTCTTAGCCATGGTTTCTACGTTTTTAAGAACATTGCTTCCCACCTTATAAAGTCATTGCAAAGAGTCTGAGGTTCTTTTCCTTACCTTCCATCTGTAGATGCCAGTTGTATGTTCAGCCGGCTGGCATCTTAGAGCAGCACTATACACAGTCAACCACGTACATTTCCTGGAAGGAAGAGCTTCACCGCAGCACAGAGGTCAGGTGCGTGTTGCAGTGCCCTGCAGTAGAAGTCAGCTTCTTACCGCTCATCGTAAACACGGTCGCTGTGCCCGATGAGCTGAGCTACATCAGTGCCCATGGGGAAGACTGGGACCCAGCCTACGTTATTCATCTTTACCCTCCTCTCACCTTGCGGAACCTTCTCCCGTATTCACTGAGATACTTACTTGAGGTTTGTGACTTGTATTTTTTATTATTATTACTATTATTATACAGAGTAAATTCTCATTCTATTTCGTGGTGTTAGCTTTAATTGGTGTTTCATGTTTTTAAGATGTGTTTATTATAGCAAACGTGGCATAGCATCGACAGTTAGACCTCAGTACTGTGTGCTTTCTGTATTAGCATGCTTCAGTCCTCACGGTGACCTTGGTACTGGGTATGGTCCTTTTGCTCCTTTTTACTGAGTCACAAAGGAATCAGGGTCTGATCCAAGGTCCTACTGCTAGACAGTGGTAATGCTGTGACTTACACCTCAGCAGCTCAGCTTCCCCCTTTTCTTTGTTGTGCCTATCACAAATTAAAAGCCTAAAACATCTTTTTAATTATGTTGTCATGTTACCTAAAGGAGGGGGAAATGCAAATAAGGAAATATCTCATCCTGATGTTTGCCTTAAAGTTTATGCTGAAAATAAAATTCACTATTCCATGTGAGCACATGGATATTATAAATATAATTAAATTTGTACATTATAAATGATTAAATTTACACACTCTATGATGTTTTAAAATGCAGCAGGCTTATGAAGTATTTGGAATCTAAATTATTTCTTTTCTTTATCAAACACTGATCCATTCCTAAGTTATGGGGACAGAAGCTAATTAAATAAACCAAATATCATCTGTATAAAAGAAAGCCACAGTAAGGAAGCCGGTTTCTATTGTTAACATTCATAGTTTTAAAAGACTTATTTTTTGTTTTTAAGTGTGTATGTGTACACAACTTGAGGGCAGTATCCAAGCAGTCTGGAGGAAGGTCAGTTTCCTGGAGTTGGGAGTTACAGCTGTAAGCCTCTGGATGTGGGAGCTGAAGTGGCAGTGGTTTCCCCTGTCAGGTCCTCGGCAAGACCATTAACACCGAGCCTTCTCTCCGGCCCTAGCACTTGTTTTTCAAGCAGATCCACCTTGCTCGGCATGGCTTTCCTGGTTCTGTAATTGTAGTAGCCATGAGCCATGGTATGGGAATAGAGAGGATGAAGCTGACACCCAGTAGTTCAGGTGGTTCACTTTATAACCCAGCTATAGCTGGGCTCCAAGATCCAGTCTTCCATTCTTGACATAGACACAGATTTTTCTCAAAACTTAGGCTAGGATAGGTTTGCCTACAGGATAGCAAGAAGACATTCCTACTGTGGCTGTGATAGAGGGTTTCCTTTGGAGTTGCTAGTAATTGCTGAGAATTTCTAACATATAAGCATGGTTAGACTTGGCGGTCAGCCTTCCTTGGTAGGATATTTATCACTGTGTAAAATATAGAGTTTGTTAGTAAAGAAATGTGCTCAGTAAACTTGGTTTTGTGTGGTTGTCTTTAGGGAACTGCAGAAACCCGTGAGCTGACAGAAGGCAGCTCTGCAGATGTTCTGCACTCACGAATCAGCGGCGAGATCATAGAGTTAGAACTGGTGAAATACCTGGGCAAGAACTGGAATGGACACTTCCGAATTTGTGACACACTTCCCGAGTTCTTCCTCGTGTGCTTTTCCTCAGACACCGCGGAAGTGATGACAGTTGACTTGTCAGTTCATGTCAGGCGAATTGGCTGCCGAATGGAGCTGTCTGTCTTTAGTCCCTATTGGCTAATCAACAAAACTTCTCGAGTTCTCCAGTATCGCTCTGAGGAGATACATGTTAAACACCCAGCTGATTTCAGGGATATCATTTTATTCTCTTTCAAGAAGAAGAACATTTTTACTAAAAACAAGGTATGCTCTAGCAAGTTAAAATAGGAGAGCTACTAAATCTAGAGACTTGGGAATTTAAAAGCGTGCTTGGCTGTGTGTGCATTGCTCTTGGTATAAATTAAGTTCAAGAAGACTCTAAAGACTGCAGATTCTAGCTGGACATTAGGAACTTGCAGCAGCCGTCAGCTGAAGCAGGGCTCCCATGTCTTCAGGGGCTATAAGATAACTGCTCTTCTTGAAGTCCTGCCGAATGCAACAGCTTGATTTTATTCTGTGCTCCTGTGCTGGTGTGGCATGTGAAAACACCCAGCAGTTGAATTGGGCAGCCTATGCTTCCTAAGCCAGCCTTTAGAGAAGAAGTCCTGTGTCCAAGCATGGTCAGTGCTCACTCTTCGACTTTATGTATGCTGTATACCCTCTACCTTGATTGCTAGTCCCCCCACAATACATATTTTCTGTTGTTCATTTTTAGACACTGTTCATCACTAATGTATTGAAATTTTTCTGGTTACAGTGACTCTACATGTTCCAGTCCTGTTGCTTAGAGTCATGGGTCTCAAATTTCAATGTCCATTATTGTCACCTAGATGGCTATGCAATTGTTTGCTGAATCCTGTCCTTAGGTTCACTTTAGTGATTCTGGACAGAACCTGAGATGTATGCCTGTAGCAGTCTCAGATGCCAATGCTGTGTGGAGCAACTCTTAAGAGTTCAAGTGAATACATGGCATTTGAGTTGCCTCTGTGTGAGCTTCGGTTGCCCTTATGGTTTTTATGATCTTGGTGCATGGGTAGGGATGAGCTGACTGCAGGGCACAGTCAGTCTCTTCTGCAAGATTCCACCTAAATCCCAGAGCTGGACACCGCTGTCCTCTCACCGGCTGTGCTCATCTCCTGTGTCAGAGCTGGACACCACTGTCCTCTCACCGGCTGCGTGTAGTGGCGTGATTATTAGAACATGCCTCCTTTTATCTGTGTTGAGTTTCATGCTCACTGAAGATGGCAGCCGTGTCCTGTGCTCTAGTCTTTCACAATGTCTGTCCTTTAGCACCTGCTGCATGATGTGAAAGTTGTCTTCTATTTGATAAAACCATTGAGAGCTTTTTATCTGTTATAAATGTAGCATTGGAAAAAAATTAGTATTATGATTCCATTTAAAAACAACATGAAAGACATCTAAATGCATTTATTTTAATTAAATAATTAAGGAAATATTTCCATTTATTGCCAAGGTAAATGGGATGGTCAGGGCTGTACTTCTCTTCTTTGGTTCCCTACACCTATTAAATATGGTTGTGACTATATTTTTCTGTGTCTGAAGATGCTGAAGAAATTTCTAGAAGTCTAGCAAATTTTCTATGAAGTAAAATTAGTTTCCTCTTTTAGGTTTCTTACATGTTATATATTCTCTGGTGCAGGTACAGTTAAAAATTTCAACTAGTGCCTGGTCCAATGGTTTCTCACTGGACACCGTGGGAAGTTACGGGTGTGTGAAGTGCCCTGCCACCAACATGGAATACCTGGTAAGAGGGCCTGCTTTATGACCTTTGGCTTCATTTGCTTTTCCACACTTCAGTGAACAACCTGGCTCCTAAAGTGCATGGAAGTCTGAAATCAAAGTATTCTTTGGAAGATTGTTTATAGATTAATATGATTGTTATAACAAAGCAGAACTTGAATTTGTCAAAATTTAAGTGGGGTTGAATTCTTTGAATTGGGCAACTTTAGTAATATTCAAGATACACTAAAATCTTCATTCCATATACCCTGTCAGTTATGTCTTAAATCTTAAGCTTGACTACTTTGAAAGTTTGAATAGTCTGATGCCATGTGAACCATTTACTACTGCTTCAGAATTCTGATTTTATTGGTAACAAACGAAGCAATAAAATTTGAGCTTACTAACCATAAAGCAATTAACATTTAGATTATTAATAAGTAAAGAACTAGATGGTAAATCTGTTGTTGCCAGTTTTCATTGAGAGTGTGATCTGTGTTCTGTAGTTGATTTCTGATAAAGCTGATATGAGAAGCCAGATCTTTCTATGAGAGAGAGTAGTAGAATTCAGCTTTAATTAGTTACTTTATTCAAGAATTCCTACTTTATATATTTAAAAACAGTTACATGTGTGTGTGACCTGTGTCTTTATTTTTGGCACTGAATAAAGAGCAGAGAATGATCTTGTTTGCTTTCTTCCCTCAGGTTGGGGTTAGCATCAAGATGAGCAGCTTTAATCTCTCACGGATAGTCACTCTGACTCCCTTCTGCACTATTGCAAACAAGTCCTCTTTAGAACTCGAAGTTGGAGAAATTGCCTCAGATGGTTCCATACCAACCAACAAATGGCACTACGTTGCTTCTTCAGAGGTAAGTTTCCCTAAGATATGACTGACTCATAAATTGTACAGATACAGGGGGATGTACAAACGTGTGTCTCATATACACGTGTGAAGTGTGACAGCAGCTCCGAAAGATCTTTCTTTCACTCTGTTAGACAATAGTTGCTATTGTTTACTGTCAGCTCAGTCTAGAAAGCAGTCATTTTCTAGTTATTCCCATATGACTAAAAGTAACACATGAACTTGATAAGGCACAGAAGCAAATGCAGTATAAGTTTTTAAGTACACAGGATATGGAGGCATTCTTAATCGATAAGCTCTTGAGTTTCTTATAATGTAATTGCTACAAGTACACATAGATTAATAGATTTTTATTCTGATGAATGCACTTTGGTTTCATGGTTATGTCAGTAGTGGTGGACTTTTTTTGTTTGTTTGTTTGGTTGGTTGGTTTTGGGTTTTGGTGTTTTGTTTTGTTTTGTTTTGTTTTGTTTTGTTTTGTTTTGTTTTTAATGGGTTCTTGCTCTTAAGGCCGGGCTGGCCTTAAACTTGGGAACCCCTTGCTTCAGCTTCTGCGTGTGCTGCCACACCCAGCTTGTCAGTGTTTTTACTATGAAGTGTAGAGGACATTGAAACAATTTTAATGATATTTTTCCTAAAATCAGATTTAGACTTGAAAACTTAATTACTCAAGAGTGCTTAACCAGTGTCTATGTCATAGCACAGTTTAAAACTGGTATTATACTTATTTTTCAGTGCATTCCATTTTGGCCTGAAAATTTGTCTGGCAAACTTTGTGTGAGAGTGGTGGGCTATGAAGGCTCTTCCAGGCCATTCTTTTATAACCGACAAGACAATGGCACCTTATTGAGCTTAGAAGATCTGGTAAGTCTTCATATTGTAAAACACTGTGTCTTTGACTTAAAAGTTGATTGAATATATTTCTGTAATCCATGCTGTAGAGATCTGGAAATTCCTTATAGGGCTTCTGTGGGCATTTTAATGCCAACATATGTTTGTAAGAACCAGAGCCAGTGAGAACTTCGGAGAGTAAGGGATGTGTTTGTAAAACTGATTGAATGTGGAATGGTTTCACATAATTGAGATACTCAGCCAGTAAGCTGAACACACTTCTTTTTTTCTAAAACAGAATGGAGGTATCTTAGTGGATATAAACACTGCTGAACACTCAACTGTCATAACCTTCTCTGACTATCACAAGGGATCTGCACCTGCTCTGATAATGAACCACACACAGTGGGATGTCCTCACATATAAACAGAGGTATGCGACAAGGTGGCTTTAGATCTCCTCTTTGCTATCAGTGATCCATGGTCCCTTCTGGGAAATGTTGCAGTTTCACAGCCCATATGTCTTCAGAGTTTACAACGGTGGTAAGGGGCATGTGGTGTTTACTCCTAATACACTGGCACGTTCTGACACAGTATTCACCAAACACATTTGTATTTCTACAGCAAAACTTACATGTATCATATGAACAGGGACAAATAGATGCTGTTAAAGATCCAAGTCAACTCAAATGGGTCTTTTAACCAAATGGCTTGACAGCAAACCTAAGAAAAAAATCTTTGGGCTTTGAAAGGTCTTTATAAATTTTAGAATGCAGACAAATTATGTATTAAACATTATCCCTCCCTTAGTAACTTGGTAATGGCAAGTGAACCTATTCCTGTAAATGCATCTCTGGAAACTGTACTGCACTGCCATTTTCTGTCTGCCCAGGCTTCAGAACTGCTAGTTACAGAGCATGTTAGTGTACTTGTTTTGGGGCTGAGCTGTGTGTTATTAACTAAGCAAGTTCATAAGGTCTTTGTAGTGTCTCAACGCTAAGACATGCTGATCTTCCCCTGTCAATTGTTTCAGTGGGTCAAAGGAGGAACTAGTACTGCTGCCAGGAGAAACTCGTCTCTTTGCCTGGGCAGATCCCACTGGCACCAGGAAACTCACTTGGAGCTATGCAGCTAACTTTGGGGAGCATGATCTCTTAAAGGTACCATTTGATATGGAAGTGCTGTTTTCATAGAACCAAAGTGAACTGAAATGTTTTAAGAAAATTACTTTTGTGCTTTATATTGCAAATAATTTGCACTAGTTGTTTCTCTGGTTGCTACGATAAAGTCCATGGCAAAGCATCTTTAAGGAAGAAAGTGTTTGGGCCTCTGTAGTTCATGGAGTTACAGTCTGTCAAGGCAGGGAAGATGAAGCAGCTGGCTACATTGCATCTGAAGTGACAAAACAGAGAGATGAATGCTGGTACTCAGCTTGCTTTTACCTTTTGATCCAGGCTAGGAATACAGTTCCTGGAAGGGTGATGTCCACATTTAGGTGTATTTATCTACTTTTATTTAGAAAATCCCTCACAGACATGTCCAGAGATTTGTCTCCAAGGTGATTCTAGATTCCATCAAGTTGACAATCAGTATGAACAATTCAATCACACAGCCAAATATTTACTTTTCTATACTAGCCTTCCATCCCTTGACCTTGTCCTGTGACCATTTAATAAGGCAAAATGAGTTCAGTCAGCCTTCTCAAGACGCTCCAGTCTTTAACAGTCCCAGCACTGTTTAGAATTGTGAGCCCTGGACAATCATGAAGAAGTTACATATTTCCTACATATAGTGGCATAGGGTAAGTATTTCTCATCCAAAAAAGGGGATGAGGGCAAAGCATGGAAAGATCATACACAAATGAGAGAACTCAGCAGGGAGAGAATGAAAGTCTACAGCTCCATGTCCAGCATCTAGGACTTATGGAGGAATCACCTGAGGTCCAGAGGGCTGGGTAGCCCTGCCCTGCCAGCTCTGCTGCCTGCAACAGACACAGTCACTCTCTCTGAAGCACCCCCACCTCCACACCCGAAGCTTTTCTCACAGATGTACCCTGGTTCCAGCATCTCAAATATCCTGGGATTTCTACTGCCATTTAGATACCCCTGACACACACACAGACTTAACATAGACACATACACACAGCTTCACACACACACACACACACACACACACACACACACAGAGAGAGAGAGAGAGAACTTCTTACAATGACTTCTTAGTGGCCTCTTGGCAGGAACTGCTCTCCAGTTTGGAGACAGGTAATTATCTTACCATACTGGTGCCAGTAAAGCATGCTCATGATCCTGCTCAGTGCCTTGTCAGCACTAGCCAGGAATTCAGACTAAGGCACTACTCTGTCCATGATAGGGGGAAAATGATGTGTGTGTGTGTGTGTGTGTGTGTGTGTGTGTTCACATGTGTGTTGACACATATATGAGTCTATGAGTGCATGTACTTATGGATGTAGTACCTTAAAATCGATTTCTGGTGTCTTCCCCAGTCATTTCCTACCTTATCAAGACAGGGTCTCTAATGTGACTAGTCTAAGTAGCCAGTTTTCCCCAGAATCATCTGCTTCAGCCTTCAAAGTGCTGGGATTATAGGCAACCACACTCTCTCCTAGCTTTTAAATGAGTTCTAGAGCTCCAAAATTTAGATCCTGCTTGCAGGAGCTGCTTTATCCATTGTGACCTGGTGAGTGTTACTGTATTTTTATGCTGACTTCATATCAGTTTGATGACTGGAGTTCTCTACCTTACAGTCATCCTTCTTAAACTTTTCTGATCTTCCCCAGTTATTATATTCAGTTTTAAGTATGAAAATTCCATACATGTTTAACTCAACGTCTTTCTTTCTCCAGGATGAGTGTGGTCAGTTTCCATATGATGCAAACATCCAGATACACTGGGTGTCCTTCCTTGACGGGCGCCAGAGGGTTCTGCTTTTCACAGATGATGTTGCTTTGGTTTCCAAAGCACTCCAAGCCGAAGAAATGGAACAGGCTGATCACGAAGTAGCCTTGTCGCTCCACAGCCTGGGGCTCTCTCTGGTTAACAACGAAAACAAGCAGGAAGTCTCATATGTTGGAATCACCAGGTATATACAAAGGGAGATAAGATGTAGGAATCTTTAAAAAGCCCCAAGTTAATAATACCCATTTAGTGAGAGTATATACAGATACATGTTCTCATTTTGACATAGTTACTAAGTAACTGTTTGGACTGCCAGTTTGTCAGGGAGGACTCAGGAACCTTCTGTGCCTTCATAGTATTCATGTCAGTTGGCAGGGAAGAAAGTCAGTCAGCCCTTTCCCTCCCTCCATTCCTCCCTCCTTCCCTCCCTCCTTTCTTCCTACCCCCCTTCCTTTTTTCCTCCTTTCTTTTTTGTTTTAAACAGTGAATTACAAAAACATTGAGAAAAACTGAAAATAGTATCTGCATCTGCAGTAGAAATAATTCATTTATGCAGTGGAATTTGGGAAAACTAGTATGCCTTGGAAGAAGCCATTAGAAATAAATTAGAAAAAAATGTTCATAAGGGAAGCAAGATACACACACACACACACACACACACACACACACACACACACTGTAATATGTATTTGACAGGTTTGGGATGTGGAGTTCAAGAACACTGAGATGGATTATTGAAGGTTAAATGTTTACAGACAATAGCACGTTGGGGAGCACACTTCTAGGAGAGTTCATGTTGCAGCATCAAAGACAACATCGCAGAGACAGCATAGAGTCAGGCCCATGTGGCAGCATCTGGGTTCCTTGTTACAGATCTCTGAGGACAGGGGCAGGTTTCCCAAGTGAACAGTAGCTAAATTCTCTGATGCTCCAGCAGGCAGCCTGGAGAGGTACTGTGAAATATCAGAGCTGTGTAAACTCACTTCCTTAAGTGAGACATCTAACTGGACGTTTGTTAGCTAGAGATTCACTTGGCCTGCCCACCTGTGAGAAGGGAGAGGCTGGCCAATCCCTCCACACCTGAGCAGCAATTTGCTCTGGATTCTAAGTTTTTATATGGTTAGTTATTATGTTACTTATTATTAGTTACTTATTATGTCATTTATTATTAGTTATTGGTTATGGTTATTTAGAACTTTAGCAACTAGTTATTTCCTCTGGTTCTGTTTCTACTGAGAAAACACTTGTGTGGTTATCTTGTCTCCTAATCTCAGTGAGTTTGGTAACTTATTTCGAGGACAGTTTCCCATAAGGGAACAATCTGTTTAGATGCCTGTAAACATGAGGGCATTTTTCCAGGATTCTGGGATTTTATCAGGAAGAGCTGATGGGTTTATGTAGCATATAGGTAGCATTTGGCTAGTATCAGCAAACTAAATAAGTTAAAATATTATAGATTTGTGTTTATTTTACAAACAGTTTTCTTTAATATACCTCAATAAAGTATGAATAAGTCATAGCGAAAACACTGCCTGTTTATGTATAGCTTTTGATTTCAAACCAAAGTGTTTAATATTGAAAATATGGAAAAAGCCCAAATAACATTTTATGGGAAGTGAAGTTATATGAGGTTCATGGTGTGCAGCCCGTGACTGGTTGGGGAGTATATTTATTGTTGCACATGTATGAGGTTCACAGTGTGCAGCCCATGAGTGGTTGGGGAGCATATTTATTGTTGCACATGTATGAGGTTCACAGTGTGCAGCCTGTGAGTGGTTGGGGAGTGTATTTTGTCGCGAGTGTATAGCTGCTTTCTCACTGCTGCTCTATGCACTCAAATCACAGTGAATATCATCTTGCTGTATTGCTTATTTATTTATTCTTACTACTGGATACTCATCATGTGAAAACAGGAAGAATGGACTTTGAATATCTCTCTTTTAGGGCATAGCAGAATAAGCATTATTCTTGACAAAGCATTAATTTATTACATAATGCCATAATTGCTATGCCAGAAGAATACGGAAGACACTGACACTTCTAAACTAAGCATGTATGCAGGTGAACAGGGTCTGGAAAAGTTAGAAAGCTCTAAGATGGAACATCTCACCTCAATACAAGTTTTTACAATGATCAACATGAATGAGACTATAGCCAAATCAGCTTCTGAGGGACTGTTTGTTAAGTCTAGCAAGGAAAGCCTTTTGTCACAGGCTGGTTGAGCCTGTCTGATTGCAGCAACTAAAGACATCTGTGCAGAGATGATGTTACTTAAGCCCATTAGCTTCTGTAAGGGCAGTTGTACATGGAGTTGAGGACGTTTAGAACAATATCAGTCAGCTACAAAAGGCTGGTGACAGATAGCTTTCCAGCTCTGAGGAGTCAGCTGGTGCTCCCTTGCACTCAGTCACTGCATCTGAGAAGTCATGGCAGAGCTTAAAATGGATGGTGAGGATATTTCCAAATGAGAAAGATAAATTCTGCATGACTGAGCTGAAGTCTAGAATGTGTTAGTACTGGGAACAGGTTCTTAGTTGGTCAGGTTCATAAAACGTTGAAAGTATGAAGCATTTCACACTTTCTGTTCTTTGTACTATGTGTCAGCAAACAGTTGGTGGGAAATACTTAAATCTGCTGTGTGTTGTCAGACTCAGTCTATGATTTAACCACTGTCATTTCTGTGACTTGGTGGCAGAAGAAGTTCATTGTCCGGTGTCTTACCACAGAGCAGTTGAGTGACATAGCAATGAAAGCCACTCACTCAGCTCTTTACATTCTGAGCCCAGAGTGGAATCTTTCTGAGGGAAATAGTTACCCTTGTGCACTGCTCTCTCACTCTTAACTGGAACTTGAAACCATGTGTTGCTTAAGGAATTGACAATGTTTCTATATGAACTTTTATTGAGAATTCAAAAGCCAGATGACAGTGCTTATATGTAAAATTCATGTTGCAACAATCTCAGTTTTAAGATAGGTAATGCTTAAATCATGGTTATGTCAGACCATTGGTGTGTATTTCCCATGCTGTCTTAAGTTAAAAGGTCTCCAATGCCCATTTGTTTGGAGAGGACATATTTTATATCATAAGCTTTCAGTTGGAACAACATTTTTTCTGATCTTGATTGTGCGTGTGTGTGTGTGTGTGTGTGTGTGTGTGTGTGTGTGTACACATGCATGTTCATGGAGGAAATGTTTGCCTTTCAAAATCTACCTGTCCAGTTGAGGACCTTTCTTGTAATCTGATTATTTGCAATGAATGAATTGATGGGCTAAAAGGCAAGTATCAACACAAGAATCTATTAGAATTTTATAAATCCCTAACAGGTAATAAAATAAAAATAAAATAGATACATTGTTTTCATAGATTGATGTCAGTACTTAGCAGTAAATGTCTGTAATGATGTTATAAAATAGTTGCTATAAATCAGCACAAATATAGGGCTGGAGAGATGGAGCAGAAGTTAAGAGTATGTACTGTTCTTGTGGAGAATCCAAAGGAGAGTCCCAGCACCCACGTTGGGTGACTCAGAAAGAGCTCTAACTGATGTTTCTCACGCCCTCCTTTGATCTTTATGAGCACTACACATGTGTGCGTGCGTGCGTGCATGCACTCGCACACAGTTACATAAACGCAAATCTTCATTTTTAAAACGCCACTTGAATAATTTACACTTGATTTTGATAATCACGAACAATAATTATGTAAAATGTTGGCTTATTCACAAGAATTTTTTACATAGACATGTTTTTAAAAAATTGTGTTTAGTTTTTTTATATATTTTAAATTTCATTAGTTAAAAATTTTTATGGAAGGCTTTTTTCTTCCCTTGCCATCATCAATCTATAATATCTGTGGTCCTGTACAAAAACAAATAAACAGTGTGCTGCTATGAAATATATTTTCCCCTAGCTTTATTCTTCATGCTCCTCCAAAGGCAGGTGAAATTTGCTGTTTTAAAAGAATGTCTTCCATCAATGTAATTTTCACAGGGTGTTGATATCCAGATAAATACAAAATTTTGCAACAGTTCTATGAAAACATATACTCATAGCTTAATTTTCTTTGTGAATTATTTAGCTCAGGTGTTGTTTGGGAGATGAAGCCAAAACAAAAATGGAAGCCATTTAGTCAGAAGCAGATAATGTTGCTGGAGCAGTCTTACCAGAAGCATCTTACATCACAAGACCGTGGCTGGATTAAGCTGGACAGTAATTTTGAGGTATAGTTTATGAGTATACAGTTTTACAGGTACTTTGGTCTAGATAGTGGTACTACAGGAAGGTAAAGTTTTAATGTTCTATGTACAGAAACTAACTTAAAAGTGAGTAGACCTGTATTTATTGGAGGGATTGTCAATACACTTAATTCCTTTGTCTTTCTTCTGTGTTTATTGATTGTTCTTCCTGTTGATCGGTTCCATAGAACTTGTTTTCAGTGAGCTTATGGTAACGTTATGACTGCTGAAACATTTTCTTACATTTTGAGTCACGCCTTCACATTGATGAATATAGATCACAAGATTATATATTTCATGGATAGAAAACACTCTATTATTTCGTCCAGTGTGAATGATTCCTGGATGTAGGTAAGCATCTGCAAATAAAGGTGTGCTCTCCATGGTCACACAGAGTAAATCACAAAGTCTTCTTTGCTTCACAAAGATTCCAGAAGCTTCACTGCACATCTGGACTGTTCTGCTGTAGGCCTGAGCTTTGGTTGCTCTTGTTTTTGCTGTCTGAGGGCAGAGTTTGCACAAACCTCTAGTCATGTGCCTTTCCTATACCCATCAGTGTTTGTGGGCTGGACGATAATGTATATGCCATTAAGTCATACAAAAAAAAGCTAGCTTCATTATTAAGCCATCTTGCCTAAGGATTACCTGGAATTGGGCTGGAGAAATGGCTCAGCAGTTAAGATCACTGGCTGCTCTTACAGAGGATTGCAGTCCAATTCCCACCACCCAGTGGCAGCTAACAGTGTCCATTAACTCCAGTTTCAGGTCATTCAGTGCCCTCTTCTGGCCTCCACAGGCTCTTCATGCAGTGGCACACATACACATCTAGGCAAAACACTCATACACATAACATAAAAATAAAATAAGCAAAATGAATGGCCTGGAATTCAGTATTGCTATTAATTTTTCCTATAAAGCAATTTAAGTACAATTTCATAATTGCAGTTTCCTAATAAGTATTAGAAAGACAATGCTTCTGCTGCACAGGCATATGACCCAAAGAGCCCTTCTGGTTGGTTTAGAGGCTCGTTCATTTAGTGTATGAATTTGGGAGGCTGGAGCAGGGGGATTGCTGTGAGTTTGAGGACTGCCTAGGCTATAGAGTGAGATCCAGACTCAAAGGAAAACAAAGGAAACAGAATAAAACAAGTGGCCTTGGTGAGACAGGGAGATGACCATGTCCTCCCTCAGCATGAATTCGATGTTCTAAATGCCAGCTCATCACAAAAGCACA